GGTCCAGACATTTTTTGCAATATTATATTTTTTTAAATTATATTTGGATTTAGTTTTTCATTAAGAAGATGAAAAAAATTAAAAAAATCTCATAAATACCAAATTATTATCACTCAATTTTTCTATTCCTATTTTTTTCTCGTTTTTTTAACTTTCTTATCCATAAGTTCGTTCGATTTAAACTTTTTCTTATAAATGAACAAGTTCTCCATAATCCCCATGAAAAAAATACCAAATTAACTCACTTTTTTTACAACTTAAATTTTTTTGAACTAAAACTGAAACTCCAAACCATTTTTCATAAGATGAATGCAGCTCACAGTGCTGGATATTTTCCAGCCTTGCACTTGAAAATTATAAAAATCCTTGTGAGAAAAATTTTTTTTGAAAAAATCGGTTGAATAAACACGCTAGGAGTTGGAAAAGGTCAAAAATACCGAATTTTCGAAAAAAAAGATCCCGCTTCAGAGTTATTTTATGCATTCACGAAAAAGATTTATTTTGAGGCCTCGTGCGAAATTTCCGATGAAAAAAACGCTTTCTCAACTAGGAACTTGTCCTGAGTTGACCGAGGGATAAAGAAAAATAGAAGATCAACACAATTTAAGTGCGCCATGATTTAAATTTTTACTTACTCTTTTTTGTAGTGATTCAGACATTTTCCACACCAGGAATTTCCGAAATTCAAAAATTTTTTATTGCAATCCAATCGTCAAAACCATAGCCGAGTACCTGTTAAACTACTATTTTTTTATTTTTTTCTGTTCAATTTTTCTATTCCGATTTTCATCTCATTCTAAACTTTTAATTATAAATGAACCCGTTGTCCTGTAATCTCAGAAATATTATTTATAAAGCGAAATCCACATTCTTCTTATGAAAAAATGGTTTGAAGTTTCAGTTTCAGCTCAAAAAAATTTAAGTTGTAAAAAGTGAGTTAATTTGGTATTTTTCAACTGTTTAAATTTGAGACCTCGTGCGGAATTTTCGAGAACAAAAACCGCTTTTCCAATTGGAAACTCGTCCGAAATTGACGACTGAGGTGTTTCAAAATTTCAAAAAGTCCCTCAAAGACCCGAAGAACTTGGGCCAAAAGGGATCAACACAGTCTATGTGAGCCCTGATTTCTTTTTTCTTTTTGATACTAGGAATTGAGCGCGATTCCTTAATTTTGATTTTGATCGAAAAACGAGTTATACGAGAGAAAGCGGTCGTATGAGAAAAATATACTAATTATTGAAAAAAATTAAATAAACGCTTTTGTCCCGAGGTTGTAGGTGAGACTGAAACGTTGTGAATCGACAAATGTCGCCTGATTGAAGAAAAGCAAGTAGTTAGCCATGGCGAGAAAGCCTTTAACCATCTTTCGTTTTCAAAAATAGTGCGCGACCGTTCCCATTGGATACATGGTGTTGAAAAGAAAAATACTTGCGTCACCACTCTTCCTTTGGTAAGAGGTGACCATTCACTTACTTTTCTACAACTTAAACTTTTTGAGCAAAAATTGAAACTCCAAATCCATTTTTTCTCATGGAAAGAACGTTGGATGCAGTTCATTAAAAAAATAATAATATTTTTGGAAAAAAATTTGAGACCTCGTGCGGCGGAATTTTAAAAAAAACCGCTTTTCCAATTGGAAACTCGTCCGAAATTGACGACCGAGGTGTTTCAAAATTTCAAAAAGTCCCTCAAAGGCCCGAAGAACTTGAGCCAAAAGGGATCAACACAGTCTATGTGAGCCCTGATTTTTTTTTATTCCGATTGAACGACACGACGCTGTTATATAAAAAACCGAATCTTCGAGAAACAAAGACTTATGAGCCGCTTCAGTTGAATTTCGGTCTCAACATTCCATATTCTCGTTTTTTTTTTAAAATTCAACTCAATTTTAAAAAGGATTGACTTTGTTTGTAGTTCTCCTCTTACGTACCTTCAAGTTCTATTATTAGGTCAATACCAAAATTCGAGAATAAATAATTTTTTTCAGCTCAAAAAAACATTTAAATACCTACTTTTTGTTCTCAAACATCCAGCTCACAGAGCACGGAATTTTCCAGCCTTGCCCTTAAAAAATTATTAAAATCCTCGTGAGAAAACAATTTTCCTGAGAAAATCGGTTGAATAAACACGCGAGGAGTTGGAAAAGGTCGAAAAATACCGAATCTTCGAGAAAAAAGATTCAGCTTCAGAGTTATTTTATACATTCACGAAAAAGGTTTATTTTGAGGCCTCGTGCGAAATTTCCAATGAAAAAAACGCTTTCTCAACTAGGAACTTGTCCTGAATTGACCGAGGGATAAAAAAATAGAAGACCATTTTTTCTGGCCAAAAAGAAAAGCATGTATGGCTTTTCAGAATCAAGAAAAAAACCAGAAAGGTCTAGATAATTATAAAAATGAGTACTAAAAACCGTTTGATTTACAAAAAATGAGAATTTCAAGGTTTTTCTCATACAAATTTTGTTATAGAAAATTTTCAAAGCTGTAAAAAAAGTCGACTTTTTCGCTATTCTCTTCACAAATTTCTTCAAATCTTGACAAAAATTGAAAAAATACACTTTCACATTCAACTCTTGCTTCAAAAAAAAGGTGATATATTTCATTTTCAATTTCAAAAAGGCCAAAGAACCGGTCCCAATGATTTGGTTACATAGTCCTGCGATGATACCTTTTTGAAAATTGAATTTCGAAATTTCAGAGATTATTTATTGATACAAGAGTTGAAATGCATTGCAATTCTCAAAAAATCCTAATTTTTGGGGAAATTTGAAGAAAAAAAAAAATAAAAAGCGTAATTCGTAAAAATCGCATTTTTTTACGTTTTCGAAAGATCTTCTGAACATAGTTTTCTATGTAAAAAACCTTGAAATTGGCATTTTTTTTACAAGTTCTTTAAAAAAATGAAGCAAAACTCCAGATTTGATATTGAATTTTCTTCCTAAGGTTGAATAAGACTTTTTTGGACCGGAAAATTCTTTGGATACCTAGAAAAATCGGGAAACTTATCACTACGCGCAAAAAATCGTCACAAAAAACTATGTTTTCAACGAAAAAGCCTAGAAATATCCTACGGAGAAGCTGGGAGCCTACACCAACTGGGCCGGTTGTAACAGGAAAGTGGTGTAAGAAAGGACGCGCCTGTCGGTCGGGCGATGCGGCGAACGCCCGCCTGCGCGGAACGTTCGTCCGGTGGAGCATTTTTTCCGTCTTTTAGAGCCACATTCTTTGGGAATCGGAAAAGTGGGCTTGGTTCAACGACAATTTGAGACGAAGTTCAATGTTTGGCCAGCGAAATGGATCAACTTCTCATCTAGAACTCTTCTTCAACTACAGATTTTCGAAATTTTCGAGCCCAGGGAAATTTTTATAACCCCTAGAATTTTTTTAAGCCTTCGAAAAGCTCAGAGGAAAAAATCCCATTCAGAAATTGAACTGAAAAACGTTGAAAACTAGATTGTTTCTCCCTTTTTGGCTGCTTAAATATTGATATATTCTCATATTAGTTCACTTCTCATAGTTAGTTCGATCAGACCTTTTTTTTAAAAACTCTGAAAGTGAAAATGGCCAAATTTCTAAACTTTTGAAAAAAACTATGGGGTCAATTTGAAAACACAAAAAAAATTAAATTGAAAAAAACTCGATTAATTTTAAGAAAAAAATGAAGCGAAAAATTGGATTCTGATCAGAAAATGATTCTTTTCGGCGTATTTTTTTCCATCTAGAGACTTTCTGTTCACCACTTATCATATCAAAATGTTTGGAAAGCCTTTTTTGTAGACTATCATTTCAATAAAGACTCTCAGAGATTCATATCCCGGAAAAATTGGGAAATGACGAAGGATTTTCAGAAAGCAAAAGGGATAGTGAAAGATTAATGAAAAAGCAATAAAAGAAACGGTCAAGGGTTGTCAGTGGGAAGTTTTTGCGCTGATGTTATTGCGCTTTTTTTTTCTATTTTATAATTTTTTTTTATATCATTCGACCATTTCATTTGATAACCCGCTGACTTCGGACCGTTCTCCTTCCCAATCAGTTCTTCCTGGTTTATATAGGACGATGGAAACTTGCGCCCGACTCTTTCCAGTTCCTCTTTTATCAGTTCGAAGCCACGCCTCTTCCTCTTGGCAGCGCACTCTCTACGACATTGCAGAACGGTTTCGAAATACATCGAAGAGGGGCGGGGCTTCGTATTGATGATATCGAGAACCGGAAGGAGTCTGGCGCAACTTCGCATCTTCCTACACTGCGACGCATAATTATAGACCCACCCTAATTTCTCCGATTTTAAGAAAGATTAAAAAACTTTCAGCTACCAAACTTTTTTTGTGATAAACCTTGTTGATAAGGAACATAATCATATCATAATTATCAATCACCCAGTTGAAAAGTTTTTCAAGATACGAGAAAATCTGATTTTTGACCGACGCAGAATTATAGACCCACTACAAGTAATGAACAAAATTCATTTCACAAAGTCAACGAAGTATAACAAAAAAATTAATTAATAATGTGTGATGCCTCCTTGTTTCTGAGCGACTTCGAAAATCCTGTTCGGCATGCTGCCAACGAGTGATTGCAGCAGTGACTTGTCCAAACCATCCCACTCGGCACGAATCGCTCTTTTCAGATCGTTGACCGTTGTATACTGCTTGGCATTCGCGTAGAACCTTCGTACAAGGACTGACCATGAATTCTCTACAGGGTTGAGGTCAGGACTGAACGCGGGCCAGTCCAGAAGAACCACGTTATTGGCCGCAAACCAAGCCAATGTGGAGTTGCTCGCGTGAACAGATGCATTGTCTTGTTGGTAAATCATATTAGCACGTCGTCGGCGACGGAGATAGGGCAGGAGATGCTGGGCGAGCAGTTGCTGGTAGTCTTGCGATTTCGTTCTGGTCCCAATAAAAGAAAGAGCTACCGCCCGGTTGCCGCAGAAAGCCGCCCAGACCATGAGGCTGCCGCCGCCGAAGTTTCTCTTGGAAAAGTACATCGGATCTTTCCTCAAATCTCTCCAGTAGTGAGCGTACCCATATGGCCCATCAAGGTTGTATTTCTTCTCGTCGCTGAAGATGATCTGAACAGAAAAATTGGGAATCATAAGGTGATAGAAAAAATTGATACCTAATTCCAATCCGTGGCCATGTTAGAGCGTGCAAACTCAAGCCGTTCATTCTTATGGCGTTGCTGTTGACGAGGTGCTGCCTTCATTGGAGTATTCACAAGTCGACCGGACCGATGAATTGTTCTTAAGATGGTGTCCTTCGAGACGTTTTCAGGAATTTCGGATCTGATTTGGTTGGCGGACTTCGTAGAGTTTGATGCTTTTCGACTGACGTCTCGTTCAGCTTGAACCGATAGCAGCCTGTGCCGTCCAGAATGTATTGCTGTGCCGTATTCTTGCGGACTCCTTGCATAACGGTCAATAGTTCGTCTTGAACGACCCGTTTGACGAGCGATTTCCCGATGGGACAAGCCGTTGTTAAGTAGAGCATCGATTACCGCTTTTTCGGTATCATCAAGTTGAGTAGATTTAGGCATTATGGCTTATAGTGATACACGAGGACTTTTTCTGTTATATACCACTGAAAAAAACAGGAAAAACGTGTTACCGGAAACGGAAACTCGGAAAACTCTGGGGTGGGTCTATAATTCTGCGTCGGTCAAAAATCAGATTTTCTCTTATCTTGAAAAACTTTTCAACTGGGTGATTGATAATTATGATATGATTATGTTCCTTATCAACAAGGTTTATCACAAAAAAAGTTTGGTGGCTGAAAGTTTTTCAATCTTTCTTAAAATCGGAGAAATTAGGGTGGGTCTATAATTATGCGTCGCAGTGTATATATACCAGAAAGCGTTGAGAAGAAACAGAAGCGGTCCGATGTCAGTGGGTTACCGATGAAAAAGCAACTTGTACATTAGAAAATCGAAAAACGAATAAAAAAAAATTGAAAAAGCAAAAAACCCAAAAAATTACCTTCCCACTTGCAAACTTTGACCGCTTCACTTTTTGCGGATTTTCTAGAAAAATTGGATTTTTAGTTTTAGCGGATACCTCGAAAAGCAGTTAAAAATGAGGCTATATGAATGGAAAACTGGAAAAAAAAATATCAGTTTTCAGCGCGAATAATAATGGAATTTCCACAGGAAAAACCACGGGCAAAACCCAAATGGACTTAAAAAAATGAAGGATCAAGAGATTTTGAGTTCCTAAAACGGTGCCAGTAGTTTGCCCGAATCTGCTTTTTTTCACGTTTCTTCCGCCTCTTTTTTCCTCTTATAAAAGTCCTTTTTTGAAGAACATCTAGAAAAAAGGTTGTTAGGCTTTTTTTTTCCAAAAGCTTCTTCTTAGGTATTTTTGGATCTTGCTCGTGAATTTTACAGGTTCATATATATTTTTCATGAACTCGCCAAATAGTTGCTTTCGTGTACTTTCCAAGTAGTCCTTGAAAAATCTCTTAAGTGGCCACTAGAGCTTTTCCGAGAACGGGAAAAAAAGAAGCGGTCAATGGTTGTCAGTGGGAAGTTGTTGCGCTGATCTTATTGCGTCTTTTTTTTGGATTTTTCTTTTTTTTTTTCAGTCTCTTTTCCAGTTTTTATTGGATAACCCACTGACTTCGGACCGTTCTCCTTCCCAATCAGTTCTTCCTGGGTTATATAGGACGATGGGAAGTTGCGCCCGACTCCTTCCAGTTCCTCTTTTATCAATTCGAAGCCACGCCTCTTTATCGATACCCTCTCAAAGTCGTAAAAGTTCTGCCGCAGTTAAAAATGAACCTATATAATCCTTAAACGTCCTGATAAGCAATGGAAGCGGTCCAAAGTCAGTGGGTTATGGACTGAAATACAAGGATTTCGAAATAACGAGTTTTATTGACTAAAACTACCTTCTCAAACCATTCTAATTACGTTTCTTTCGAGTTTGCTCAGCTCTTCTTTTTTCTGCGCGAAAGAAAGTCGAGAGAAGTCGGGCGCAAACAAGCCTCCGGGTATATAAACCAAGAGAAATCGGAGGGAAATGGCTGGTCCGTAGTAGTGGACCACCCGATGCGTTGGGATAATCCACAAGCGAATCCTTGACCAGCCTTTTGGTTTTTTTCTCAAAGAAGGATCGCTTGAGAATTCATTTTCGAATCAAGAAAACGACGAGAAAAATTTGAAAAATACAAAAAGTTGCTGCTCAACAATGTCTGCATAAGTCCAATAGAAAAAATCTTGAATTAATTCCAAGTGAGCCAAAAATTCATATATTTCTGAAGAGAAAGAAAATTTCGATGCTTTTGATCGAAAAATATCATTTTCTGATTTATTTTTATCCGCTTTGGAAAAATTAATTTATTTCTTTCCACAATTAAAAACTTTTTTTGTGGCTTAATTTCATTTGTTGGCGTTCTTGAAGACTTCGGACGGGAATACAATTCAACAGAAATTCAAGTTTTTTTAGAACGAATAGTAGTGGAATTTCCCCAGTTTAGAAACATTAATACAAAAAAATTTACCGTCTCATATATTTTTCAGGAAATCGCAAAGTATTGGCTTTAGTGTACTTTCCAAAAAGTCTTTAAGGAACCACTTAAGTGCTCACTAGAGCTTTTCCGAGAATGGCAAAAAAGAAGCGGTCAAGGGTTGTCAGTGGGAAGTTTTTGCGCTTTTTTTTCTATTTTTTGATTTTTATATCATTAGACCATTTCATTTGATAACCCACTGACTTCGGACCTTTCTCCTTCCCAATCAGTTCTTCCTGGTTTATATAGGACGATGGAAACTTGCGCCCGACTCCTTGCAGTTCCTCTTTTATCAGTTCGAAGCCCCGCCCCTTTCTGTTTGCAGGGTACTCTCTACGACATTGCAGAACGGTTTCGAAATGCATCGAAGAGGGGCGGGGCTTCGTAGTGATGATATCGAGAACCGGAAGGAGTCTGGCGCAACTTCGCATCTTCCTATATATACCAGAAAGCGTTGAGAAGAAACAGAAGCGGTCCGATGTCAGTGGGTTACCGATGAAAAAACAACTTGTACATTAGAAAATCGAAAAACGAATAAAAAAACTGAAAAAGCAAAAAACCCAAAAAATTACCTTCCCACTGACAAACTTTGACCGCTTCAATTTTTGCGGTTTTTCTACAAAAAATTCATTAACGTTCAAACTCTTTTACATTATTCTTCTCATCTTCGAATTTCAATTGGACTTGAAACCGTTCCCTTTCTTTTTTTCAGTTCAGAATGTTCCGAAACATTGAAGAAGTCGTATAACGTCCGGCGCAAAAATATTTTTCACATGTGATGTTCATTTATTTTTATAATTCAAATCAATATTCCATTAATAAAAGATTCCGTGACTTTTTTAGTTATCACTACTAGAAAAATGGAGGCTTGGAGCAAAATTTCATCTATATCGAAGTGAAATTTATAATTTATCCTAGATTCATACAGAAGAGGTACCTTTTGTTTTGCAATGAAGAAGATGCACGGGTTTCAGCCTCCAACTGCTTCAAATTGAAAAAAAACGTGCCCGAACTGCAAAAAATATAGTTCTTTGTAGCGAAATTTAGATAAATTCGAAGCTTTTTATTCGAGAAATGATAAAAAAAGATAATAAAAAAATTCGATATTCATTAATTTACTTTTTTTGATAACTTAGAAACGAGAACCTCAAGAATAGAAACCTTGCAGGAATTTTTTTATAGTAGTTTAAGGTCTTCAAGCGAAAAAAATAATTCAAATTTCACTTCAAATTATGGAATGGAAACAAAATAAATCGATTTTCAACTTACAAATACCGGTGAAATGAATTTCAACATTTACAACAAACTTCAAAGAGAAAAATGAAAAATTCGGCATGATTTATTTATCATTAATCCTTCACATGAATATAGAAAATTGGATAAACATTAGAAAAAAAATAATGTAAGTTAACCTCCGAAAACGAGCATTTCCATATCACAGCTCAAAAAGTCGGCTTCAAATCGCGAAATTTTGTCCAATTAATTGGAGAGAATTGAATTAATTCAAACTCGTTCCGAAATTTTTTTTTTCACGGCGTAGACATGTCTTTGAGTAGCAAAAGATCCTATAAAATTTCAAACTATAAAACAAAAAAACATAGGAAAAACATTTACTTCCCATTAGAGTAGTCGAAGGACGTTTTTTGTCTTTAGTCATAAAATTCGAGCCACGGACTCGTCTGAAAGAAATAAAAAAAGCAGGTAAAGCAAGAAAAAACTTCTTTAAACCAAAATGTTAATGAAAATTTACTTAAAAACTCCAGGAGAAGACATTTTCAAGTTCTGCGTACAATGCATCATGTTCAACGCCTAGAATAACGATTTCAAAGTGATTTCACGCATTCTTCGAGTCCAGTTCGGGGAAAATGATAGTTTATTTAGTCTACCCAGGAAAAGCGTCAAAAAATACATGAATGGGAAATTATAAATTATATCGATTAAAAAATCTCTGAGGAAAATGCCGTAAGAAGTATCACAAAGTGGAGAAGCTCACGAATTAACAGACAATTTGTTTCTCTACAAACACCGTAATCCAATTGTTGAATGCGACAAGTGATGGAGGAAGAATGGACCAGAAGAAAAAAAGGCGAAGTAGATTTGACTCGTGAAGAGTCTGGTCGCACGGGGAATGCCTCAAGACTGTAAATCTCCAATCGACCTTGCGAGACATTTTGGTTTGGATCGCTGCGCGAGCGCGACGCATCGAGCCATTCCAAATGCGACCAGACCTTTCGATCCAGCTTCTCACGAAATCACTCTCCAAGACTTATTTCTTCAATATTTCAGCGAGACTTCATGAAAAGCTGGATATTAACTAAGTATATGAGAAAAGCACAAGAAAATGTACAAAAATTGGATTTTAGGCGAAAGTTTTTGCAATTTCGACAAGTGCGCTGTAGGTTCCCGTCGTGAAGCCGATCAGGGCGAAAACCAAAAGTCCGATATTTTTGGCCCAAAGGGTAGGCGTCAGCTCCGACTTGGCATAGCTTGTCTGAAAAAAAATTCATAAGAACCTTGTTTTCATGTTCTGAAAAATGACAAGACTTTTTGATAACTTGAAAAAATTTGATATCTTCAAAATTTCAAAAGAAATACATTTTTTGGGTCACAACTTTTTGAGGCCATCGAAACAATTCAAATAAAGCTAACTTAGGAATTATAAAGTGGTCCCTATAGGGGTTAGAGGAGAAGAGGGGTTTTTCGCATGAAAATGCTTCTTCGCATAGATTTCATTGAAAGTATCGACTAGCATGTCCACTATAGGGACCACTTTTGCATGTTTTAGGGGCCCCTATAGGTGTTGGTAAAACGGTTCTTAAGGTTGCCCCTATAGGGACCACTCTAGAGTTCCTGAAAAAATCTTTCTAAAAAATTGACTTTATGGCGTCATTCGATCGAGTGACGTCATTTATTTTTGCATTTCTTAGACAAATTCAATGACGTCTTCGGTTCAAAAAAAAATACGTCATTTTTCGAGTTTTGGAAACAAGTTTAAAGGATCTGATAGTCTGCGGACAAAAAGCGCGAAAACTAGAATTTAGCAAAAAATTTTTTGAAAATTTCAAATTGGCTGCATTTTTCATCCATAACACGTTTTTCGAATCACATTTGATGACGTCATCGGAGTCAATGACGTCATTTTGAACCAGGAAAAAACGAACAAGAAGCTCGATGCAAGGCGGGAAAAGAAGGGCCATCGAAGCGCCGGAAAAGGCTCCAATTAGAGAAATAAACAGGGCCAAGTGAGGTATCAACTCGGCGACGGCGCCTGAATTTTGTATATGACTATATTTTTTCGTTAATTTCGGTCCCGAACATGTCAAAAGGACGCCAGCGTATCGTGTCGCGTAGATGTAGAGCGTTTGTTTATGGACGGGAATCTGGAAATCGATTTCATTTTTGCAATCGAAAAGGCTCAAATTTCGTTTCGAAACCTTTCGCGTGATCCATTTTTCGACGCGCTCCATCGGGACGTAAAATTGGAGCGGGTAGGAAATCATGATACAGGCGACGAACATCAGTTTGATCGTTTGATAGAATCTGAGAAAGGCGAAATTCACACCAATCTGCGGCCAATGCACTTTATTTTACGCTCAAAACCAAATTTGAAAAATAAAAATTTCCAGAAAAAAAAGCAGCTTAGACAGCACGCTGAGCTTGGAGAGACCAGAATCTTACTTTCTTCATTCTACACACTGTCTAGAGATCTGCGCGCTGGCCTCTCCTTGATCTACACACTGCCTAGCCATTTTCTGTTAGATAGGAATTTCAGCGCGCAGGTCCTCAGGCAGTGTGTAGAAAGTAGAGAGTAATTTAAGCTTAAATTTTTCGAGTTTTAAATCATTAGAAAGATTAAAATTAGACGAATCTAAAAATAAGATCATTTTTCTTGTAACCCCAAAATGAACTGAGATAACCTTAATTTTCAAAACCTTTCCGAAAAATTTTTGAAATTTTCCCTATCCATCGCAGTCATTAGGAAATTAACCCAAAACTAGAAAAGCCTTGAAAAAAAAAAATAAAAATTCCAAGAAAAATACGCGACTCTACAGAAATCGTGCAAAGTGCAGTGCCTATGCTGGCATTTTGCAAAAAAAGTTGCACGCATTCTGCAGATCAGAGCTTTGCATTTTGCCCAGAATAACCTCGCGTTTTGCATTTCTTTTTGGGCTCACTTTTATACATACGAAAAAAAGTGCAAAATGCGAGGTACTTCTGTGCGAAATGCAAAGCACTGATTTGCAAAATGCATGAAGCTTTTCTGCAGAATGCCGCCATAGGCACTGCACTTTGCAAAAATTTTGTAGAGGACGATGAGCCTCAGACAATACACTTTATCTGACGCGCAATTAAAAATTAATGAAACTCACGGCGTCATTGGCAAGTTTAACGTGGCCGTGTCTTTGACTTCATCGCCCAAGGAGAGATATCTGAAAAATAAATCATTTTTTAAACTTTTTCGAGAATTTTTTCAATGAAGTTGATGTACTTATTCAAAACGGACCCATAAAAGCCGGTGACCGAGAAAATGGCCAGAACCACCAAGCAACTCGAGTTCAGGACTCCATTCCATGCGATAAAAGAGTGCGGCGATTGCATTCGATTTTCGATTGGCATGATCTGAAAAAAATTGAATTTTTTTCTGTATTTTTTTCGACCACTAACCACAGCGACGCCTTCGAAAGCAAACATGACGGTTCCGAAAAAAATAAAAGGAAGATCCGTGAGTTTTTCCAAACCAAGGAATCGAGGAAATCGGTCGGAGGTCTGACGGAAAAATTATAAAACTTTTTGTTAATGGCTTTTTTTGAAGAAAATTATAATTTCGTCGGAATTTTTGCCGAATCTATTCAATTCTAAGTACTTCTCGAGTGTGTATAAAATTCGGAAATGCTGAAATTTCAGCGAAATTCGTTATATTTCCCATCAAATCGAAGATTAGTTAACAAGACACTTAAAAACATTCAAATTTTCATTTTTTTCATATTATTTTTCAACTTTATAACTTTTGCAAAGTCTCGAAATTTCTTCATAAAGTCTTTTTTTTTTTAATGCGATTTGAAAATTGACGCGGTATACGTTCTAAAACGATAGGAATTCCGGGAGTCTTTGAAAATGGGTCCTAAAATGATATATCGCGAAAAGTAACTTTTCACGGTGACATCCAAATTTTGAAAATATTTGGGCTTTTTCAATGAAAATTTCGAATGTGCCTTGAAAACTTACATGTGCCGGAATCATTTTGAACACAGTAATAAATTTTTAATTCAACAGCTTTTTCCTATTTTTTTATTAATTTTTATTAAAATACACCTTCATACTTCTACTTCAACAGAAACTCTAATTCCAACCTGAAAGGAAGAAAAACAAGACGACGGCCACCGCCAAGACGTAGACGAAGTTGGCGGCCATCGCAAATGGCGCCAAGACGGATAATCTTCGAATCGAGCAAATCGATAGCATCGGGATGAGCAATATTAGCATCCAGGTAGCTTTTGACAGGTGTATGGAGGTGTTCACGTTGAAGAACTGAAAGGGAAAAGGATGAGGCATGAATGGAAAAAAGAGAAAAAATTCCACCAGGTTTTGGTTTTAACGCTTTGCTCTTTTATTTTTCATAAAACACAACCATTTCCCATTTTCGAATTTCTAGATTTTTAGGCTTCAAATCCACCCGCCGTATATAATCAACACTGAAATTACATTTATATACCATATTTTTTCTCAAATTTTTCATTATTTTCAACTCTTTACTTCATTAATCGTCATCTTTCCCGTTTAAAAGGCAAAAGAAGCGTAAAAATCAAAAATTATTGAAATTTACAAATAAAAAAATGAAAACGTTAGTTCACGTTTTTTTCAGTAAAACCAGGTCAAAATTGAAGTAAAAAAAAAATTCTGATGAAAGAATTCGAAAATTCGTACAGATTCGCAATACTTTCCGTGAAACTACAGGGTTTTTAATATTTATAAAAATAAAATTCCCCAAATTTTTCGAAGTTCTAGATTTTTTTAGGCTTCAAATCCATCCGCTATATATAATCAACACTGAATTTCCACAAACATAAAATAATTTTTTTCCGAATTTTTTTCATTAATCTCAACTCTTTACTTTATTAATCGTCATTGTTCCCTTTCAAAAGGCAAAAAAAGGAGCTTAAAAATTCAAAAAAATTATTGAATTTTACAGTCTATATTTCACACCTTTCGATAAAACTAAATAATTATTACCTGAAAAAACCCTCAAATCCATACAAATTCACAAAACATTCCCTAATATGAAAATTCATAAAACCAACATCCTCCAAATTATCGGCCATAAAAACGAAATAAACGCAGCAAAATCCGAGCTGCGAAATGAACATGTTTACATTGAGAAGTTGCCTGAAAACTCGTAAATTCCATGATTTTTATATGAATATTGATAAACTTGAAGAAATATCCGTGGCGTCGGATCCAAGGAGGACCCATTTCCACGGCCCCGCGCAAAATGTTCGCGTAATCGATGAGGTCTCGGCCATTTCTGAATTATTTTATTTTTTGAACGAAGAAAATAAAGAAAAAAAAACCTGTTGCAAACAAAATGGGCGGCAAAAAAACGACCTGACGCATGCAGTAGAGGCAAATGAGGCATATTAAAATCGTCAGGATCAGGCCGAGCTGGAAAATTGTATTTCGAACAAGAAAAAAATTGTATTTTAATACAGCTAGGGGTCATATTTTCAGTTCGCAGTATCATTCTACGAAAAAAAAAACCATGATTTCTTTGATTTTATTGAACCCCAAAACGGATGCCGTTCTAATGAAAGAATCTGAAAATTCGTTTTTTTTTTCGAAGTGATTCTACAAACTTCAAAATAGCCGTCAGAGAGTGAAAAAAGATAAACTTAATTTTGGAGAGTCAGAGATAATTTTGAATTTCACGGAAAACACTTTGAACACAGCTTTGAAAACTTCTTGCAACAATTAAAAAGAAACTATTTTTGACATTTTACTTGGAAAAAATTTTTTAAGAACTTCAAAAAATCCTGTGAAAGCTTTCTCATACAAAATGTCCTCTTTATTCGAAAAATTCAATTTTTTACAGAGCGAATATTTTTCCTAACTTCAGTAATTTGAAAAACGCACAAAAAGGCCGGAATGTTTGAAAGCGAGGGGCAAAGAAAGGAGGCCGGTGCCGAGCATCGCCTTGACCATGTGGATGAACGCCTGCTCGGGGCTCAACGAGTTTTCCGTCTGGGTTCTGTCGTGAAACAGGGAAGTGTCCTCCTGGAGCGTTGACGTGTTGTTTGGAGGCTGAAAAACTTGTGTGTCAAAGAATTCAACTCAAAAAACGACAAAAAGTGAAGTTTTGTATTAAAACTTTAATACAAATAAGGATTTTTTTATAACAACTTTAATAATTTTGCGTAAGAGCTTCTTAATTTTTTTTTTCTCCATGGAATATCACTTCTCAACTTGATAAATATAAAAAACCAATCTTACCGCGGGCCTATCTCCAGGCTCCGGCTCATTTTCGAACTCGCGGTAACCCTCGCGTACGGGGTTTGACATCCCTAAAAATATCTTGAAAAAACTGAACAACCGAGAAAAATCGAAATTGAGACACTAGACGAAGAAATAAAAGCGCCCTCAGGAACTGGTCGGGGACGCACCGGGATCTGGCTCTTATTTTTGCCTTTCAAGTGGAAGAACCTCTTTCAACTCCGTTGTGTTTGATTTTATAATACTTATTCGTTTCCTTGCTCACTTTTTAAACCTGTTTTTGGGAAAATTTTAGAAAGACCATTTTCAAATAGAAAATGACTTTCATTGAGCTTTAAGAGTTCAATTTGATTTATACCTAAATATCTTTGTAAATAATGATATATGCATAAAAGAGAAATAGGCGGGGATTTATCAGCTTATTTGAACAAAAAAGGCGAAAGAAAAAAAAGAAAAGAAACACCCGGCGCGTCCCCGCCTGAGGTGCCTCGCACGCGCCACTAACGCCTGGGGCCAAGAATCGAAAGAAATATTTATTTCTGGAAAAAGAAACGTCCTTGGCGCGCAGTTACTACCATTATAAAGTCCATTAAAACAATCAAGAATGGCGTGATTCATTGCAAGTTTTCCCAGATGAGTCATATTTTCAAAAGCTTAAATGAATTACAAGCTGTTTACAAATGTGAACCAATGACAAAACAAAAAACAAAAAAAAATTCGGAAAACAGAGGAAAAGGGAAAAAAACGTGAGCGTAAAAACTTACATTTTGCGCGGAGGATAAAACGCTTGCGGCTCCTTTCGTACTGTAGCCCAAAATATCAAAATTTCGTGAGAGATACTACCGTATATTATTTTAAAATGCCGTGTTCATTTTAATTCCGCGAAATGCAAAAAGATCTCTGACTCTCCAAAATTTAGCGATCTTTTGCTTTCTCTAACGGGCATTTCGCATTTTGCGGAATCAAATTGAACACGGCATTAAAATAAACGTCGAGTAAAAATTTTTCTTCTCTGAAACGGCCAGGGGCAGTCTCAGGGAAGAAGAAAAAAAAACTTTTATTCTTCCATTTCCTCATATGGTCCGTCCGCCGCAACTTGACAGTTTTCGAATGTCTGCGTCTCTTTGTTCCCTCACCGGCGAGGTCACTCGGCAGATACCTCGGCCCGGTGCAACCCCCAGAATTGCTCTCTTTTTCCCATCTTTTGCACTTTGCAAGTGATAGTGACAACCCTTAACATTTTCGAGTCTTTTTCGTGCGAAAGGAGAGGCTGCACAGTGCTGACCACGAAATTCAACTTGCATGGGAAAAAAAATTTAATTTCAACGGGGCTTAACCTATTCCCATTGGGCGCAAATACGGTGCGGGAAGTAAGCTATTACGATAGCAGGAGTTTCTATTTAATTTTTAAAAATATCTACCAAATAAAACTTTAGAATTGAATTTGAGAAAATTACAGATTTTAGATTCGCTTTTTTCGCTCGATTTCTCCCCTGAAATTGCACTGAATTGACTCGGAATTTTGAAAACTCCACTCTCGAGGTCATTGCGCAAAAAACTGACTCCGCGCTCGGTTGTGCCCCTGAATGTGCGAGAAAAAGCACCGAAAATTTAAAGGCCGCATCCCAGATAGGGTCTGCCCGGAGCATAATTCCTGCCGAGCAGAGAAACATGAAAACAGCATGTTAACATGAGAGGGTCGTCGAGAGACGAGGAGGGCGCAGAGAAGTTGCGAAAAATAGACTATTACGTTATTAGCCATGTGCGCATATGACGGTATTGTTTCAATCGATTACAATCATGGTTCTAAGAGTTATCCCGGATAAACTCATACGGAAGTTTCTCAATAACTTCCTCGAAGAGCTCTGAAATTAATTCGTGAAACTCTTGTTTAAAACGATATCGGTTATTTTCAATCGATATGCTTCGTACCCAATAAGAATCTCAAAAAGTAAAATTTTCAAAGCTGATAAGATTCGGAGTATATGTTCAAATTTTGAATGTCAAGTAGCTAACTCCGCCCCATGATTACAATATCTTTCGCGGCGACGTTTTCGTGAGCGTGACAATGATCCAATAATAGCGCTGAATTTTTTGTCTTTTTTTTCTGGCTATGAGATTAAATGTTTGGTTGGTAACACGTCCTTGTTATGGAGTTTGAACTTTCTTTGTAATTTGGTATAACTTGAACTTAAAGATAAACCTTATATTACTAAGGAGAGTCAAGAGATCGCTCCCCAAAATACGAAAATGTGAAAATCAACGAATTTCAAAGCAAATATGATAAAAAAGCTATTGTTTATAGATAAATACATGGGGCGCGCCGTAGCACAACAGGTTGGGTGCCTGTCTACAGGGCACGGGGCAAAAGTTCGATCCCCGCCTCGACCCAACCAAGGGGTTTAAGAAATGTTGGACGTCGCTCAAACGGTACAGAGGCGTAGGAAGAAGAAGAAGTTTGTAGATAAATAAACCTGCTCCATTTTACCTGAAGCATCTTTTCCGGATTCTTTGGAGGATTGACCGGCAGAAGACACCCGCTCACAGCGACTAGACCGGAAAATGTGCCTCTTTTATTTAAATGAGTTATTTTTTCTAAGGAGATTTTTGTTCAACGGATACAGAATATATTTGAATTGTTTTCGTCCCACTCAGTTTTTATGTAATGAGAAAAGTTGATTCCAACTGGAAAATGTCAGGCAGGAGAAAATTCGAATTTAAATGGAAGACACAACTTTCGAGGCTGTCATATTTGCAAAAAGAAGATTTAATCAATCGTGGGGTCATAGACTGCAACATACTTGAGATAAAAGAAAAAACTAAAGAAATAGGTTTTTTAAGACTTAAAAAAGAAATAGCCAAGGCTAGGGATATCCCTTCATGCATTCTTGAGAAATTAACATTTTCTGGGGGTTCAAACGCCATTCGCGAAAAAAAAAAATCAGTGAATCGATTACAATGGAAAGCGTGGCTGTTCTAGAATATTCACTCAGATTTTGAGATAGGCGAAGAAAATTGAAGAAGCGAAAAAAAGAACTCAATCAACATCAGCGTGAATGAAGAAATCGAGATGAACTTTTGAGATAAGAGAAGAAAAATCAACGCGACGAGTAAAGTCCAAAAGAAGCCTATTTTCGAAGTCTCGAGAGATAAAAACCAGCAAGAAGCGATCGGAATGGAGAAGTACACTGGAGGTATTGGTTTCAAACTATTTTCTACGAAATTCAAAGGCGCACGCTCAATTCAGTTCTCGTGTCAGTTTTTTTTTTTTTGAAGTGAGCACGAAAGCAGAATAGTTATGACAGTATGGTACTCACAGTCGATTTTTAAGTGACTTCTTGATGCAATTTTAGGGTCCTCAAAGCTGTTTAGTCGTTTCAAAGACGCAGGACTTGAATAGACAGTAATAGAGTCCCATGTTTTCATTCATTCTTGAAAACGCTAACGAATTTCATTTTTCGAAAACTGGATAGCCTTGTGAGGTTTAGATGTGAGGTAGATCTCAAGGTCCATAGATTAGTTTTCCCTCAAGTCTCAACCCACTCAACCCTTATGAGGATTTATTTAAAATCAAAATTAAACCCTAAGTCCCCACTGATGTTAATAAATGAACTATTATTTATTAATCCTTAATAAATAATAGTATAGTCTGTTTTTTTCGCGTCTTGAAAGGGCGGAACTTCTTTGCCACGCCTGTTTAAGGAGGGCGGTCGTATTACGGTAGTTTAAATAGGGTTTTCAGTAATAAAATGAAACTTGTGTACTTTTTGCGACGTAACGTACCTTCTAACCCTAAGAAATAGGTCCTTAACAAGAAAGAAAGAAAATTTTGAAAAAATACTTGGCTCCGAAACTGACGGCGCAATATTGAACGGCCATCGGCCGCCGTAACACTGTCTCAAACATGCGTGCTGCTCTCTCCTCATCTCTCGACGTCCCTCTCTTGTTGACGCGCTATTTTCGCTTTTCTATGACCTCGCCGGTAAGGGAACAGAGAGACGCAGACACGCGAAAACTGTCAAGTCGCGCCAGACAGACTATACAGGGTACGCCTAATTTACTGCACCAAACTTCAAAGCACTCTTGTTCAGTTTTTAAAAAAAGTTTGAAAAATAATTCGAAGCATATATTTGCTGTTTTCAAATTGATCTTCTTTTTTTTGAAGTCTTTCGAAGCGTGAGAAACGAACAAAAATATTTTGAGAATACCTCATCCGGTTCGTTAGATTTTTGACTTCTGATATTTTGTTCGAATAGCAAAAAAAAATTATTTTTATCACAGACCACTCTACGTTTAACGACACAAAACCAAATCAGAAACTTTGATCACAGCTTTTTTTCAGTGAGCTTGTTGAACGGATTTTGTTGAAATATGGACATTATACTCTATCGAGTAGTATAAAAAAAAATTTATAGGGTGATTTTCAAAAAACTTCTTGCGGAACTTTTTTGTTATAATCTACAATTTCTATTTTAATTAAAAATGCCAAAATTTTGGGAGGGTTGTAGGCCTTCCGCTAGGCTTTTTTGATTTCGATCTCTTCAAGCTCGAGAAGCATGAGAAATTGATTGAGCAAGGGAAAAGGGCAAAAATGAATTGGAATCTAAGAGATGGTAGAAAGACCGTCGGCTCACCTCTCTCCGGTCCCGTTTCACCCGTTGACGTTGACCTTCTTTGACGGCGGCCCTGAAAGATTAAAAGTGAAAATAGTCCTCCCAAACCATGGGCTCGGGGTGAAAGAGATTTTTTGGAGGGCGTCGGGGCCGACGCCTTCTCAGCTCCTAGCGTCGCGATCGAGTGATGATCGCGACGGAAAGAAGTGTTACAATCGGAGCACGCAAGAATGTTGTTTTGAAATCCTTTGGGCCATCTGGAAGACTTTGTCTAAACGGCAACTGGCAGTGGCAGCCAAGCAGCCTGTTCGATCCAAATCTCTTTCAAATCGTAAACTGTAGTTTTTGAAAAAAAAATTCTGCGGAACTTACGAAAAAGGGAAAAATTCTAAGAAAGACGTTAACCTCTCAAAGAACCGAGTGAGCGACGTTCTGAATCGGATATTGATAACTCGAATTACAGAGTATGAGAAAGGGAGAAACGACGATGAAGATCACCAAGCGGCAACTGGCAGTGGCAGCCATAGAAATTTTCTAGAGAAGTCATTCGTTTCGATTTTCGAATGGGTTTTTCGACTGAAAAGCGGATCTGAAGCCCTTCCAACTGCTCCCTCTGAGCCAACGAGCCCCAACCAACCCAACACCAGTTTCCAGAAACCGAAGGAGAACGGTAGATTATTTTTACTCAATGAGAAAAGTCTGTGTATTTTCCTGGATAATGTAAAAAAAAAAGTTAAAGGAACGGAAGGAATGTAAAAGATTTCGAAAAAGTAAATAGTGAAAAAGGAAAAACGAGGAACTTTTCTGAATAAATAAATAGCTCTCATTTGAATTTTGATTCAAAAGCATAACCATTCGAAATCAATAATAGAGATTCCCACCAGTCAATTCGAGTGTGACGACAGAAGGGCATTTCAAAAATAGAGAGTTTGATATTTAAATATTTATTTCACTCTGATACATTAAACATCATGAGCTACGAATAAAGAGACATAGACTTCAGTCAGATTAGAATCGTCTTGATTTCAAAACGAATAATGAACTTCTCACGTCTTTTGCCGCCGACCGATTTTGGAAGGGTCAAAACATTATTTTCCACACTACTAGAACTACGACGTTTTTCATTCGAGCAAAAACTGTAACTTCTTTTTTTTTTTTTGGAGCTAGGACCCTCTAGATATCGGAGGTGTCAGCAGAATTCTGTTCTAGAAACCTTGACAATAGTCAAAACTTTTAAAAAGTCTGTGTACCACGACTTGAAATTTCACCGAACGACATTCCGCTGTTCCGCAGAGTGCTCGGCTGCGTCTTTAATTTTTTCTTTTATTTAATAACCCGACCAACACGTGTTCCTAGTGGAACAGTCCATCTATCAGAAATGAGAACCGATTTAAAGCAAGACCGAGGCTCGCAAAGACGCTTCGCGACGCAGCGGAACAGAGGAATGTCGTTCGGTGAAAATCCAAGTCTTGGCACACATACTATCACTAAGAATAACTGCCGAGATAAACGCGAGACACTGGCGGTATACATTGACGAGCTCGCAAACATCTCGCTTTTTTTCTCGCGCCGGTCTCGCATTTTTCTGGGCGCGAGCTCGCACTTTTCTAGGTGCGAGCTCGCATTTCTCTCGCAATTTGAAAATTTCCGAAATGCAAGATGAATGCGAGATGGCGCCGAGAGAAATGCGGGATCGCGCCTAGAAAAAAGCGACATGTTTGCGAGTTAGTCAATGTACCGCCACCGAGCTCGCGTTTATCTCGTCAGTTATTCTTAGTGCTATACTTCAATGTTATGTTTTTTTTTTTCAGCTTCCTTTTAATCAGTTCTCTAGCCCTTGAGATTTATAGGAATTCCCGGTTACGAGTTCGAGGAGAACGAAACGACGCACAGTGGAAAGTTCTTGAAGGAAGAAAATAAAGAAGGAGGGGATAAAACAATAACGGTAAATAACTCCGCCGAAGCGAAAGGAAAAAGTGCGCTGAAGGGTGGACTTTCGGAAGAGCAAAGGAAGAAACTATTTGAAAAGAGGAACCGTAAGCGTCATTTTTTCTTCTTTTTTTTTCTTCCCCTATCATCATCAATAATAATAATAATAAAAAAATGATAATAATAATAATAATAATAATAATAATAATAATGAAAGTTTGTTCACTGCAATAAACAGAAATTAGGAAATATAAAAAAAATATAAGTGATCAACATAGGATGAGCTCGGGAATAAGTCATTTTCAACGACGAGTTGACCGGTGCCCGGAAGAAAGAATATTTTCATAAAAAAGCTTGAATCGGAAGATTAATCAATTTTTTCCAAAGGCTAAACCATTTCTCAAGGGCCACAAAACCTCACATAGTAAAAGAAAATAGTATAGTATAGTAATAGTATAGTGAGATATAAAAAAATAAGGAAAAAAATGGAAGTATTCTTCATTAAATTTTTGGTTCGAACTGAGCTCTTATCAATTATTATGAAGATAAATTTTTTTCAAAACTTTTTTTCTTTTTGAAAAGGCGATAAATTTTCCACTATTTTTTGACTTCTTTTATAGTCGATGTGCCACAAGTTGAAATTTCATGGAACGACACTCCGCTGTTTCGTTCGATTTGTGCGGTAGCGCGCTTTTTGCGAATTTGCCAACCTCGGCCACGCTAATTTTTTTGATTTCAATCTTCATTTTATAAGCCACTCACTTTCTGAAAAAATCCATGAACAACTGCGACAAACAGAAAAAAAACGATGAAAACATTAAAACATGGCTTTAACAAAAACACACTTTTTTTATCCCTCTTTTCGAAGAAGATCATGAAATTTACTGTGTTCTTTCGTTTACATTTGTACAACGCAATCTTTTTTTCAACGATTATAACACATTTAAAAAGAAATAAAAACAATTAAAAAAAACGATCAAAATTAGAATTAAAACCAAAAAAATTAGCGTAGCCGAAGTTGGCAAATTCGCAAGATGCGCGCTACCGCACAAATCGAAACAGCGGAGTGTCGTTCCATGAAATTTCAACTTGTGGCACATCGACTATAAGAATTGGATCTGCCTTTTCCCAATCTTTGAAGTTTAACCGAAGGTTCTTGGAAAGTGCTTAAATGAAAGTGATGGGAATATTCTTTAAAAACCATGTGAACTCGCAGAAATTAAACAAGCAGTGCGGTACCGTTTGAAATTAAAAAAAAAGAGAGATAACGTTTTTTTTTATCTATAGTTCAATGAAACAACTTTTCATCAATTATATCTCTAACGTCAAATTTTTCAAAACCAAATTTTCGACTGTAAACAAACAGTAACCGATTAGACTTTTCAATCTTTTTTTTCCATTCTATTTACAGAAGCTGATTTACACGAGATTATAGTCCCAGAAAGAATAGAAAAAATTGAGAAAAAGGATGATGAAAGTTTCCTGGAGAATATCTCCTTCTATCACGGGTAAGAGTTTTCGATTGAATACCACATCGAAATCAATTATTTTCAGCTTCTTGCCGCAGATGGAGACTATGATCTTCATCAAACGAAGCGGCGACTTTTTGCTGAGGAAGTGCGAGGGTGAAGCAAAATGAAAATTCAAACTATTGATATGATTATTCAGACGAGGGAAAAGAGTTTCTGGTGATTTCAGTCGGCATCCTATTGGACTGCGTGGAAGATGACGCTGAAAGTGATTTTTTTAGTATCTTGTTTGCTGATTTTCATAGTCGTTAAATTTTCCAAATAAAATTTGTAGCGATTTAAAAAGATATGTTCTCAAATAAGGCTGTGCGAGATCAGTCTCGTCTCGAAATTAAATTCGTACTTCTCGAAAGTTTTCGAGTAATTCTCAAGAGATTCCGAGATAGGAACACTACAAAATAATCGCAAAACGGTCAAAGTTTAGAGTTGAATGTGATGGTCCCGATGCAACAAGAGCAAATCTCAAACTAAATTTTCTGTTTGAATTCGAGTTTTGACAGTTTCTATCAAAGTTTTTATCCCAGCTTCCCCTTATCGTTCAAACTCCAGACCTGGATGAGGATTACGGCAAAAACGAAGCAGTGAGGATTGAAGACTACATTGTTCGCCGCCACGAAATCGGGGTGTTTATTGAACAGCATATGGTTTTCGAGTGTTTGGAGGATCTTTTCGTCTTCTATATGCTCCATCCAAACAAGGTGAATTGAATATTGAATATTGAACATTTATTTCACTCTAATACATAAAATAACGAGCTACAAAGAACGATATTGGTAAAGAAGATGAGTGGGATTTCGGATTAAACAGGGTGCCAAAAAATAGCGATTTGTACAAAAAGTTCTTGCGGTTTTCAGTACCCTCACTTGATAGAGATTTTCTCGGAAGAAATTTTAAACTGACTCACTAGGGAACGTTTTTTTCCCCGGTTGAACTTTTGTTGAAACTTTGCTGACGTGTACTTTAGTAAAAAACGATCCCTGGTCGTTGTCTTACTGATTGACAGTTTTAAAAAACTTTTCTCGCGAGAAATTTAAAAAAAATGAGATCGCTTCAAAAAGCGCTTTGGCAGTTTCAAATCATCCAGTAAATCAGGATTTGATATCATCGACTGAGCAATTTGTTTTTTTTTTTGCTTCTGGATGTCTAAATGTTCAGATATTTTTTGTCTTTATCACAAAGATGAATCCTAAGCTAAGTTCGGATCATTCAAAGACGAGAATCGAAAACTGCAAAAATTTTTTTTTGTAGAACCCAATGTCAATAAAAAAAGCGTTTTTTTCTAAGTTTCGAGAAATAAAAAAATCAATAGTTAAAAAAACTTGTATCGAAAAATTGAAAAAGTCTGATCGTTTTTTTGCCATTCAAAAAAAGTATAAAACAATGAAAATATATAAGTTTCAGGCGTCTCTAAACGTTCACTTGAAGCGCGCCTGCCCAAGGCGCGTATTTCAATTCAGCGCGGATCAAATAACGAGAAAAAAAACAGTGAGTTATGCAGTAGAAGTCCAAACTATAATGAACGAAAAGGAATTTTTCATGAACAGTAGGATATTAAGCAACACTGATTTCCTTTTTCTCAAATCTGGGGATTTTGACTCTTTTTCAAGAACTTGTCAAAAAAAAAAAAATAGTTCCACGGAATAGCAGGCTAATCATCTTGATACAGAACAATATGAATGTAAGCTGGACACATTTATTCACCAAGAATGTCAAATGGAGCACTAAAGTGACTGAAAGAGAGAAAACCTGAAATCCTTCAAACAAAAAGATCTTTTTTTGCTGTACCATTCTGATTTTCAAAAGAAAAAACCTATCGGAAAGGCTATAGTCTGTGCAGATTTTGAATGTCAAGTAGAATGACGCCATTCGAAAACGCTCTGTGTATGGCTCGCTTTCTGATTGGTTTATCGCGCCATTAGGGGGCGGAGCTTCAGAAAGGACTTGACATTTGAAAACTGAACAGACTATAAAATGTATTGTTTCCGCTCGGTTCGGGAGCCTTTGGCGAGGTCTTCCTCGCCGAAGTGAATTCTTTTGGGATCTACGGAGAGGTAGTCGCCGTCAAATCGGTGAGGAAAAACTGTCTTTTGGAAAATGTCATTTTTTTGCAGCTGCTAAAGGATAGTGCAAATCTGAGCAATCTTAAAGAAAAATTGCTCGCAGAGGCACGGATAATGCTCTCACTTAGACATGAAAATGTCGTCGAAATTTGCGGATGGGCTATCGACAAGCAGCCGTTTATGGTCTTGATAGAGTACATGGAAAGTGAGTGAATCCTATTCTGAAAAAAAAAAAAACTAACTCTCTACTTCTTGAAATGCTATATATTCCATCCGTCGAGAGCTGAAATAGAATAAAATGGATTTTTTGTATGAAATCGGCAAAATCCTAATGAAGCGGTACTTTCCAGGTGGCTCGCTTGATAGCTTTTTGATCCAAAACTTCGAAGGGTCGAACAAATCCCTTCTTCTGAAGTTCGCTTTCGAAGCTGCCAAAGGATTACATTACCTACATGAGATGCTAGTGCTTCATCGTGATATGGCTGCGCGGAATTGCCTTCTTTCGTCCGATCTCACGGTTTGATCCAAATTCTCAACTAGAATGGATCCCTCTCTAGCTGAAAATTGGCGATTTCGGCCTCGCCGTAAACGGCCGTTTTCACTATATGAAGACCGCGGAAAAGCTGCCAACCCGCTATCTATCGCCGGAGACGCTATCGATGTTTGTCTTTTTTCAAGCCACCGATTGTTTTGCTCTCGGGGTGAGTTGACTTGCTAAGGATTAGCGAAAAATAGATTATTTTAGAACCTGATTTTCGAGATTTTTAGCGGAGGCATGATGCCCTACGAGGAGTTCAGTTCTGCCGATGCCAGACTAAAAGTTTGTTCCATTACTTTTGATTTTTTTTTTCAGTTGTAAGTAATGAGAGAAAGTGGACTCATAAAAAAAAGCTACCACTTTTTGAAAGCTTCTAACACATTCAATGGAATGACCAATTTCACAAAAGAAATTTTTTTTTTTGAAGTCGTATCAGTTTCATCATTGCTTTGTACGAGGGCTGAGCCTTTTAAGTTTCTTTTTTAAATTGCAGAGAAAAGAAGCAAATGCTTCGACTTCATTCACAAGGGAAGTAATTTTGTTGTTAAATATGGAGATTCTCTGTATCGCCCGAAGCTTTCGAGATGCAATAGTTGTTTTCAAAAATCAAGACTAAAATCATACTTCTCAACTTTCAAAGCTCTTATCATTTGAAGAAAAAAAAACTTTCCGTAGTCTTCATCAAGACTTTCAATAGCGCAAAAAAATTTAAAATTTAAAAGAAATAAACAAAGTTCTGTGTTGAGATCGTAAACAGCGAGCTCAATGATCTGGGAACAACCCGAGCTCCTCCGGCGCTCCGTTCTTTCGTCGAAGAAAAACTGTGGACGTATCAAATGAAGGACAGAGCTGGCATGGAGGAAGTTCTCGAATTTAGTTGGCTGATTTTCAGGAAAACTTTCAGATTGTACACTTTCTCAAAGGCCTCTACAAGGAATATAAAAAAAGGTCAGTATATTTATCTACATTTATTTTTTTATTTATTTCTTCATTGTCAGAACGAAGCAAATAATTAGAGTACAGATAGGAAGGAAATGATATAAAATTGGACAGACGATAAAGCTAAAAAGGTCATATGGTGCCCTAACGAGCACCATATGACCGTTGGCAAAAAGAGAAGAACAAGTAAAAAAATAGACTATAAAAAGACGATTGGGGATGTTAATAGTAAGTTCGCTAACAGCTATCCCAGATAAATTATCTTTTAAAGTTTTGAGGTGGCACGAAAAATTGAATTTGGTTATTAATATGTTCCAAAGCGGTATTTGACGCCAAAAGAAGTTATCTGATAATGAACCCCTAGTTTGTAACCGAAGTAGATGTCTACCCAGCCGAGAGAAGGCGATAAAGTTGTCAATTGATGGAAAATGATCAATTTTTAAAACAATTTTATGGAGAGAGAAAATATCAAGAAGAAGACGACGTTGAAAAAGCGGAAAAACATTGACTTGGGTTAATCTGTCATGGTATGAAGTGAAGCTAAGATTGCGTCTAATAAAAACCTCTCTCTCTCGAGAAAAGAAACGTAAGGAACTTTCTAATTTATAAGATGGATCAGAGTTAAGAGGTGGGTTGAAAACCTCTGAACATTATTCTAAGAGTCGACGAACATTAGTTTCTAACTCAACGCAATTTTCAGATGGAAGGAGAGCCGAAAACGAGTACGCAAGCTTCGGAAGAAGTCACCCTCGTGAGTTTAAAAAAGCTCAAAATCCGAAATTTCTCAAACTTTTTTCGAAGCTTTCTGATTAATTTCAGTAAAAACCAATAAAAATAAAACTTTTTTTGTTTCTCGAGCAAAAAAAACTCGTATCACTACAGGGAAACCAAGAGGTGGAAGCCGTTAAGAAGGGAATGTCGAAAAAAATGCGCCGACGAAAACCCGTTAGACGCGCTGTCAGTTACGCCTTTGCCTGGACCAAACCGAGAACTTTTTTAAGGATTTGCTGGAGGACATATGTCCTACGCAGGAGGAGACGGCCGCCAACATTGACTGATTATCACTCCCTGCATCTACAACCAGCTACGCCAAATGAATACTCTTTGGAATAAAAAGTGAAAATTGAAACGGTTTTGTTTTGAAAAACATTATTCTCCTCAGAACTTCAGACTGGAAGAAAAGTTTGAAAACATTGAGAGTAACTTTGGTTCTCCTTTTTGAATCGTTGAAAATGCCTTCGGAACTTTTCCCAGGAACCTTGATTGGTTTTTCCAATCAGATTGAAAATAGTCCTCATCGGAAGAGTTGAAGCTCAATGTTATATTTTGCTAGACAACCCAGTTGTTGACGTAAAATATTTATTATATATTAATACGAAGATACGATCAGATTGCTGTCCCACTTTGCGTCCATTGCTGAAGTTTTAAAATTTCCACGTGTTCGAAGATCACGTGTCGATACACAAACAGCAGTTTCTGCTGAGAAGTGTATCTCATTCCCAAAAACTTCATGCGTCCGAGCCCGAACCATGTTCGAAGTTAATTTACACTTCTTGTTTTGGGAATGACGCAGCTCTTGTGTGCGGCATGACCTGAGCGTTGCGGCTTCACTTTTGTGCTTCGCTTCACCTCAGACAACCATTTCGCCAATTTGTAGCGGTTCAGCTGAGCTGCTGTGAACAGTAACGATGGCCATGCGGGTATGCCCGTATTTTTCACTGACCTTCTGCGCCTGTTGTACGCTTTGATTACCTCACCAAATTCCCCACGGGTGGGAAAATGTATCTTCTCTTGTGAAGATACCTAGGGTGGGAAATCTGATCGTTTCTTCGTATTAATATATAATAAATATTTTTACGTCAAACAAACTGCGTTGTCTAGCAAAAATATAACATTATATACAAATACTACGAAACGATCACATTGCTAGTTCAAAGCCTCGGAATTTGGGATTTCCCTGCTTGCAAGGCGTTTGAGCGTTATCTGAAGCTCTCCTCGCGAAGGGGCCATCTGGCGACGCCTTCGACTGATAGCTCAGCCTCAAAACCTCAACCTTCAACTTCTTTGTTGTAGTTGCCTCCTGAAAATAATAGAAAAAGAGCGAAAAAACAAAAGTTTAAAATAACGGCGCAAAACGATTTGGCGCAAAAGAAAGCGGCGTCTGTATACACGTCGCACACACGCGACGGCGCATTGCGGACTAGCGCTCATTTTGAACGGCGCTCTTGGAATCGGCGCTTTTGTCCTACACTCAGATATCTAGTTAAATATAATTGTAAATAAAAATTTTTAAGCAGACGTTTTTAAGAGAAAGTTTCTAAGATTCATTATTAATAAATAATTGAAATAAAATTAAAAATCCAATAAATTTAAAAGCAGCATTTTTTTACAGCTTCATTTTTTTAATTTGTAACTTCAATAAATATTTATTAATCAAGATGTAAAGGGAAAAAAATTTTTTTGGTTTTTTTGAATGAGAGAAGATATTTTAAAAAAAATTGACTTCAAAAATGACAAATGAGCAGGAAAAAAAAGGTATATAAAGTTGGAAAAGTACACGTAATGGATTGGAGATTTTTCATAGAAGGAAGAAAAAAATAGAAAAAGATATTTTCACAGGAACAAATGACCAAAAATGAGGGCGAAAACAAGGAAAATTGATGACGAGATTCCAAATGACGTATAGTTCAGCTCGGCTTGAATATTTTTCCGCATGGTTTTCTTGGGTGACGTCGTCGTCGTTGGAGGTCTAGTCGAAGTCGTCATCAGGACGGTCGATGACGTCATTTCCTCTTCTGAATCCGGCTCGACGACGGTCAGGAGGTGCGGCTCTTCCACGTGCTTCTCTTGTTGGAAGGAGGTGAGTCTGGAAATTTTGAGTAATTTTTTTCAATTTTCAAGCTTCTGAACCATTGGGAAAAGTCTGATTGCTTTGCTAATTTTTCGAGATTCCCAAAAACGAACTTTGCCGAAGTTCCGGTGAACTGACAAGCCGGCATCAAGGTATTGGTGGTGTCCTTGAGGACCTGGTAGATGACCTGCCAGGCCGACAAGCCGCATTGTTGCTTGATCGGCGACCGGACACAGCCGGAGAAGAAGTTGAGAGCTCTGGAAAAAGAGAAAATTGAGGATAGGTCATAATTTTATAATTTTTTATACTGAAAGGCTTCTGAAACTTAAAAAGTGATGAAAGACGTTGTGAATCTACTATCGCAACGTATCATCTTATGACGTCCACGTGTCCCCTTATGACGTCATAAACAACCAAGTAATGACGTGGAAGTCTTTCGTGATGACGTCAGAACTCACTCGCACATCCGGTCAAGCTTCGCCTCCATAATGACGCCAGTATCCGTGTTCGCAGTTTCAATCTCCTTCAGGGTCTCGTCATGACATCTCTTCACAGTCGGCTTCCGATCCAGCTCCATCAGACACTCGGCCGACTCCATGAACGCTTCAAAATGATTTTATATCTTTCCGTCATGCTCCTTTAAAGGCACATCGTCAGTGATACGATAGACCTTTTCCATCTATGGGTCTAATTAAAATTGTTCGTGGTTCCTTTTCTAAAAGAACATGGATCTGAAGTTCTATAACGTTTCTTTGAGCATCTAAATGCTTTCATGGGACTACAAAGTGGTCTCTTTAGAGACAACCTTGAGGACCGTACAACACAACTCTATAGAGGCCACTAACGCTTGCAAAAGGGATCCCTATAGGTAGGGACCGCAAAGCCACGCCCCTTTTCGCGATAGAAAAAGTGGCTTTTTTTTGGTGTTCAACTTTCATTTTGCTGTAGTTGCAAAATATGTGGAACTGGATAATAAATTTTGGCACACATGTACAAAAAAGCTTCCTCTTTCGTTTGAAAAATATTTCACGCTTTTTTGATGCGTTCTCGCGGAATGTCGTACAAAAACGTGAATGAAACTAAAAAATTTTGTCGTTTTTTGCTTTTTCATGTGTTTTTAGGTCGAACGCACTCTTTCTTTTTTTAAATAATGATTTTTGATTCAAGTAACGGTAATTTTAAAACAATAAAATAAAAAATTCGTCTTTGCCAAAAATTTTAGGGAGTGCCGAAAGTCATAATTCAAAATATCGTTAATAAGCGAATATAATCGAGTTCTTGTTTTTTCAAAATTTAGACCATGGGCTTACTTAAATTTTTCTCCACAGCATATGTGCTTGAAAAAAAGTTGTTTGATACGCAAAAAAATGCTCTTGAAAATAGAGAATAAAATTAGCGGCGTTTATCACACCGAAAGCGGTCGAACGCAGGTTTTTTTAAACGATTATATACATTTATTAGTAAAAAAATCTTTCAATTAAAAAGAATAAAATAAAAAAAATTCGTCTTTGCCAAAAAAATTTACGGGGCCGTTTTAACGCAGCGATCGTTAAACGAGGCAAAAAAAGCACTAAAAAAACAGTTTTTTTCGAAGTGAATTTCCACGAAAAGTTTGAGTAAAGATTTGCGAACATATTCTGATAAAAAAATAGCTTCATTACTTCAAGTTTTTTTCTTTTTGAAATAGGCAATCTGTGCTATTCAAACGGCTCAAGGCTATGGCGGATGGAAACTCCCTTCGCTAGACCTAACAGCTTGGCGCAGCGCGTGCGCTGCGATTTTTTTCGTTTTGAGGTCGCGAGTTCGATGCCCGCAAGCGCCCGTTTTTTTGTTTTTCTGGAAAATACCGACTTTTTTTCGGCAAACTAGCTGATTAGCATTATTTTTAGCAATCTATTATGATTTGTTACATCATAATAGACCAGTATCAAAAACTTGTTCTGGAAGAAAAAAATCGAGAAAAAAATGTCAAAAAAATGGATAATACCAAAATTTCAGTACTAAAAAAATGGTGCGCGGCGCACCACAATTTTCGTCATAACTTTTTTTCATCCATAATCTTTTTTCGAAAAAAACTAAACGGTTCTGAGTTTTTGAATCGAAACAGCTATCAAACCATACAAAGCTCAATGCTGAAAAAATTTTTTTGAAAATTCGTCTGCGGTCCCTACCTATAGGGGTTTAATAATTAGCCTGGATAGGGAAAGTGACTATTATTATTATCTCCATGCAAAAAAAAATAAATTAATTGAGATTATTTGAAGAAAAAATATCAAAAGAGGATGATTTGATCAAGTTTGTTTTTCACGGCGTTCTTGTCAGTAAAACACATTTCAGGAGCTTTTATCCCAAAATTGCAAATTTTAAAATTGAAAAAAAAACAATTTCGAATATGCGATAGTACGTCTCGGTGTGTTTACACCCTAAGCATCATAATTTACGAGAAGTCTTGACCTTGCGTAATAAAAAAACGCCGTGTTTTTATTTTCAAATCTGAACTAAAGATTAGAGAACCCTATAGGGACCACTTGGGCTTAAGGGGTCCATATAAGGACCATTTAAATATTACCCCTATACGGGCTGTTTTCCCCCCTAACCCCTATAGAGACCGCTCTGGCGTCACTGAGTATGATGAGCGAAAAAAAAATCTCAAATCCTATTTTCAGGGGCCTTCCTCTTTGGATACCCGGGCGGTCTGGCCCAGGGTTTGGACCTCATTCGGGAGAAAGCCTGGATGGGCTTGGAAAAAAAATTTAGTTTTATTAAAAACATCACAGAAAAATTATTTTTTACTTGTAAATTTATAGTTTCTGTTAAACTCTAACATGTAAGGGAAAAAGATCAAAAAAAAAAATGACTTTCAAAAATTGAACAAATGACAAGTCCCGCCAGTTTTGCTTGAGGCTTTCTCTAGACCGGCCCGGACCAGGCTTAAAAAATAGCCAGGGAAATAGCCCTCGAAAAACTCACTATTATATCCATCATTGCAGAGGTATCCGTAAGAACTGTCGATGAGGGCGATCGTGACGTGTTTCTCACAGGTCCTTCGGTGCTCCTTGACGCATCCGTTGAACTTGGCGATTAGGCTGAAAATTTTGCTCCTTTTCAAAGTTTCTCGGCCTCGTCCTTTTTGGAATGAAGGGTGGATTACCGAAACGCGTGAGAAGGGACAAATTTTGATCGATTCGTTTTGGACCGAAAAGCCCTTTCGGAACGAGGGCGGCATCGTCAGCGGAAAGCTTGGGAAATGGGAAGACAAATGACTCCGAGTATGTGACAAGACACACGGTTGAAAGTTCTTGAACTTGTTTTGGGAGAAGGCGATTTTTATTTTGAGGCTATAGGAACGTTTTTACCCCTCCCCCCCCTGGTTGAAATTTTGATGAAAAAAAAAAATTTCGCAATAGACACCGTTTTCGAGTTAGGGCACTTCAAAAGCTTTGAAATAGCGCTTTTTTTTGTCTAATTTGCTTATTTTACGGGCTTTGAAGTTCAATAACTCGGAAAAAGTCTATTGCGAGAAAATTTTTCTTATTCTGCAATCAGGGGGTCCTAAAAGTACACTTCAGCAAAGTTTCAGCAAAAGTTCAACCGGGGGAATAAAAAGGTTCTCTAGAAAGTAGACTGACCACGGCGTTTTTGTCAGTGAAAGAAAATGCAGAAAAAAAAATACCAGGGGTGGGAGCTTTAAACCGTACGATTACTGTAGTTTTGATCTGTTCAGGACCCGTTTTTGGATTACAAAACCCGCCCTCTAAAGTTCTCTCAAGATTTTCGGAAAAAGTCTCAGAATGGTTCCTGAATGTTCTTTTTCTAGATTTCGAATCGTTCAGGAATTATTATCCAAAAACTGCAAATTCTAAAATTGAAAAAAAAAATGCGATAGTGCGTCTCGGTGTGTTTACACCATAAGCATCATAATTTACGACAAGTCTTGACTTGTGTATTAAAAAAAACGCCGTTTGACTATGCATAAAAATATGGAAAAAAAGTCAAAGTTTTTTTTTTCAGTCAGGACCGCCACGCAAACGCCGACGCGTCACCTTGAAGTTGGACTGAAAAAGCCAAAAAAACGTCCAAGGTCTTAAAAAGAAGTTTCCTTTCTAAAGTGTACCACTTTTTTCTACCATGAAAAACTCTCCTTAAAACTTTGCTTTCATACAAAAGCTCAAAACCCACCGACAGAGTTCATTAAAAACTCGGCCGCCCATATTTGGCAGGGAAAATGCGCTGCCAAACTCCGAGCCGCCGGTACCTCCTCTCGAGTCCTGAAACCATCATTTTTCATCAATATTTGATTGATAAATACTTGATTATTGATTATTTTCGCATACTCGGCGACGGGCCTCACGCATTCCTGGATTCTGGCGCTCGTCGAGTGCGGACACGTCGACGCGATTGACACTCCTGAAAACCCTACAGTATGCTCCAAAAATACAAAGATTTCTCGTTGTTGGAACTGTTAGAAGAGTTTTAAATCATATTCAAAACCTATTTCAAGTTTTGTACAAACTAACTCTCTTACGAAGAGACGAGCCTAACATAATTCAAATAAACGGCCTTTCTTTTTTGAATTTCTGTTGAGAGATCGTATTAAGAACTAAAAAAATTAGATGATTTTTTGAAGTTCATAAAATCCCGTACAACCATGATCCTTCCCAGTTTTTTAGTGACTTGACCTTAAGTCTCGATAAAAACCGACTTCTTCAAAAAATTCTGGAAAAGCCTGTCAGTGATGAGAACCCCATAAAATTGCCTCAGATATTGAGATAAAATTTATTTGTATAAAAAAATATTTAGTTTCCTTTTTTTCATATTATTCACTCAGCGGAGCTTTTTTGATAAACACAATGAGCCTTCAAGACTGTTAGCTTCAAAAAATAGAATGTAACCAAAAAAAATGAGCCATCAACTTTGTTTAAAACACTACTACCTTTGAAAAAAGCTCTCATTCCTGATATTTATAGATAAATTTTGACTATGAGAGCTTATCGATAGAGCATACTTTTTCAAACAAAAAATCCAAAAAAGCCTACCAATGAGCGTGGCGAAAAAGACCAAACGTAGAATCATCGTGGACAGTGCGGCATGGTGATTTTCTGCAAAATGGCGGTTTGAGATGCGGATTTTGGAAATCGTGAGCTCTCGAGCTCAAAAAAGAGCCGATTCTCACGCTCCGCGCGATGTCAGGTAGGTGATAAGGGAAGAGGAGGGTGAAGGAAAAAAAAAAGGGAAATTTCCCAAAGACGGTCACATTTCATCTTAAAATTGGGAATTTCAGAAAATAAACAGGAGTCTCTTTAATGAACCAAAAAAAAAAAAATCAACTTGCGATTTTTTTCAAGAATGGACGCTTCGTAATCAAAAAAGATAGCAATAAAAAAAGATAGACTGTTTGGAGATTTTGACAAATAGAAAGTTGAAGGTTGATATTTCAAGGTTTTCTATTTGATATAACAAGGAAAGTTCTGACCAGCGAATTATAAATTTTTGAAATAAAAAAATATCTTCTTCTTATAGCTCGAAAAAGGTTTTTTTGTTAAATTTTTCGATATTTATGAGCCCAAGGGATAAGATATAGACTTTTGACGCATCGAAATAAAAGTTGATTTTCCTCTAATTTTTCTAAGAAAATGATAATTTACAGACCTAAGAACCTCTTGTTATCACTACTTCATTGAACCCTACCACAAAATTATTTAAAGAAAAATTACGAAAAACTTCCATGAAGCAATTTTCCTGACAGATTCACGCCTTTTTCGACGACGCCACGCCCACTTTTTCTCCGTAAAGTTTCGTGTGTCGTGTGCATGCACTGCGCCGCTTTCGCGCAGAAAATTGCGTTTATCTGGAGAACTTCCGATTCGTCTTGAAGACCCCCGTGGATGTTTAAGTTTTTTTTTACTAAAAAACCGAAACGAGTCAAAATCCTTCTGTTGTTATTATGTATGAGTCATTTTTTCTCTCTATTTTTTGTGGCGGAATAACAAAATTTTCACGCGCACACAGAGAAAAAAACAACAAAAACTCATTCGAGAGTGAAAGAAATATTAAATGAGGAGGAAAAAAGGCGTCTGGAAGTATTTCAAAAAATAGACGTCCGCTCGTCAAAAATATCATCCGGAAGTCTTTTAAAAAGTCTATTGGGATATTTTTTTAAATATGTTTTTTTCCATGTATTCGAGTTGAATAGATAATTTAAATATTAAAGAAAAAAAGCCCAAAAACAGTTTAAAAACACTATTGAAAACAGCCTGGGACCTACTAAAGTCGAAAAAAATATGATAATATGTCTAAATAAGGCTTAAAACTCATTTTAGCTTCATCAACGTGAGCCTAAGTTATTACCAGACCTCGAAATATCTTCAAAAAAAAAAACGCTTGGATACTTGAAACCCTACGAAAAGCCTATTTTAAAATCCATTGGAAACTAAAACCAGGAAACTTCGTTCAGAAGGTCCTAAATTTCAATCGGAACAGCTCGGGACCTACTAAAGTTGAAAAACTTGTTGTAATATTTCGAATAAAACCTCTTAAAAAACTCAAAAACTTGTTACAGCTTCATTAACACCGCTCAAAAGGCCCAGGACTTCAAAAACTAGGAGCCAAAAAAAATTTAAAGAACATGAAAAATTCTAAAAAACGGCAACAACTGAAACCACAAAAATTCGTTCAGGAAGCCCTAGATCTCAATTGAAACGGCTAAGAACCTAAAAGAGCCGAAAAATTGGTTGTAAGGTGTCTAAAATCCAAATAAACCTTTCCAAAAGCTCAAATTCCCGTTACAGCTTCGTTCAGTGAACACAAGACTTTAAAATAAGCCTTGAAAAAAGCTAAGAACCTTTATAAACCGACAATAACTCTAAACTGCGATCCGGAAGCCCTCAACCTCCTTCGAAACGGCTTAGAAGTTTGAAAACATGTCGGAAATTTTCAAAAATATTCTCTGAAAACGCTCAAAAACTTATTACAGCTTCATTAACACCGCTCGATTAGCTCAGGACTCCAAAAACTTGGAGCCATTGAAGACCATGAAAAATTCTAAAAACCAGCAACAACTGAAACTTGGAAGCTCCGATCAGAAACGGCTCGGAACTTACCAAAGCCGAAAAATTTGTTGGAAAGTGTCTAAAAATTCAAATAAACCTTTCAAAAAGCTCAAATTCCCGTAACAGCTTCGCTCAGTGAGCATAGGACTTTAAAATAAGCCTTAAACACTTAGAACCTTAACACGCCACAGAAAGTCCATTTTAAAAACCAATAAAAACTGGATCTTCCTTCCCCCCCCTTAAAGATTGTGAAAAATTCTAAAAAAAAAACGGCAACAACTGAAAATTGGATCAGAAACCCCTTGAAACGGCCCGGAACCTACTAAAAAGTGGGCAAAAAGGCGAGGAAAAGGACATGAAAAGTCGACTCCTCCGGACATGATATTAAAAGTGGCCCATCAAACGCTTAACTCGTCGGGAGAGGCTCGAAATGAAAGTCGACTTCTCTTCTCTCTCTTCCTTCCTTTTTAGGAGCCCGCCCACTTTTTCATCGCTCTCATTTTGCAGAACCATCTCCATTATGGTAAATAACACAAGTTTCCTGAGTAAAAATGAACAAAAAAGTTACAAAAATGTCCTTCTAAAGTCTTGGAGCAGTATAAAATCCGATTAGAACGTTTCCGATGGAAGTTAGTGAGATATTGCAGAAAAAACACTACATTCGATTAGTATATCACTGAATAGTGCAGTTCTAAGGATTATTGACCAGAAATAGCGAAATTCAGGTGTGAAAAATCCTTGAAAACTTCAAAATTCAACTAAAAGAGTTCGAAAAAAATGAATTAATTAAAACTTTTTGAAAATTAAAATTCAACCAGATCTTTAAAAAGCGCAACTTGTCTTTAAAAAAACAAAATATAAAGAAATTCTGGAAAATTCTACCTGACAAAAAAAACCGCGATACTGGGAAAATTTTATGTAGCCTCTATAGGGTTTTGACGTCTTAGTGTCCACTTTAGGGATTAAAGATTAGTGGCCACTATAGAGTTCTGAGTGCTAGATGACTAAAACTACTACAGTTGCCTCTAATGAACAAAATAGTGGTCACTTTAGTGTCGTTGGGGAGTCTCTAAAGTGACCACTAAAAATTTTCCCAGTATTTTTCGACTTTCATAGTGATTTAGTGACCCCTCAAGTGATTCTTTAACTTCCTCATGATAGCCAGAATCATCCTGCATGCTCCAGCAGTACTTAAGATTTTTTTGACTAGAAAAAAATTTTTCTAACAGACTCAGAAAATATTTTTCCTATCAAATTTTTGAGAAAAAAATCGCTTTGAATTAGAATGTTCCATATTTTTTTGAATATGTATTTCCATAGCGATTTAGTGACCTCTTGAGTGATTTTTCGGGCTTTTTTTAGCTTTCTCAAGATAGCCAGAATCATCCTGCAAGTTCCCCCAGTGCACAAGGTTTTTTTGGATTAGACCAGACCCCAAAAAAATACTCTCCTGTCAAATTCCTTCATTCTATTATATTGTTATTTCTCTGCCTATTCCTTCACTTGATCATCTATTCTTCAATTATTATTTTTTTTAATGTTAAATAATGGCAGTGAATAAACTATCTAAATAAAATATTAGATCAGCAAAAACTCATAAAAACATAAAGTATAAATGAACGTAGATATTTTGAGCCGTCCTGACGGCTCCCAGGAAAAGCTGTGAAGGAGAAAAAAGAAGGTGGTCCATCAATCCGCGCGACGGAGCATGCCGAAATCGTTTCCTCCCGCATCTTTTTGGCGTGTTTCCGATCGTCCAAGGAGAAAAGAAATGCAATATTATTTATTCTCGCTTTTTTTTCTCGCAAATGGATAGGATATCATCCTCAGTGGATGAAGATTCATTATGAGCCCAAAAAGGAAGGATTTCCGATCAAAATCGAAAAAAAAAGTTACAGATCGCCTAGAGTAGATTTAAGCAAGCTATGAGCTTGATAAGGCAATTAATAACTTCATTGTTGCTCTTTAAATGATCACTTAAGGGAAAAAATACCAGCCCTGCTCAAAAGTCACGTCAGAAACTTCTGGCCGGTTCATTCGGGGATTTAATGAATGATAACGTTATCAAATAGTTATCAAAAGTATATTTAAAGATAAAAAGTGTTCATTTAAGTGATAAATAATCAAAAACTTCTTTTTTTACACTTAGGTGTTTCCAGCTGACCAATGAGTACTTGCAACATTCCAAGTGGCCCCTTAAGTGGTTTTTTGAAAGTTTAGCTTTGTTCAAGAATTTTCCAATGATTAAAAGACACATTAGTTAGTTTAAAAGCTTGTGAGTGGTCACTTAAGGGTTCCGATGATCATGCAATCAATTTTCAAAGATTCCAACTACTGGTAAAGTCGGTAAAAATAGAGTTTCTTGAAAAAATTAATCTTCCAGGTTTTAAAATAATTAAATAACTAAAAGACACATTAGTTAGATTAAAAGCTTGGGAGTGTTCACTTAAGGGTTCCGATGATCATGAAATAATTTTTTTTAAGATTACAGCTACAACTGTAGTCGGAAAGGGCGAAATCTCGAGTTTTTTCAAAAGTTGAAAACAAAAAGAAAAAAATCTTTCAGGATTTAAAATAACTTCGCAACACTGACAGCACACATAACCGAGACAGAAAAAAGGGCTCAGAGCGAAAAAAAAGGGAGTCCATTATTCTGCCCCTCAGGATCCAAAAACAAGCCGCATATGTGCATTATCCCAATAGCTCCACTATTATCCACATCTATGTATATCCGCGCAGACGCACAATTTTTCCACATTCAAAGGAATCTCGAGGCCGCGTGAAAATCGGAATGTTTGGTCAGCTGCGAGAGGACCACTGGACAGGTCGGAAAACAGGACGAAATCGTGAAAAGCCAGCTTGAAATTGGGAAGTTTTTTGAATAGTTTTTCCAAGGGAAAAAATTGAACAACTCGATAAAGCTGAAGTAAAATGCATTAATCCAACAACACTGGACCTCTGAGAACCTATAAAAACCTAGAACGCCAAAACAAAAGCCTGCTGAAAAAAGGAAAGGCTCGTCTTCTAAATAGCCCATCCAGTTTTTTTAACTATATCAATTCTTTAAAAACCACTAGAAACCTCAGAAAGTCTATTAAATTGAAAATCCTTTAAAATAAACCTCAAGACAAAAACCTGCTAAAAAACAAGTCAAGGAAAACTCGTACTCGAATTCAACCCTTTCGAAACGGCTTCACTGGCCTACCTAATGAAAAATGAGGTTTCAGAAGCTCATCAAGTCTTTTTCAAAAAATTGAAATAGTCGAAAAATCTTTACGAACTCTTTCTTAACCGTTCTCAAAACAAAAATTCAACCTTAAATTAGAAACCTGCCAAAAAAAAAAGTCAAAAATAACTGCTAAACCGATTCCGAGCGGTTCAACACGAATATACCGTCATCTAACTACATGAAGTCCCTAAATAGGTCTAGAAACCTCAAAAAAAAAACCTAAACTCTAGTGAATCCTGGGAAGGTAACCAACAGGAGGTTGGAAGGTGAATGGAAGCTAGAAGTTCTTGAGAAGACCTTGGGAAGGTAAAAAATTGAAAATGCCTGCCAGAAGCCTGCTGGAAGGTAAATAGAGGTGTTGGACGAGTAACCAATAGGTATTTGGAAGGTGAATGAAAGCTAGAAGGTCTTGGGAAAGTCTTGTAAAGGTGTTCAGAAGGTCTTTGGAAGGTAAAAAGTTGAAAATGCCTGCCAGAAGCCTTCCAGCAGGCTACTAGAAGCTAAATAGAGATGTAGGGACCGCAGACGAATTTTCAAAAAAATTTTTTCAGCCTTGAGCTTTGTATGGTTTGATAGCTGTTTCGATTCAAAACTCAGAACCGTTTAGTTTTTCAAAAAAGATTGAGGATGAAAAAAGTTATGACGAAAAATGTGGCGCCCCCCGCACCATTTTTTTAGTACTGAAATTTTGGTATTATCCATTTTTGACATTTGTCTCGATTTTTCTTCTAGAACAAGTTTTGATATTGGTCTATTATTATGTAACAAATCATAATGGAGTGCTAAAATGATGCTCATCAGCTAGTTTGCCGAAAAAGTCGCTATTTTCCAGAAAAATCAAAAACTGCTGCTTGCGGGCATCGAACTCGCGACCTCAAAACGAAAAATCGCAGCGCACGCGCTGCGCCAAGCTGTTAGGTCTAGCGAGAGGAGCCTCCATCCGCCATACCCTTTGAGCCGTTTGAATAGCACAGATTGCCTATTTCAAAAAAATAAAAAAACTTGAAGTAATTCAGCTATTTTTTTATCAGAATATGTTCGCAAACCTTTACTCAAACTTTCCGTGAAAATTCACTTCGAAAAAACTGTTTTTTAGTGCTTTTTTCCTCGTTTAACTATCGCTGCCTTAAAAACGGCCCCCGTAAATTTTTTTGGCAAAGACGAATTTTTTTATTTTATTCTTTTTAATTAAAAAGATTTTTTTACTAATAAATGTATATAATCGTTTGAAAAAAACCTGCGTTCGACCGCTTTCTGTGTGATAAACGCCGCTAATTTTTATTCTCTAGTTTCAAGAGCATTTTTTTGTGTATTAAACAACTGTTTCAAGCGCAGATGCTGTGAAGAAAAAAATTTAAGTAAGCTCATGGTCTAAATTTTTGAAAAAAATAAAAAAACTCGATTATATTCGCTTATTAACGATATTTTGAATTATGACTTTCGGCACTCCCTAAAGTTTTTGGCAAAGACGAATGTTTTATTTTATTGTTTTAAAATTACCGTTACTTGAATCAAAATCATTATATAAAAAAAGAAAGAGTGCGTTCGACCTGAAAACACATAAAAAAGCAAAAAATGACAAAAATTTTTAGTTGCATTCACGTTTTTGTACGACATTCCGCGAGAACGCATCAAAAAAGCGTGAAATATTTTTCAAACGAAAGAGGAAGCTTTTTCGTACATGTGTGTCAAATTTTATTAGCCAGTTCCATATATTTTGCAACTACAACAAAATGAAAGTTGAAAACCAAAAAAAAGCCACTTTTTCTATCGCGAAAAGGGGCGTGGCTTTGCGGTCCCTATAGAGATGTTTGGAAGGTGTGGAAGACGTTTGAACACTTGTGGAAAGCTCCCAGGAACCGAAAGCTTCCCAACCTGAGTGACCCATAAAAACCTGAGTAACCCATGAAAAACTCCTTCAAATCAACCTCGAGACAAAAAGTCAAGAATAACTCGTAAACCGATTCCCCGAGCGATTCGAGACGGCTCCACTGGCCACCGATAATGCCATGTTTTGGAGGGGACGACATAATGGGCCGCAGCCCCAACAAAACTCAACTTTTTGCGCATCGCACTAATTACTCGCAATTGACCGCCGGCGGTGGACTGACTCCTCCTCCGCGATTCGGATTGTTCCAAGGATGCCATCCGTGGGCATATGTCCAATTATCCCCTTACATGCACGGATCTTTCTTCTTCTGCAGGGCCAAGGTCTCGTTGAGGTTTTGGTTGAAAGTTCGGGCCTTTTTACAGAGATTTGAAAGTCGGAATCGGTCACAGAAGCCTCTTTTTTTCAAGCTTGGGCTTCTTTTTATTTAATAAAGACTGGGTGGAAAACTGGAGCACAGTTCTTAAGGAACATAAATCAAAGAATCTAACTACCTTAAGAAATCACTAATTTAGTAAAGCTTCTGAAGCAGTTTTGCACTCAAAAACTACACACAGATAAACTCAGAAACGCTTCCAACTTCTGAAATCTTCTAAATTCCAAGCTTCATCTCCAAGAAGGTCGCTTAAAAAAGCTACCTCTTCCACCGAAACCTTTAGTCACATATGGAATAGTCTCGGTGAGACCTGAAAAGGGAAGGGGTTTTGGCAAAAACGAGAAACGGAGGGGGTCGACAAAACCGTAAAAAAAGTTCAGGAGTTTTTTTCATAGTTAACAGTGATCGGAATAAAAAGAAAGAACTTTCACATCCTTCGGCATCAACCTGTAATTTTTAAACAAAAAAACTTCAAGCATGGGTGAGAGGGGGGCTTGGCATTAAGGGGGGCGTGTCGCCAGTCATGCTCATCTCATTTATGCCTTTCGTATCCAAAAATCCAGGAGCAAAAAATTCCGAGATTTCAAAATAAGAAACTTTGAAGCCAGTGACACACTTCTGCGGCAGTTTTATAGTCCAAACCTTTTTGGAAAGACGACTTGCTCACTCAGAAACCTCCTAATCCAACTAAAAAATCCTCAAATCTCCAAGCTTCATGCCCAAGAAAAGTCAGCAGGGTCAAAAAAAAATCTAGAAAAATAAGAAATCCTAAAATATGGATCCTTGAGCCCAATATGATATCTTTATAGTTGGCCGCTTTTAAGAGACCTATAAAAAAATTTCTGGTATTTCTAAAAACCTTCAAATACAACGGAAAAAATCCTCGAAGCTCCCAGCTTCATGCCCAAGAAAGGTCAAAACAACAACAAATCGGTAAGGCTGACATAAATAAGGAAGAAAGATGAAGGGGGGAAGGGGACAGGTGGGTCGGCGCCGTTTTTGAGACAGGTTGGCACACAAACGAGGAGCCCCCGTCTGTCAGACGTCGTCTCGACTGAAGAAAGTGCTCCTCCTCCTCCCCTTTCAGCTTTGATTTGTGGCTGGACCTTTTTCAATTGTTCCAGAGAAAGCTTTTTGCGAAACCGCCCATTTCTGAGCTTCACGCATAGTTAACCTTTGAGGAAAACGTGAAAGTTGAAGTTTTCAAAAAGAAAGTGTCCGAGTTGGGGTGGATACTGTAAACTATGAAGTAAATTCTGAAAATAATGGTAACAGAAAACTATTTCCTGTTAAGTCTACAGTAGCCCGAAGACTGTATAGGTAAAATGGGTTATGGTAGCTTACATGTAAAGAAAACCATGATTTTTACAACAAATTGACCTTGTAGAAGCTACAGTAATCTACACACTTTGTAGAAGCAACAGTAACCTACAGAACTAGTAGAAGCTACAGTAACCTGGCTTTGTAGGAGCAACAGTAATCTACACACTTTGTAGAAGCAACAGTAACCTACAGACCTAGTAGAAGCTACAGTAACCTGACATTGCAGAAGCTACAGTAACCTGGCTTTGTAGGAGCAACAGTAACCTACAGACTTCGTAGAAATTACAGAAGCCTACTGAACTTGTAGAGGATACAGTAACCTGACCTTGTAGAAGCTACAGTAACCTACAGACCTTCAAGAAGCTACAGTAACCTGATATTTTAGAAGCTACAGTAACCTCAAGGCTTTCGAAAAAACTAGTTAAAAGCATCTCAAGGCATACAGTAACCTCAAAATTTTAATATAAAAAGTAAAAAAATTTAAAAAAATCAGTGAAATCAGCAGAAAACTACAGAAACCTTCAAGCTTTAAAAATCAAAAAATCGTCTAAAAATCAGTTATAGAGGTAGCTACAGTAACCTTAAGATGTGGATTATACTGTATTATTGCAAAAATTTGAATGAAAAAGTCAAACTTTGCGGTCTTCAACAAGAGACAGTAAAACACAGTAGCCTACCAAACACTGGAATGTTACAGTAATCCAAGCTACAGTAGTCCATACCAAAAAGCGGTCACCTACACATAAGAAAAGAACAATACTGCTGACTGCTTAGTCAAGTGGCTAAGACGTCCGGTGGCCGTTCAAAAGGTCGCCGGTTCGACTCCCCCCCCCCTTTCCGCCGTCCAATTAGGCGTGAGGAGCATCATAAAGCAGATTGGATGGAAAAGCGTTCCAGCCGTGTAAATTCCAAATATAAAAGGCCGGCGCCAAAACAATCTGTGCGTCGGCCTGGGAGGAAGGACACCCCGAAAATGGCATAAAATCTTGGACGAGAAAAAGTTGGGCGGAGTCTGACACAGATGCAGTTCTTTTTGCACAACAATTCTTGTTCTTAATTGAATTGGATAGAAAGAGGAAAAGTGTATAAAAAGTGCGGAAAAAGGGGAAAGGAAACATTTTTTCGATCCTCACATGGGGTCATTTTACTTTGCGGTTGGGATTTTCCTGAAAATTGGTCAGAACACTCCTGGATGTACCAGAAGAAGATTCTGAAAGTCTCAACCTGCACAACCTCCTAGTTCTCAAGGAAAACCCTCCAAATCCATTAAAATGAGCTGTTTTGGGGCTTTAGACCCTTATTTCTTGAGAACTAGGAAGTTGTGCAGGTTGAGACTTTCAGAATCTTATTCTAGTACATCTAGAAGGATTCTGGCCAATTTTCAGAAAGCTCTTAACCTGAAACAAAAATGACCTTCCTTGTCAAATTCTTGTCTCTCAGAAGAGCACTTCTGAGTGGTCGCAGAGCAAATTTTCAAAATCATAATAAGCCATCGTTACAAATTTAGCTGATGAGATATAGGACACAAAAGCAATAAAGAAAAACGGAAAATATCAGGAAAAAATAAAGAAAAATCATTTTTAGTGACCGAAAAACTGAAAATTCTTCTTTTTTTGGAACGAAATAATTCGTTTTACTTTTTGTGACAACTGAAACAAATATGAATTTAGTAAACAGTATATGAACTGAAAGAGGAAGCTTTACTCTATATTTCTAGCAATTTTCACTTTTTTTGATGCAGTATTTTGTCCAAACGAAAACATAAAGATCAAAACCGGTAAGATTAAACTCGAAAATTTCTAGTTGATATTCAATTCCTCATAAAGTTATCTGTTTCAAAAGATTCCAGGCTTCAAAAAATATTCAAATTTTCAACAATAAAGTCTTGAACTTTCTGGGAAACTTTTTAGTGGCCACTATAGAGGCTAGCTAGGAACTACTTGGAGAGGGCACTAAAGCGGCCACTAAGCTCACCTCTATAGGGGCCACTGTTTCCTGTTTTAGTGGCCACTGTAAAGGTTCTCTATTTAGTGACCACTTCAGTAGTTTTTCATAACTCTGATAATTTTAAATCAAACAGATTGGACCAGTTATGTTGATCCATTGACCCCTAAAGTGGCCACTAAAATTTTTTGTGGTCCAGTAGTAGCACTTAGACCTCTATAGTGGCCACTAATTTTCAACCCCTTAAGTGGCCACTAATTTTACTAAAATAGGGGCCACTAAAACGTCAAAACCCTATAGTGGTCACTAAGAATTTTCTTACTGGCTTTAGAAAAAGAAAATCAGAAAAATGTTCGAAGTAACGGAAACTGGAAAAACTCGAAAACCAATCCAGTAATATTTTCTATAAAAAGGAACACTCCAAGGGCTCCAGAACACGTGTGGATAGAAGGTAAGCAAGAAACACACTCGTATAGAATGTCCCCTGGTGGCCATTTTGAAACCGAAACCTTTTTCCTGGCCAAAGCAGGAAATAGTCCATTCGCGGCACATATTAAATAACCCTCTGATATCTCACGTTACTTTTTTTTCGTCTTCTAAAGTCGAGATTTCAAAGTGACCACTTCTCAAGAAAATTCAAGATGAGATATTTAAAAAAAATATCATAGGTGATTTTTCGGCTTGAAAAAAATACTTACTAGTGAAATTTTTTTGAATGAGACTTGATTCCCCAGATGTAGTTTTTTTACGCTGATTCTAAATCTGGTCCCAAAAACTGCCCTCGAAGCCTCTGAAAAAAGTTAGGGGCCCACAAAAGCCTCCGATTGAACTATTTTTTTTTGAAGATGATGAATTGATCTGTATGAAATCTACTGGAAAGTTCAGAACTTTGAAAATTGAGCCAATAATAAACCGTCTATTATCTTCAAATAAACAAAATGGCAGTTGAAAAAAAGAAAAAAAGTTCAAAAAATTATTTTTAGGTCTATTTTAAAGTCATAAAATTACCAAATTCTGAAAAAAAGTCCTATAATAAACTTACTAATAATCAAAAAAGACATCCACGATGCTCTATGAATAAAATTTACTAGTTTTTTTGAAAATTTATTTTTTTAAAGTTTATATTCAGTTACTGATTACCGATGAATCCTGCATTGAAAGTGATAAAAAAATTTAAAAAGCTTATAATATAATTTTTTTAAAAAAATCGATTGAGAAGGATGGCACTTTTTAAAAGTCGTTTTAATCCCTAAAATGACCACTATATTCATGAAAACTGAAATTACATGATAAGAATAAAAATTTTTTTCAACTTTCAAGAACCACAACCCAAATTTCTCAAAAATTTACAAAATTTTAAAGCTCTCAAAAATTTTTTTCTCCTTCCTCATAACCCTACTAATAATAGAACCAAAAAACCAACTAAACGAATTCAAAATTTATTCCTATGCCGTAAATTGACGTGAAACAGGAGTGACATCCGCGCAGCTGTTTCTTTTCGAGGCCCCATGGAGAATTTGAAAAATTTTCGTTACCAAGGCAAACAAGGACTAATATCACAGTTCCTTTTCTCGGAAAAACAAATTTCTCAATGGCTCCGTTTGGAAAACTACCTCCGCAAGTCACATATTTACTCAACAATTCACTCAAAAAAGTCTGAGAAGCGTTGGATTTTTTGAAACCAAACAGGTTTTATTCACACAAATGTGGTTTCAGAATAGAAAAATACAACTAAATTTCATTATTCATTTTATTTTGATCCGCCAATTTTCTCAATCCTCTCTCTGCTTAGTTTTAAAAAAACGATAATTTTTTTTTCTTCAAGTATTGGGTTTTTAGGTCATTTTAGAACCGATTTTTTCTCCTGTCAGAATGAAGAGAATGGCTGGAAAATGTGGTATTTTTGAAATTTCAAATTTTTTACTTCCGAGAAAAAGTTTTTAATGCGTTTTTGGCCGAGGGACGTGAACGTGAACGACAGAAAAATCAATTTTTTAAACCGACTTTTTCCGGTCAAATGGAGAGAATGGCTGGCTTATAGGGCATTTTGAAAGCAACAAAAAATTTAGAATTTTTAGGACATTACCATTGAAAAAATTTTCCGAATTCGTTTTTGGGCCGAGGGAGAGGAATCAGAGTCTTCCTCCACTCGCTTAACAGTTTTTTTTTTCATTTCGTCGTACTCTTAAACTATGAAGGTTCAAAGTTTCAATATAACTTTAAAAACTAGACTTCACCTTCCTGAAATGCTGCTGGAAAGACTATGAATATTTGAGTTCAAATTCTCCATTTTTCTCACTAAAACTTATGAATATAGCTTAACAGGAACTACCTAATAGTCTCTCTCCAATCATTTCGTGGCGTACGGTTTTGGTTTGGAAGCTTTCAGCCAGGTCTAATGAGCTGCTTCCGTTCGGCGCCCGTATGCAAACAATCGCACTCCTCGCCGTCACCCATTTTAATAATATATCAGCCCCCTCGTTTCGTTTCCCCCAGTTTTTTCATCGGTTATCACTGATAAGCTTTTTCTAGCAACAAAACTGTTTATCTCAAGCTGATAAACTGTCAACAATTGCTTCTTCAATTATCGCTCTTTATGAGGACTCTCGACTAGGAAAGTAGTTCTACCTAAAACTTTGAGACTCTCTGAAATTCGGTAGAAACACTAAATGAAGATTCTAGAAGCCAAATTTTCAAATTTAGACGGCTCGAAAGTCTTTTTTTATAATGAATCTGAAGCATCTGGAGAAATTTTTTCGCCCTCCCGTTTGGTTATCGTCCTGTTTGAACGCGCAAGACTCAAATTGATCGTGAAAGACGGAAAAAGATAACTAAACTTTGGAGAATCAAAGATAACTTTGTTCATTGTGATAGAAACACAAAAAACCATCGAAAAAAAATTACAATTTGAATAGTTACACAACTCTAAAAAAAAACTCACCACTTTTTTTAGGAAGAATGAACGAGGAATCGATGTCCACAAAATCAGATGACGGGGCAGACCCTGGATACTACGTTCCAAAAAATATTTTGAACCCAGCCATGTTTAGGTGAGTTCAAGACTATCTAAAATTTCGAACTATTTGTTAAAGATTGGAGGAAATAACCAAAGCTCTTTGTGAAGCCAACGTCCATCAGCACTGCAAAGGCTCCGAAGAAGGCTGCATCACAATCGCACTACTCGAAGAACCACCATTATCAATGACGGAAGAAAGAAAACCCATAAGCTTCAGTTGGGTTCCAGATAAGTACGATAAAGCTTTGATAATCGCGATAATTGGGTGCTTGGCCTTGTTCTTGATACTTTTGATGTTTGCAACAGATTGAATAATAAATTTTTTTATTTTTTTTTTCACTGATTTTTAAATTTGTCCAAAAACAATTGTTGATAATTTATTAAAATCAACCAAAAATAACAACAAAGAATTTTACTTCTTCTTGCCAGCAGGGGCTCCAGCCTTCTGGGCGGCCTTGGTGACCTTTCCGCCGGATCCATCAGACTTGTCGACTGACTTGATGACACCGACAGCGACGGTTTGTCTCATGTCACGGACGGCAAATCGGCCAAGGGGAGCGTAGTCGGTGAAGGATTCAACGCAGAGGGGCTTGGTGGGGACGAGTTCGACGATTCCAGCATCACCAGACTTGAGGAACTTCGGGTTGTCTTCGACCTTCTTACCCGTTCGTCGGTCGACCTATAACCAGCAAAATAAAAATCCAAAAACTTCTTTGCACACACCTTCTCCTTCAGTTCAGCAAACTTGCAGGCAATGTGGGCGGTGTGGCAATCGAGGACTGGAGTGTAGCCAGCGGCGATCTGTCCAGGGTGGTTCATGATGATGACCTGAATGAGAGGATAAGAAATGGAAAAACCCATCATTTTACCTGAGCGTTGAAGGTGCGAGCCTCCTTGGCGGGATCTTGCTTGGAGTCAGAGCAAACTGAGCCACGACGGATGTCCTTGACGGAAACGTTCTTGACGTTGAAACCAACGTTGTCTCCGGGGACAGCTTCCGGCAGGGATTCGTGGTGCATTTCGACGGACTTGACCTCAGTGGTGACGTTCTGAGGAGCGAAAGTGACGACCATTCCTGGCTTGATGATTCCGGTCTCGACACGTCCGACTGGGACGGTTCCGATACCACCGATCTTGTACACGTCCTGGAGAGGAAGACGGAGCGGCCTGTCGGTGGGTCGCTGAGGAGGAATGATAGCGTCAAGGGCCTCAAGGAGGGTCTTTCCGCTAGCGTTTCCTTCCTTGCGCTCAACGGCCCATCCCTTGAACCACGGCATGTTGTCGGAAGCCTCGAGCATGTTGTCTCCGTTGAATCCAGAGATTGGGACGAAGGCGACGGCCTTGGGGTTGTATCCGATCTTCTTGATGAATCCAGAGACCTCAGCGACGATTTCGTTGTAGCGAGACTCAGAGAATGGCGGCTCGGTGGAGTCCATCTTGTTGCAAGCAACGATGAGCTGCTTGACACCAAGGGTCTGGGCGAGCAGAGCGTGCTCGCGGGTCTGACCGTTCTTGGAGATACCAGCCTCGAACTCACCAGTACCGCAAGCAACGACAAGGACGGCACAATCAGCCTGAGAAGTACCTGAAAAACATAATTAAAATTTGGATAAAACAACAAAAATTAATTAACGAACCAGTGATCATGTTCTTGATGAAATCACGATGTCCGGGGGCATCGATGATGGTGATGTAGTACTTGGCGGTCTCGAACTTCCAGAGAGCGATATCGATGGTAATACCACGTTCGCGCTCAGCCTTCAGCTTGTCGAGAACCCAGGCGTACTTGAAAGATCCCTTACCCATCTGAAAGGAAATATTGCGAAAATAGCCTTAATGATATGTACTTTACCTCCTGGGCTTCCTTCTCGAACTTCTCGATGGTACGCTTGTCGATACCTCCGCATTTGTAGATGAGATGTCCGGTGGTGGTGGACTTTCCGGAGTCGACGTGTCCGATGACGACGATGTTAATATGGACCTTTTCCTTTCCCATGGTGCTGAAGAGCTATTTGTTTCCCAACTGAAATTTCACGTTGAGAAAAAAGGAAATCAACCAAAATTGAAAGGAATTTTGAGCGCGGAAAGCTTTGTAGAAAACAATTACAAGGAAAAATTTCATACTCCTTGAATGAAAGTTGAGAGCGATAAAGTAAATGAATAAAAGTACTTATAAGGATATTTCGAGCAAATGCACGACAATGGAAAACACAAAAAAATAAGTATAGCTGATAAGCACATAATGAGGAAGTACAAAGACCATAGGTAAATAAATTAATAATAATAGCAGCAACGAATATTTTACCGTCTCAAGTGTGGCCTAAATTCAAAAAAGTTTTGCGACCTCAAGTTGCAAATCATGTTCCTCGCCACGAAAATTACGGTATGGTATTTTGAAAAGTTTGGCGCGAAAGTTGCGACCTTAGGATTATTCGCTCCATGGACGATTGTTTTTCAAATTTTTTTTTGTTGAAATTTTCAATTAATAAGTTAAAAATATTGGTGAATGCTTTTCGTGAAATTCTGTCGAATTGATAGTGTTTCGAGTCGTTAAATGGGCCAGAGATATTTTCCATATTTTGCAGTGAGAACACATCGGACTAACGTCGCGATCGTGTTTTCTAAATGTCCCAGAGAACCACAGCTCGAGGGGATGAAGTTTGTTAGATTTGATTTTTTCCGTTTTTATTATTAATTTCAGTGGCAACACCTATTAACAATCCAGATTAGTAATCAAAAGCCAATTGTGTTGAAATATGACCCTTTTGAGGAGCTTCTTTGGTGTGGTACTTCTAATGTTCGTTATATTCATGACCAAAGGATTCAAAATATGGCTTTAGGGAAGAGTTTCTTCATATTCAGCAACGAATCAGTTTAATCGCCATTCGGCCTTTCGTTCATCAGTCACTGGCCCAGTTCACGCTTTAGAAATAACAGATGGTGCCATATTTTCTTTATCAGACAATTCATTAAAATCAAACTCAAGACATGGCGTGAGTTTGTCAACCTTCAGGTTTTGAATAATTTCAAAAAAAAAGTAAAATTTTGGTGTTTTAGAACTCCTGATATGAAAAAAATGTGTTCGCTTTTTCGTATTCCGAATTCGACAAATTTTGTGTTGGGAGGAACTGGAGACGTGCTCATGATGTATGACTTCGTCAAAGAGAAAGAGTTGCGAACAGTTAATTTTAATTCGTTTTTCAAGTCGGGTTTTCATCATTTCAGACGCATATTTCCGAAAATGGCGCAGTAATAACGAGATCAAATGGGGGCAATTTATTCACAGCGGATTCTTCTGGAGGGGTAACCAAACAAGGAATCTTTAGTGCTTGAAAGTCTCAAATTTCTTCAGATAACAATGAGAAATCCGAAAACGTTTGAAGCTCTTCAAAAAATGTCCTGTCATGGGGAGCGAATAAGTGATTTTGACGTTCAAGGCTCGAAATTGATCACTTGTGGTTGTTCTATGAGGTTTCGATTGGAGATTTGTAAGGTTTTTAAAATGATATCACAGATTCAAAGCAGCGCATGGTGATCCGTTCGTCAAAGTTTACGATTTGCGGAGTTTTAGAGCCTTAAACCCGATTCCTCTGAGCTACGCGCCAGTTTTTTCACGTTTCATGCCTTCTTATTGTGAAAAGATTGTCGTAGTGTCACAGGTTTGCTACAGAAATTGTTGGACTTCAGAAACGGCAATTAATTTCCCTCATGTTTCAGTTTTAAGTTATAAGTATGATCCTATATTAGAGCAAGATTTAGGAAAAGTCCAGGGTTTTCAGAGGTTTTGAAAGAGATCTTCAGGCTGGACATGTCAGGATATCGGATTTAAACGCGACTGGCGTAGGAATTCCCATAATAGTTGACACCAATGGTTTGCCGCTCAATACTTTTGATTTTTCGAGTTCTAAGCAATTTATGGCGTTTGGAGCTGGCGAATTTTCCAGTATAATATCAACTTTATCAGTTTTATACGATTGAAAATTTTTCAGCTCATATTAGTTTGTATAGTGATCGAGATTCGGCAGTGATAAACGAAAACTCTTGGGATTCGGTTTTCGCTGATCCAGCTGTGAGGAGAACTTTGAAAACATCAATAAATTGATTGATTGAAGCTTGGACCACCACAATCGTTTCCAATAGAAGATACATCAACTCCATTGGCTTCAGTTCCTGTACCTTTTCCTGAAGATGACACCTTATTTAGTGATTGGCCACCGGAAATGTGTGAGCCGGCGTATAGGTTAGACAGTTATTCTTTATTTCAATAATTTTTTTACTGAACTATTCAAAAAGTATGAAGAAAGCTTTTTTTAGCATAATTCTTTCCTTAAAATTCAAAAAATGAGACATTTTCCAGAAGAATGAAGCCGCCGAGACAACACGCCGACATAAAATCAGTTCATTTCGTTCAACAGGCAAAAAATCCATTTGCCACCACTAAACTGCGTCTTCATAACGTTGTCCCTTACATTTTAGAGACCGAAGATTCGAAGCGTTTGCCTTTTAATGATAAAAACAAACTTCAAAAAAGTTATTTAGCAGTTGAGTACAAAATAGAGACTGCCAGCCTCGTCGTTCCTCAAATTTTCCGAAAATTGAATAGGTTGAATCGTCGGGGACAGGTTTTCTGAAGAGGATATTGAAAAATATTCAAAATATTGTTTGAGATTGAGGACAGCTCAAATATTCTGAAATACAACTCCACGAAACACGTTCCCATTGAAACGACGTCGCATAGTCTTCTCGTGAATCCATTGGCAACGGTATACAAATAAAAAATAAAGAAAAATAAAGAAGGATTCAGGCTTTATATCATGTTCCGGCGCTTCGAAACGTTTTCTACTCGCATTTGTGTTTAAATGGATCTTGTGTCGCTTGTCAGCTTCGATTTTTGTTCACGATGTTGAGCGATCGCGTTTTCGCGCTTCCAGAAGCCGCTAGTGTTCGTTTCGGAACAATTTCGGGTTGAAAATCGAAAGATCTCAAAAAAAAAAGTCATGAAAACGGCTTTATCCTGCTTTTGTAGTCAGAAATTTTGAAAGAACTCTTTTTCGATGATGAAAAATAAAATGAGAAATCAAACATATTTAGAATTCATTTTATCAACCTTTTGTGGAACGTACATAGTCGGAGTCCATTTGTTAAGTTTATGAAAGCCAAAACAGGGAATGAAAAAAAAAATGCAAAAAACTTTCTTGGTTTTTGACGCCTGGAAAGCCTTTTGAAGGCTTTTTTACAATTCTGCAGCAAAACTTAAGATTTTTCGAGCTTTATCTGTGTTTTAAAACTAGTAGTTTTGGTTCAAGTTAGATTTTTCTCCCTGAAAATCCAAATAAAATGCAAAAAAAAAAGTTTTCAGAGCATGAATCTTATCCGATCAATGGCCGCGGCGGATCCTTCAATATTTACCGATGATATTTTGAAAACCTCCCAAATTGCTCTCAATTGTCTACTTCGTGCTGCTTTAGGGGTACCTTAAATGTTGAAAATTTCCGCTTAATTTGGAAATTCAGGCTTCTGAAAGTTTAGTCAATGAAACGGAGCTTTCTGATCCTGAAAAAGCTGTGGTTGAGTCTCGTTTCAATGTAACTTCAAGGTGATTTTTGAAATGAGCTTACTTTTCTGAAACTTTATTCGAGTTTGAAGTTGAATTTTCTGGAATAAAGTAAAAATTTGTGAAAAATTTCGATTCAGATGCATCCGTTGTGGAAAAGCTACTAGCGCCACGACAAAACATGGATGGATTACGTTGAATTATGCGCTGGGACAAGGTTTTCATCCCGAAAAACGGCTGAAAGTTAACAAGAAATCATTTTTCAAGGGATCGCCCACACGACTTTTTGCTCTCTCCTTGAAAAATCGCTCCATTTGGGCGGGCAGGTGGAAAAGGAGTGCCAAGAGTGTAAATCTGTGGTTAGTTTTTGCTCGGGAAATTTAAAAATGAAGTTTCGGGCTGATTTTTCAGGTGATGTTGTTCAAAAAGCATTTGTGGTTTTTAGGTTTAAGATTAAGGAAGAATGAAGATCTGTGGTGAAATACTTCTGAAAAAGGTTTCGAGAATTATCGTTTTTTTTTCTCTTGGATAAAAATGACCTCTTTCAACGGATTTTCTCCAGTAAAAGATTTTTTTTTGTTGATATTTTGTATTTTCCAGACGAGAATGGAAGAAAGCCGTCGCGTGAATACCCTTGCACCTGTACTTCTAGTAGATGGAAATGCTGGCAGCGAAAAATTCATCGAATTTTGGCAGAAACATTTGGCGGTTTTATACGTAAAACTTATATTCAAATACCTTTTCTGTTGAAAAGATCAACGAGAGGCGGCCGAGGTATAAGAAGCCGGAAAATGAATGCGTCCTTGGTGAGAGGATCAAGCCTGAGAAACAGTGTCGATTCGGGTCGGCTTGTAGGAATCGGTGGGTTTTTTGATGCGAAAGATAAGCGACGGCCTGAAGAGACGCGAGAGAAAGAGACTTTTTCAGCTTCTCTGGCGTCTCTTCAGGCTGTTGTTGATCTCTTTCTTTTCACTCTAACTTATGTCTTTCACCTCGGGCAAAATCGAAATGGTGGATAAGGGCTGCTAAAAGGAAGAGGCTTAAAAAAGGCGGCAAAAAGGAGTCCTTTCATAAAGCCTTTTATTTTTTTCGTAACTATAAAGGCTCAAAAAATGGTTTTAAAAAAACTAGAGTCAGCAAAAATGGTGCAAAAGTGACGATGAAATGGCGCAAAAAGGTATCAAGTAAGGAGCCTTTTTCACCCTAAAAGGAACATTTTTTTGGAGCCTTTTTCCACCCTTTCTGACTGTGGCTATGAAAGCTGAAAAAATGAAGAAACCTTTTTTCTCCGCCTTTTTATTCTTAGAATCATTTTCCTCGTTAACCTCGCTCTGAAATTCACATTTTTTCTGAAAATTCCCACTACTCTTTAGCTCATTTCTCGCCTGTTTTAGGCCATCCTGCAAGTTTTCTCATGGAAACAGCGATTGGGAGGCTGAATGTGAGACTTGGCTTGAAGATACTGGAGGAGATTGGAAGCATTTCGTGCCGAATAAGTTTTCCGTTGAGGTAATTCAGCTTTAGGCTGATTTTCTGGTGAAATTTGCTCTTTTCCGCCGCTTTCTTGAGGAGTTTCAAGTGTAATTTGTCATTTAAAGCGCAAAATTTGAATTTTTTCGGTTTCTTGTCTTATTGATCAGTTGCTGAAGTTAAAAAGTTAAAAATAACAAATTTTATAGATTTCTTTCTTGTGTGTTTTTTCTAATTTTTCCAGCTTTTCTTTCACTTTTTCAACGATAAGAGTCATTTTTTCTTATCTCTTGTTCTTATTCTGTTCAAATTTAAGATAGCTGACAACGGAATTGTTCGATTATCAAGCCAAGAATCGCTGGACGTCACTACCAAAGGCCGAACTTATAAATTGGTCAGTTTTGATATTTTTTTTCACCATAAAGGCTTTTTTTTCCAGGTTGCCATGGTGGAAACGATAGGAACCGGTGAAAAACCCGGCGATTGGACCCATTCTGTTGTTTTGTTGAAGGATGAGAAAGAGAGGTTCTTTTTTAGGATTTTTTTGAGCTTTAAGAGAGGAAAAAAAAAGTTTTCGATATGAATAGCAAGTCCTGGCAATTTCGAATATTTTCGAGTATATTTATTTGGAAAAAAATTTTTTGAGTTTACCAAAGTGAGATTGTATGTTGGATTTTGTTTCAGAAGCCCGAAAATTTTTTTGATTTTTCGCTAGAATAGGCTTAATTTCAGCAGTTTCTTGTAACACTTTGTCCTAACTTCATTACAAAAATGAAATGTAAAAAAACTTGCGATGTGAGGTTTTTCCGTTGACTTTTTGAACCTATATAGTAACCCTGGTTGTCGTGAGGTTTATAAGTTTCTTCAGATTTTCAGAGTTTTCAGAGCGTCTAGTTTAAAACTATATTTTGAATTTTTTTTTTAATATTTGACCTTCTAGGGTGCCCTGGGCGGTTATCAATGAACTTTTGGTGACACGGATTCACGAGGATGAAGCCTTGCATTTGGATGCTCGATGGAGATTGCCAGTTCTGTTGGTTTATGTCAAAGAAGAGCATTCCCTGGACCTCATGAGTGGTGAAAATCCAAGGAATAACTTTGAAAATGTATAGAATTATTTTAGTTAAAGAAAAACGGTGTTTGATCCCGCAATCGGTGTTCTTCACTGACGAGAACTTGACCGGAAATGAGGAGGTTTTTTTAAAATTCGGATTGAGAACTGTAGTATTCCCTTAAGGGGAATGATATTTATTGTCATTTATCCTTTTTCTTGTAGTGGCCAGTTCTTTAATTTTGTTAACTTTTAAAGTGGCCACTTCAAATTATTTCAGTTGGCTTTCTGATCTAGATTTTTTTCTGTCAATTTTTTTATTTCCTAATTTTTTTCTTCTCATTATGAGCACGAGAGTTTTTTTGCCAATTGAGGAATAAAATTTAAAAAAAGACTTTTTCAGGTCGCCAGAGAAAGAAGACAGTTGAAGCTTCCGGAAAAGGGCGAAATTGTCGGAATCGACGCGGAATTTATCAAAATTTGCCATGTTTGTAGATTTTTTTGTATGTCCTGAAAAAATATTATTTTCAGGCTGTTAATAGTTTGATGAAGAATGTAATGAGAGCCGCCGCCCGTGTTAGTTGTGTTGATTCGTCTGGGAATAATGTTTTCATCGATGATTATGTGATTACCGATGAGAAGGATACGGTGGAAGACTACCTGACCAAGTTTAGGTCGGTAAATTTTTTCGAATTGTGGTTCTTATGATTTATATAGCCCATTCTGCGCCAGCTACCTGCAAAAAAGGTCGTATACAAAATTGGATCAAAATTAGCCATTTTCGCTTCAAGACCTTTGTTTTTTGCTGTCCCTTTAGCTGTTTTTAGAGTGGCATTTTGATGAAACATTGCTAAGGTGTACTGTAGGACCATCAGATTTCAAAAAAAAGCTAAAACTTCTCGAAATCGATTTTTTTTTCGAGTTATGAAGCTTCAAAGTTAACACACTAAATCAATGGTGAGGGACAAGAGGGGATTTGACACGCGTATAAACCCTTGACTCCAGTTGGCTACGTGGTGTAGTGGCTTGTGACTTGCATTGCCGTGGCTATGGTCAGGGTTCGAGTCCTGTTGAAGAATTTCGTTTTTGCCAAAACTTTTTCTTATAAAGCTATATTATTTTTGTTGAATTTGTTCAAAAGATTTTCTCAAAAGATCATTCATACTCATAGCCGGTTAGAAAATAAATCAGGTAAGGTTTATTTGAGCCGATAACATTTTTTTCAGTAAACTTTTACAAACTAACAAAATAATTAATAATAAACTTTTTGAAAGTTGATTAAACGTAAAAAAACAGTTTCCTAGTAAGCCCTAAGCAGAATTTTTCGATGTTGAAATATCCCAATCAACCTTTTTTCAGTGGAATCCAAAAAGACGACCTCGATCCGTTGAAATCGACCAAACATCTGACTACATTGAAACGTGTTTATTTGAAAATCCTTTACTTGGTTGAAAGGGGCGTCATTTTTGTTGGCCACGCTCTTTTCAATGATTTTTCCGTCTTGAATATTTTTGTGAGTTTTACTTCTGAAAGAAAATGAAAAAAAGTCCTATTTTAAGGTCCCACCCTCGCAAATTATCGACACTGTCCTTTTATTCCGGCTACCTGCCCAGAGATTGTTATCCTTGCAGTTTTTGGTCTTCCATTTATTAGGTAATAATCGAAAAAAAAAAATTGAAACTCTGAGGGGTTTTTAGGGGAGAAAATACAAGAAGACGGACATGATTCGGTGGAAGATGCGAGATATGCGTTGAAAGTTTTCAGAAAGTATGAGGAATTGAAAAAAAGTGGTGAGTTTTGAAGGGAAAAATTGGAAAAACAGCAATTTTTCATTTAACATCCATTTTCTTTGGCCAAATGAATGAAAAAAAAGTCTTTTTTTTCTGAATTAAAGAAGTTTCATGATTTTCGTTGCTCTCAAAAGAAAACTAAAGCTCAAATTACAGACAAACTGGACTCTGAAATCAGAAGATTGTATGAAATTGTGAAAAGTTCGCTTTCCTCGCCGGTAAAAAGCGTTTCTCCAACTGAAACTCGAATTCCTGTCACCCTTTAGAACCTCTAGATTTTTTTTTCTTTGTACCAATATTCTTGTCGTTTTCCCTAGTCTTCAGAGCATTTTCTTGTTATTTTCACGGTTCGATTGTACAATTTTTACAATTATTCGTTTGTATAGATCTGTTTTGTTTCGTCAAGTTTGGTAATAATAATCTCATCTGTGTACTAACATTGTGCAGCTACTTACGTTATATTTGATTATGTAAAAAATGTTTGTATTTTGGCATATTATCGACCTTTGTTCTATGTAAATTGATATGGTTGTGAAATTGTGCATAATTGTTGCCCCCCAATGAGAATTTTTTCATCCTAAGCCAGCAAGATCACCTGATTTTTTAGTATGGGTTATTCTTGTTGAGCTCTTCCCTCTTCTTGACATTAAAAAAATTGTAAAACTAATAAACATGAACAAATTGCAATTGCGCTCCATGGAAGTGTGAAAAGGGTTGCGAAATCTTTCGACTATTTTATAGAAAACAGGCTCTTCTTTGTTATATACTTGTTGTATATCTGTTCAAGAAGGTAATTATTGAGATTTGGGGCTTCGAATCTTGATTTTTGCCTTGGCCTGAATAAAACTGAAAAAAAGTGGAATTTTTTTAAATGTGGAAAAAAAGTAGTTTTTTTCTTAGTTTTTGAATAAAAAAAGTAAAAAAAACGCTGTCGAGCGAAAAATCCCTTTTTTTGTTTTAATTTGGATAAAAAGTCCAACTTTAAAGCTTTAAGAACTAATAAGCATTTTTTTAAAAAAATCTGAGTTCAAGGAATTTTTTTAAATAATTTGTATCGAAAACTCTTGATATTAAAAGGTCAAAAAAATGTTGTATTTTCCAAGGTTTTCCGTTTTTGTTAAAAAAATGGGTAATTTAGCATATCGTATGATATTTTTTTAAGATAATTTAAAGACATTTTCAAATAATTTGAATCGAAAACCATGTATTTTTTTGTCAGAAATGTTGCATTTTTCGAAGGTTTTTTTCCGTTTTTTTCTTTGTAGTTACTTGAGTAATTTAGGATATCATATGATATTTTTTAAAGATGCCACGTCCCGCCAAACGGCGTGGAAAAATGGGAAACCTACAATTCGGAGTACAACGCTGAGGAAGGCTTTAGCAATGCTGGAATCGACAAGCAAATTGAAAAAGAAACCGCGGCGCCAGGTTTTTCGGATTTTAGAACATAAAAAAATCATTTTTGTAGTAAAAATTTCAAAGTGAAATGTTCAGTTCCCAAGGCGGCGTCTCAAAATTTGGATGGAGAAACTACGAGTGTAGCGACGGACGAATTCGGCAGCAAGGATTACAGAAATGATATGCCTTTGAAGGTAGAAAGTTAAGAAAAAAATGAAAGAAAGCGCATTTTTTGATGGGAAAACTTTCAGGCAGTATAATTTTTTTAAGTTTTAAAAAGTTTAAAAGAAAATCGAAGTAAACAGTTGATTTTCAAGGAGGATAATTTCTTTTAACTGTAAAGTTTTTTTTCTGAAAATGACTTTTTTTTCAGAGAAGGATCATTTTTATCAAGCGGAGAGTTCCTTTTGAAGAGAAACACTATTATTGACTGAAAAATTATGTTATTTCAAAGAGAAGGATGAATAACAATATAGAAAAAAACGCTTTTTCTGAAAGCTGAAAAAAATCATCGTTTTGAAATAACCTAAGCTTGAACTAGAATTTCAGAAAGATAATCTATTTTCCTCATATTTATCTATTCTCGGATTAAAAGTAGATTTTTAAAGGTCATGAGCGTCTTTCGGATCAAATTTGACTGGAAGAAAAATTTTACTTCGACAATTTTTAGTTTTTTCAAACAATGATTGATTTACTAACTATGTTAAAAATTTTTTTTGGAAAGTCATTCGAATTTTTTCAGCCCGACTTTTCTCACCGACCTCTGTGGGTGGCTCCTGACGGCCATATCTTCTTGGAATCGTTCAGTCCCGTCTACAAACACGCTCGAGACTTTTTAATCGCTATTTCTGAGGTCTTTTCTTGGATCTAGCTATAAAAATCCTTGCTGCAGTGTTTAAAGGAGCATAGAAAAGTTTTGATGGATGTTTCAAGGCGAAGATTTTTGAGGCTTTGAAAATATTAGTGCCTTTGAAAACTTCAGCGTGAATTTGTGAACAAACTAGACATGGAAGTTTTTTACTTGATTGATAATTTTCTATTCTTCAGCCAATTTGCCGTCCCGAACACATCCATGAGTACCAACTCACGGCTTACTCGTTATATGCCGCCGTTTCTGTCGGATTACAAACGAATGACATTATCGAGTACCTGGAAAGACTGAGTAAAAGTCATCTGCCGAAAGGAATCATTCAGTTTATTCAGGTTTTCAAATGAAAAAATTGGTTTTTGGGTCATTTTCTGTATTAAATTGAGAAAAAAAGTTTTATTTTTTTTGTTGAGTTTTTAGTTTTGTCTTTACCTTTCACGTAGATTTTTTCATTCTTCTAGTGCTGTGGAGATTTTTCTGAAGTTCTGATTTTTTTTAGAATTTTCCCGCACCTTTTTTTTCAAGTTAGTTCCGGGCCAGTTTGTCACGAAGTAAGCCTAAAATTCCTTTCTATTAAAGGCGCATGCATAGAAAAAGACCGTGCGCTTCGAAAGGAAGGGATTTTGTAGCTTGGAAGAACAGGAAATACTTTTTACGTGTTCAAAATGATTCCGTGAAATCCAAGCCGTTAGAGAAAGAAAAAGATAACTAAATCTCGGAGAGCCAGAGATATTTTCACATTCCGCGGAAATTACTTTGAACACGGCATTTAGAAGCTGGCGCAGAATAGGCTATAACATTATTCTGTCACAAATTCAACTTCCAACCCTTATTTCAACTCTTTACTTATCTTATTTCCAGCTCTGCACCGTCAGTTACGGAAAAGTGAAGCTGGTCTTGAAGCATAATCGTTATTTCGTCGAATCCCGGCATTCGGATGTCATCCAGAAACTTTTGAAGGACAAAGTCATTCAATCGTGTATTTTGGATGACCGGGCGAATGCTGTCCAGCAAGCACAAGTTCGAAATTTCTATATTTATGAAAAAAAAATTTTTTTCTCGCTTTTCGTTTCAGGAACTTTATTCCAATGCTTTCTTGCTATTTGAGATTTTTAATCTTAAAAAGATTTAAAAAAAATCTTATAGGGATGCTGGAAAAGTTGGTCGCTTTTTGTAGCCATTTTTGGACATTTTGAAGTTTTTTCAGTTCTAAATTGTTTGAATGTTCAAAAGGCGTAGATTTCTCAATTTCGATTAGTTTTTGAGGTTCAAAAATCGAATATAAGCGGCCCAATTTAAGGTTTTTTGTGGTTTTTTCGATCAATTTCATGTCAACCTTATTTATCTGGACTTGAAATCGAAACATGTGAACTGTGAAATAGTGTTAATTAAAATTTGAGAGCATGCGAAAACAGAAAATTCATTTGAAATCTGAAGTTTTGTAAATTTAATGGCCAGAATTTTGTAAAACTGCCTTCGAAACAGTCATATAATGAAGAAATAGGTACTTTAAAACCGTTAACACTTCACAAAAGCTTAAAAAAATCTTCCAAAACTTGAAGAAATAGGTGTCATAAAAAAATTACCGAACCGACCGACTTTTCCAGCATGCCGGTCATCAGAAAAAACAAAACGTCTCTTAAAACGCTTCAATTTATTGTTTCGGAGCACCTTGTTCGAGAAATCTGCGTTTTAAAAATGCTCTGTGTATCCGCCAGCTTCTTTTCAATGTCTCATTAATTTTTTATTTCAAGTTAGATCGATTAAGTTTAAATAAAAGAAGATATTTTTCTTCATCCTGCTTCAAAAAGCTCCTTCTTCCAGCTTCCACAAGAGAAAATCAAGTTCCCGCAAGGGAAAACCGACGAAAATGCGGCGAAACAGAAAGAGAACGAATCTGCCGACGTCCCTCAAGATATCGACGAATTCTATGGGAAAATGGATCGGGACGATGAAGACGACGCCGATATCCGAAGCCTTCAGTTGCTCACCTTTGAAATTAAACAAGTTTTGGAAAGAAATAAGTTCTTTGAATGATGATTTTGCCTCAGGAAACCATCGAAACTGTCCAAAAAAGGTGCATCGAACTGGAATATCCGCTGCTCGCCGAATACGACTTCCGAAACGACACGATGAACGCCAATTTGGGCATCGACTTGAAGCCGTCGACCACTTTGAGACCTTATCAGGAGAAAAGCCTGAGGAAGATGTTCGGAAACAGTCGCGCGAGGTGGAGAGATCTCATTGAAATATATGAATTTTTCAAAAAAAGGAAAATATCATACTGAAATTGACAGAATAACGAAAAAAATACTCCAAAAAAATAGTTTCGAAATGGGTTTTTTTCTTGAAAAATAAAAGGTGATCTATAAAATAATTAAAAACCCCGAATAAAGTAAAAATATCGTACTAAAATTGACAGAAAAAAACGAAAAAAATACTCCAAAAAAATAGTTTCGAAATGGGCAGTTTCTAGGAAAAAAATAAATAAAAAAATAAAAGGTGATCTATAAAATAATTGGATAAAATCCCGAATAAAGTAAAATATCGTACTAAAATTGACAGCAAAACAAAAAAATACTCCAAAAATAGTTTCGAAATGGGTTTTTTTCTGGAAAAATAAATAAAAGGTGATCTATAAAATAATTAAAACCCCGAATAAAGTAAAATATCGTACTAAATTGACAGAAAAAAAACAAAAAAAAGTAGTGCAAAGAATAGTTTCGAAATGGGTTTTTTTCTTGGAAAAATGAAAGTTGATCTATAGATTAATTGGAACGATATAAAATCCCGAATAAAGTCAAATATCGTACTAAAATCGACAGGAAAACGAAAAAAATAGTGCAAAAAAGTTTTGAAATGGGTTTTTCTTGGATTTATAGGTGATCTATGGGGTCTTGCGAAGTTAGGTTTAAAAAAAAAATGAATAAAAAGGGATCTATACAGTAATTGAAAATATATAAATTTTCAAATAAAGCGAAAAAATCTTACATTTGCAATAGAAAAACGGAAGATTGGCTTGTAAAAAACTTTGAAATGGGTTTTTGCGAAGTTAGGTTTAAATAAAAAATTAATAAAAATTGATCTATACAGTAATTGGAACTATAAAAATCCCGAATAAAGTCAAATATCGTACTACAATCGACAGGAAAACGAAAAAAATAGTGCAAAAATAGTTTCGAAATGGGTTTTTTTCTTGGAAAAAAATAAATAAATAAAAGGTGATCTATAAAAATAATTAAAAACCCCGAATAAAGTAAAAATATCGTACTAAATTGACAGAAAAACAAAAAAGTAGTGCAAGAATAGTTTCGAAATGGGTTTTTTCTTGGAAAAAAAAAATGAAAGTTGATCTATAGATTAATTGGAACGATATAAAATCCCGAATAAAGTCAAATATCGTACTACAATCGACAGGAAAACGAAAAAAATAGTGCAAAAATAGTTTCGAAATGGGTTTTTCTTGGAAAAAAAAAAATTTATAGGTGATCTATGGGGTCTTGCGAAGTTAGGTTTAAAAAAAAAAATGAATAAAAAGGGATCTATACAGTAATTGAAAATATATAAATTTTTCAAATAAAAGCGAAAAAAATCTTACATTTGCAATAGAAAAAAACGGAAGATTGGCTTGTAAAAAAACTTTGAAATGGGTTTTTGCGAAGTTAGGTTTAAATAAAAAATTAATAAAAATTGATCTATACAGTAATTGGAACTATAAAAAAATCCCGAATAAAGTCAAATATCGTACTACAATCGACAGGAAAAACGAAAAAAATAGTGCAAAAAAATAGTTTCGAAATGGGTTTTTTTCTTGGAAAAAAATAAATAAATAAAAGGTGATCTATAAAATAATTGGATAAACTACCGAAAAAAAGTAAAATATCGTACTAAAATTGACGAGAAAAACAAAAATAGTGGATGATTTGCTGAAATTTCTGTTCATCCATGGGCAGACCATATTCAAAGGCCCCTCCTCCCAAGTTTTCTTAAATTAAAGTTTATACTACCGTCCTGAGGCTAAAGCTTGTATCATTGCGGCCAAAAATACCTCCCGGAGGTTGAAACTTGATTTTAGTCACTAGTTTTCCAAAAATGTTTTGAGCCCTTCTCCCGGGCTGAATGAGTTCTGTACCATCTATAATTTTATTCTTTTTTTCTTTTTTTTTGCATTGATGTCCTCGGGATTTTTCTTGAAAAATGTCTTTTTTTAGATCCGGTGTCATTGTACTACCTTGCGGTGCAGGAAAGACACTAGTCGGTGTGACTGCCGTTACGACAGTCAACAAAAGATGTCTGGTCTTGGCCAACTCCAATGTGTCTGTGGAGCAGTGGAGAGCTCAGTTCAAGGTTTTCATGATAATTCAGACGAAAAATAAAGGTTTTATGTATGATTCCAGCTGTGGTCAACGATTCAAGACAAGCAGTTGGTGAGATTCACGAGGGAGGCTCGTGATCCGCCGCCTTCTGGAGCTGATGCTAGCAAGGTTCTGGGAGCCTGAACTTTTTAAAAAAATAACATTTTTGACAAAAGAAATATAAAATAAACTTTAAAAAAAGGAGGAACTTGAGATATATGAAGGTAGAGAGTCGAAGATCGGACTTTAAACTTCGAAAAAAATTAAAAAAATTTGAAGATACTTTAACTGATTCATTTGTTTTGAAACGTCTCAAGTTGTTCCATTTTTTTCAAGAATCTTTGTGAAATTTTTTTGTAAATCGGCTTTTTTTCCCGAAAAATTTTTCAACTTACGATGATTATTTGAAACTTTGAAAACGTTCCGAGTACTTGCCGGTCAGAAAATTGAAAAAAAAAGAATATTTTTATGATACCATTTTTTGTATGTAGAGATATCTTTCAGTTTTGAAGTCCAGAATTCGTTTCCAATCTTTTTGTCATTCTGAAAACGAAAATAAGTTGACTATGAAATCTGGAAACTTGTGTTGTAAATTTTAAAATGAAGTGGAACTGTGTTAAGTTCAGGATTTATTACGAAAAATAAAACTTTCATTTTAATTTTTCAGCCCGTCGTCTGTATCAGCACCTACTCCATGGTGGCTTACACTGGCCGGAGAACTTATGCGGCTGAAGAGGCGATGAAGTTCATAGAAAGCCAAGAATGGGGTCTTTTGTTGCTGGATGGTAGGTTTTCATAGGAAAAATCTCTTTTAGGAATTTTTTCTATGTTCTATCAAACTGGAAAAAGGTTAGGTTCTTGTGAGAAAAATTCGATTTTTTAGAAGACTTTTTTGGCCTGAATCATAGGTTATTGTAGGAAAATGTTCAAGCTGAAAAAATGTTGTGAAATGCTCAATTCGAAACCTTCAGAAGTGCACACGATTCCCGCCAAAATGTTCCGTCGAGTTTTGACAATCGTCCAAGCTCATTGCAAACTCGGATTGACGGCCACGTTGGTCAGAGAAGACGACAAAATCACCGACTTGAACTTTTTGATTGGTTAGTAGAGTTGAAAAAAAAATGGGCTTCCGGAAAGAAATTTCATGTTTTAGTCCATTCCACCTCAGCTTATCACGTTTTTATCCTACGAACTATAGAACCTTCCATCCGATGCGCCTTTAATAGAAGAAATCTTTAAGCTGAATTAAAGGCGCATGCACCGAGAGAGACCAAGGGAAGCTTCCCAGTAGATTTTTATTTGCGTTCAACTCTTCTGGGAAGGTTCCCTTCAAAACGCGTGGCCTATATCTGTCCATGCGCCTTTAATAGAAAAAATCTTCACGCTGAATTAAAAGCGCATGCACAGAGACAGGCCAAGGGAAGCTTTCCAGAAGATCTTTATTCGCGTCAAACTCTTCTGGGAAGGCTCCCTTCTAAACGCGCGGCCAATATCTGTTCATGCGCCTTTAATAGAAGAAATCTTTAATCTAATTAAAGGTGCATACGCAGGAAGAGGCGCAGGGAAGCTGCCCGGAAGATTTTGGTTTCCGTCCAACTCTTCTGGGGAGGTTCCCTTCAAAATGCGCAGCCTATATTCGTCCATGCGCCTTTAATAGAAGAAATTTTCAAGTTGATTTAAAGGTACATGCGCAGAGACAGGACGCGCGTGTCAAAGGAAAGGAAAAATAGTGACAGGATGGAATAGAATAAGCTGTAGAAAAAATCCCAAAAAACAATAATTTTTTCCGTAACAACGAAAATTCAACGCTCTCAAGGCTGTGTTTTACGATAAATCACGTTACGCGAATCATTTTGAGGGTCTGAAGACTACGAAACTTCCTTTAGACGCATTTTTCGATTAAAAAATGACTGAAAATTCGAAAAAATAACATTTTTTCTTTGAATAGGCACTTCATTTTCGTGAAAGTTGTGAAACTCAACAGTGATGTTTTTTTTCTGGTTTTTAAGAGTAAATTAGCTCGAAAGACCAGTTTTTAAGAATTATTGTGCTTGGTAGACGATTTTTTGAAAGGTACCAAACAATAAAATTTTTTTCAAGTTTTTTCCCCAATTGAGATTTATTCTCTTTTTTTGATAGAAAGCTGCAAAGTTGGATCATTTCAGGCCCGAAAATCTACGAAGCCAACTGGATGGAACTCCAAAAAGCTGGCCACATTGCCAAGGTCCAGTGCGCCGAAGTCTGGTGCCCAATGACTTCCGAGTTTTATTCCTATTACTTGAGGTTTTTTTGGGATTTTTGAACTATCCGAAATTATTGCAAAGGGAGACAAGGAGAAAAAAAGAGCCTCGATATTTTAATTCAGTTTTGAAAATTTGATTGAATCTTAGAAAAAACATTATTATTGGTTCAAAAACTGTCAGAAACTAGTTAGAAAAATTTCTCGAACGGGAAAAAAATTTTTTTGAAGATTTTTTTGAGAAGGGAAAAATAGTTTTTAAATAGTGAATTTTTGCCGAAAATGATTGGAAAAAAATGACAGAAAAGGTTAGAAATTTAATGTGAAATTTCCCCAGAAACGAGATTTTTTTACGATGATTCATTAACGACTAAGACATCAAAATTATTGATTTATTGATTGAATTTCCCATTTTCTAGAGCTCAAATGGCCCGACGCCTTCTGTTGGCCGTTATGAACCCGAATAAATTCCGAATTTGCCAATTTTTGATTAAATTCCACGAGAGACGCAATGATAAGGTCATTTTTCCAAGTGTTCCCTTAAGTTAAAAGGTATTTTTTAGATCATTGTCTTCTCCGACAACGTCTTCGCTTTGAAAAAGTACGCGATCGAAATGAACAAACCGTTTTTGTACGGTGAAACGAGCCAAAATGAACGGATGAAGATCCTCCAGAACTTCCAGTACAATCCCCGGGTCAACACCATTTTTGTGTCAAAGGTAAAGAAATTCAAAAAAAAAGGAGGAAAAATATTTCTTTACGTTCATTTTTTGATTTTTTTCTTCAATAGAAGTTAGGGTATGAAGGGCTATTTTTAAAATTTTATTGCTTGAAATAATTTTTTTTTGACAGTTCTGAAGGTTTTTGCTTCGAGTAACACTGTTTTAAAAACAGAAATTTCGAAATCTCATAACTAAAATTTTAAAATTTCTCTAATTTTCCCTTTTTTCATCGAAAATCGCTCACGAAAGTAGCCATATTTTACTTGAATCATTATTTCTCAAACTTCATTTTTTTCTGTTTTTTTGCCTGGGATTCGCTATGAACAGAATTTTTATGAAGAAGATAATTAATGTCTATAGGAATTTTTATTTTTTTCAATATGTGACAATTTCATTTTTTTGGGCTAAACTAGGGAACGTTTTTTACCCCCTGGTTGAAATTTTGATGAAACTCTGCCGAAGCGTAGGGTCTCCTGATTCCAGAACAAAAAAACGATTTCTCGCAATATTTCTGCTTTTTCGAATTCAGAAGAGTCCAAAATAGTGCTTTTTTTTGCCATAAATTACGTATTTTACGAACTTTTTCTGGGAAGGTTGGCATAAGAAATCGTTGATTTTCCTTTTATCAAATTTTTCCTGACTCTTTTCTTTTTTTTCAAGGTCGCCGATACTTCCTTCGATTTGCCCGAAGCTAACGTTCTGATCCAAGTTTCAGCTCATGGCGGTTCCAGGCGACAGGTTTTTTTTTTAATCTCGGAAATGGAAATATAAATCATTTTCAGGAAGCCCAGCGATTGGGTCGTATCCTTCGAGCCAAAAAACACTCAAGTGACCAGTTCAACGCATTTTTCTACTCCCTGGTATCGCAAGATACCGTTGAGATGGGATACTCGAGGAAGAGACAACGGTAGAATATTTAAAATTAAAAAGAGCTCAATTAAATAACTTTGCAGTTTCTTGGTGAACCAAGGTTACGCCTACAAGGTCGTCAACAGGCTGCCCGGAATGGAGAAAGAGGACCTGAAACTGGGGACGAAGGTATGAAATGATTTTCAGAATGATGTGAAAACATGAATTATAAACGCTTGGAGGCTTATAGAGGGTTTGAAACAGGGCTGCGCGGCAATCGCTGGCGTTTTTGGCGACGCCCCGCCCATATTTTTTTTTTCCCGTAAAGTGTGGTGTGTCGTGTGCATGCACCGCGGCGCTTTCGCACATGAATTATAATAGCTTGAAAGCTTATAGAGGGCTTGAAACAGGGCTGTGCGGCAATCCCCGGCGTTTTTTTGGCGACGCCCCGCCCATATTTTTTCCCGTAAAGTGTAGTGTGTCGTGTGCATGCACCGCGGCGCTGTTCAAAGTAATTTTCTCGAAATTCAAAATCATATCTGAATTTCTAAAATTCAGTTGTATTTTTCACTCTCTGGTGACTATTTTGAATTTCGCGGAACTATTTTCAACACGGATTATGTTTTAAAAAAATGAAACAAAAATCGCGTTTTTTTAAAGGAGAAATAGATTCGCCTCATGACCCATTGATGCGCCTTTAATATTCCTTAGATTCGTTTCATGACCCAGTGATGCGCCTTTAATATTCCCTGTTGTTTACGCTTGTTTCCCATTACTTCACATGGGAACGGCGGAGTTTTTGACCACGCCCTCTTAATTTTTGGATTTGCATTTTCTTCCACTAACAAAAACGCCGTGAATCGGCAATTTTCAACAATTTACACTTTTAAGTTTGGGATGATTATTATATTCTAACAGGAAGCGCAGATGGCTCCAATGTCATGAATATGAGTGAAAAAAATGCTCTCCAAAATAATAATTTATCAAAAAGATATTTTAATATCATAAAAGTTTTCTAAAATAACAACAAATACACTTAAGAAAAAAAAAAATACCAGTTGAAAAAGTAAACAAATCAATAAACCAGCTGAGAAAGGAAATAAATCACTTCATGAGAGGTAAATTCTTAGATAAAAACAAGAGCTTTTCAAAATTTTCAACCGAAAGGCTTTTTCGCAACTTGTCGCAACTTTCGGTGCTAAAAACTCTTTCAATTTCGCCAGATCCTGGAGGGCAGATAATATATTTCATAGCGTGGCGAGAGAAAAGAGGAAGCTGAGAAATGGTCAGCGGGTTGGTCCAAAAGTCGACCGCATTCGAGTCGACCTCGACCGGCATGGCGAGAAATCGATCGAGCTCCTGAACTTGTTATATATGGCATCTAAAGGCTTAAAGATTCACTTACAATCCTTGCCGCGAGTTCGATGTCAATTTGAGCCGCAGTTTTGGGCCGAGGGTTCGTCCGTTCCTGAAACATTAAATTTAACGGACTAATTTTGTTGTTATCACTCTGATAAACTCGGCGAAATCGTCCGTTGGTTTCTTGCACGGAGGCTCATCATCTGCTGGCTCAGTTTTGACTGTTCATTTTCGAAATGATTATGTACTAATAGTAACCAACCTTCCACACAGTTGACGTTTGTTTCAACAATCGTTTCAATCAAAGCCCTCTTCAGTTTTTTTCATCGCAAAAAGAGTCCTGAAATTTATAATTTTATAAATGAAAAAAGTTTTTCTCACCTTATACTGTGGATCGAGGAAGGTGGAGACAAGAAGATAATCGGTTCTTTCGTACTTATTCAGTTCCGAAGCCATTCTTTCAGCAATGGCCAAACTGGGTTCATCGGTCCTGTTTCGCATCACGTGAACCAAATAGTGACAAATAGGGATGACAGCCGAAGCGCTCGAACCACGTCTCTATAAACTTTATTTTTAAAAATCTCAAATAAATCTATAATAACCTGAACGTCCGATTGATCGGAAAGCGGTTTTAGAAGCTTGCAAGTCGATTCCATCAAGCTCCAGTCTGATTCGCTGAGTTGAGGAAGGTCGGGTCGTCGCTCCAAGAGTATAGATATAGACTCCTTGCATCTCAGAGCACGAACGAACATATCGCGCAAGTGGCACCACCTCAGTGGGGAGTTTTTCGTCAGGTGGAGCTTTGATTCTTCAAGAACCTCTTGAATGCGCTCGAATCCCTTCTGATCCAACGAAGACTTTTTCAATTTTCTCACAATCTTTTTGTAGTTCTCGAGAACCTCTGATAGTCCTATGATGGTCTTGATTCCCTCAGCAGCCGCAAGGTGAATATTGTGATTCAAGCAATCGAAACTCTCATACGGAAGAACGTCACACGCTTTGACTGCGTTCGAGGCTCCATCTCTTACAGCGGCAACAACTTTTGTCGTAATCCCAAACTCGTCGAGCAGTTCTTTTGTTTTGTTGGCGATGTTGACTTCGGTAGGGCACTGCTCTCGGCTGTTGATGACTCCAATGAGGCGCTGAACGACCGTTTTCTCCTTGAGAAAATAGGCGAATACGCCGAATACTTCGTGAAGTGAGCCTTCATCGCTCCACAAGTCGAAACAAATAACCACGTGCTCGGCGGCGTCCAGTTCTTCTTGAACTCGTTCCCGTATTAAGGCGTGCAATTGAGGAAGTTCTGTTCGAGTGAACGACCATCGGGACGGAAGTCGGTAGTTTGGCTTGAGGATCGAAAGAAGTTGACGGAACCCTTTCTTTTGAACTGTTGAGAACGGCATTAAGTCGATAACGATCATTTCGGTGATGGCACGGGTGATCTCTGAAGACTCCTCACCGTCCTCCGCCAATTTTTGGGGTTCGAAAAAGCTTTCGGTCATCTGTTCATTTCCTGCCAATGGGGAATCAAGCGTTTGGAGAGGCTTCTTCCGGGGGCGTCCACTTATCAATTCAGCTTTCTCATAGTCATGAGGGTGAAGCTTTTTGATGTGATTGATGAGAGAGAAAGTCGAACCTGAAAGATTATAAACCGTACTAATGATGGTACGATTTTACCTCAAGTCCGCAAATCTCCGGAGCCGTTATCTCAGAGTACAAAAAAAAGAGAAAGAAAATTGAATTTTTTTGTTTTCGGAGATAAGTGGTTTTCGGAGATTTGCGGACTTGAGGTAAAATCGTACCATCGTACTAATGCGCTTTTTGATGCTTTTTTTAAAAAATTAAGTCTCAAAGCCTTTGTAACCTCTGACTTGGAAGTTTTTTTTTCGAGACATAATGGTAACCATTAAAAAAAATATCAATATTCGAAAAAACTAGTTTTTCAAAATATATTTAAAAATTGTACCAGATTTCGACTTGACGTATTCCTTTTTACAGATCTTACACACGAATTTTCCATCCTTCCTGTCGTACAAATGTGACACGAGCCCCATCGCTATCATGAAAAAAATCACGAGTTAATAAAATTTGATGAGAAAAATTCGAATAGAAAAGGGTTCATTTTAAAATATTATACGAAACATCACCTTTAAAAATTCATTTTAATGTTAAATAAGCATCTTATTTTATCTATTTTGAAAAAAAAGAAGGTGTTAACTACTGCGAACCTTGTGAAACATAAAAACAGTTATAGTCTGTGTACCAAAACTTGGAATTTCACCAAACAACGTTCCGCTGTTCCGCTACGCGCCTTTGCGAACCTTGGTCGCGCTTTTAATTTTTTTCTTTCTTTTATTAAGTTACTCTACTTTTCTGTGCTCCCATAGTAAGAACAATCAATTGAAAGCGGGACCTAAATTCGAAAGACGCTTCACGAACGCACGCAGCGGAACAGCGGAATGTCGTTCGGTGAATTTCCAAGTCGTGGCACACAGACTATATCTTCACATCAAATGTAAAGCAAAAATCAAGCAAACATCAAAAACAAAATGAAGAAAATGGAAGCATTATAAAAAAACACGTAAATATTGAGATACCACAGTTCTTAATTTTCATCCGGAAACCTTTAAAATCAATTGCCGGAAAAAAAACAAAAAAACCGGCAATTGCCGGCAATCGATTGCCGGCAATTGCCGGTTTTTTTGGTTCAAATACTTCCCTGGTTCGAAAATAGTGGAGAGAGTCAGGCGGTTAGAGCTTTTTATTCCCACTAACGCCTTTAGAGTCTAGATACTCCCTTCAGATACATTCTAAAAGTTGGCTTATGGGACCTTCCTGTAAGGGTCTCTCAGCTGTATGACAACAGGGAAATATAAGATATGCAGGGATACAGGAAAGAGAAAGGGGATGCGCGGGACCAGCTCAACCCACCAAATAACTCAATAAATAAATAAATAAATGACTGGTCAAGCGGGGGCGTGGTCGAAGGTTCTCCTATTGCTGGGCTGGTACACTTTATTGATAGAAAGCTGTAGCCTGTGTGCCACGACTTGAAGTTTCACCGAACGACATTCCGCTGTTCCGCTGCGTGCGTTCGCGAAGCGTCTTTCGAATCTACGTCACGCTTTCAATTGATTGTTATTGCTTTGGGAGCACATGCAAGTAGAGTACCTTAATAAAAGAAAAAAAAAATTAAAAGCGCGACCAAGTTTCGCAAAGGCGCGCAGCGGCACAGCGGAATCTCGTTTGGTGAAATTCCAAGTCGTGGCACACAGACTAGAGAGATTAAAGGGATTCCGGAAAGAGCCAGCCAGGCGATAAAGAAAATAAGAAACTCCTCTTTTTTGAATTTTTGAAAATTTTCAAATTTTTAATGTATGAGGTAGCCGGACTGATAGGAGAGATCTGGCAAGCTAGAGAGTGTGGAAATATTAGAAAGAGCCAGACTCAGAAAGGAAATTACCCCTTCTGACTGTTACAAGAGATGAATTTTTGATGAATTTAGGTTCCTCAAGGCTTGTAGTTTATTGAAAATCCAAAATTGGAATCAAAATAAGCTACTTCATTAAGTCATGAACCTTTGAGGAAAAAGTTATTGTATAAACTTGCCTTTTAAAGAAAAAAAAGGCGACGTAGAAACACTTTTTTTTAAAGCCGAGTCTTTAGTACTTTCTCAGAAGAAAGGCTGTTCAGGAATCCCAACTGCAACTTCTGCAACAAGTGCTTGCCGCTTCTGACGCCGACGCCGAGGAGGAAGACGTCAAGGAGGAACTCGCCGATGGAACGATCCGAGTGAGCCGTCGAGAAGCCACAATGTCCTCGATGTCTGGTGGATCCGGTGTCTCTTACCAAAATAAGGGAAAAGTTCGTTTCAAAACTAAAATGTAGATGAACAAGTTTGTTTTCCAGCAAATCGGAGAACGCCATCCGCTCTTCAAACGCTTCCGCGCCACTTAATCAATTCTTTACTGTACATTTTTGTTCCATATATTTGCTTGTACCACGGTTCTCGATCCATAAAATATTTATTATTTCAATGTGAAACGTGTTAAAATGTCCAGAATCAACGTGTTTGAAAGACAGGCACTTCAGCGTACTTTAAATACATTTTTTTGGGGAAATTTTCACCATTCATAGTCTCCGAAATCTTCGTCTTGTGATTCGGTGCCGTTTCTGTAAAGATTACGAATTTTTTCCATTTTTTTGTGCGACTTCAAAACATGCGACATTTGGACGTTTTTAGTGCGGATTCAAAATTATGCAAATTATTGATGGAATTATGCAAAAATACACGAATTAGTGAAGTTTTTTGGGTTCATGAGGACTGGCAAGGTCTTGATTTCAATCGATTCAATTATTCTAACTGGAAAAGTTCAAATTTGTGAAAAAAAAAGTTTCTACACTTTTTCTCTACGAAAAAAATTCGAAATTATTAAATAAAATTTGGATATTTGGAAAGATAAAAATCGTGAAAAACAAGAGAGAATAAAGCTTTGCAAGCAACAATGACCCAGCTGAGGACTAGAAGGACAATAATTCCCAAGAAGAAAAACAGTATTGAAGTCGAAGACATGTTAAACATGGGCATGCAAGCGGGCCGGACATGAGGGCAAGAAGGAAAATCGAAAAATTGAACGCTTGGATGATCCCGAACTTTAAAAAAGATAAAAAAAAAGGATGAAAATACTTTTAAAAATGCGTTTCCTGAATACTTCGCTCAAGTGCGCTCCACCGACTTTTTTTCGTTACGGTATTTTCAAAATTTGTTTTTTTTTTTTAATTTCGTCTTTTTTCGTTTGTCTTGTATTTTTTTAAGGAATCATCCAACCGTTAATAAACATATGATTCCTACTGTTTAGGCCGTGGGTGCGACGACTGGAAGACGGAAGAAGACGACATCAAATTGTGGATATATTGCCCCAGGACTTGATTTTCCGACCGCAGTTTCAGACTTTCTTCTTTCACAGAGTCAACTCGTTGGCTAAGGTCTGGAATTGTGTAATTTTAGTAATCTCTTTTTCGAAAAAAATATAATTTTTTTAGATAATTTCACTAGGATTTTTATTAAGTAATTGCTGGTTACTTCTGGATGTCCAGATTGACCAGAAACGTTTGCTAACGTGTTTCAAAGCGCAATAGCGTTTAACGGTCTAAAATAATACTTAAATAGGTTCTAACTTCTTTATTTGTTGAAGTTTGTCCATGTACCTTCAAAAAAACACATTTAATCGCTTCAACTAACCATCCAACGTATTTTGAAGCTCCAAAACTTGAGTTATAAGCCTCGCTTTTTCTTCCGGATCCTCAGCCGGTTCTTCTCTTGGTAAAGGATGTGCAGCTCTTGGTGTTTTACCGCCGATTATAGTTACCGTATCATCTGAAATTTTATTTTGCAAATAAGGAATTTTTTACTTTCAAAAAGAAAAAAAAATTACCATCATCCGCCAGTGGAAAATCATCTTGAGACTGTGAATTAGCTGGAGTAGAGTTGGAATTTTCCATCGGTAGAAAGTATAAGAAGAAGAAGAAAGAAGGGAAATATCGGAAAACTGGGGGAGTCTTCTTGAGGTCGGCTGGCAATGGTCCAAAAATCGATAGCGCGCTCTGTCGCACAGCCAGCTTGGCACGAATTTCATCGCTTTTTTCCGATGTTTCTTTTAAATTTTCTTGTTTATTTCTGCTCTTTGTAGATTGATATTGTAGACAATAGCTTGAAAATGGGATGATTCTAGTGGGATGGAAATCTTGCCACTTTTGCAATTTTTACGTTTAAGTTTTTTTAATTTTTCAATTTTGTCTTTCTGTTTCTAAAGTTTTTTTATTTGATTTCATACTTCTGAGACAGCTTTCAAAAAAATTTACGGTTTTTTTAAACAAAGCCAAAAAAACTTTGACCTTACGAAGAGATATAATTGATATTTTTTTGTAAAGAAAACTTGAAAATTGAAGTTTTTTTGCTTTTTATAATGATCTTCAACTTTGAATTTATTCAGGCTCCGGCAAAATAGCCTTATGTTTTCAATCATTTTTTTTCCTATATTCTTGAAAGAATCTGTATTTGACCACTGTCTAACATTTTCATTATATTTGGCTGTACCAGTTGAACACTTACTTTCGAAATATTTCTATTTTTTGGAAATCTGCTGTCAAATCAGAAGGTTTTTTGAAATTTAGTTTTTTTTAAAATTTAACTCCGTTGACTTTATTTTTTCTCTGCTTTCTGATTTAGAGAATTTCTTATGAACATTCATTTTCCTAGAATTAAAAAAATGGCTTGTTGGGTTTACGAAAGGAGCCCTTGCAAAACTTGAAAAATGAGAAAAATGGCTAGCCGCCTTGGTAACTCAGGGATTTATGCCTATGCTCCTTCAAAAATCTCAGCAAGCTTTCCGAAAAATAAAACTATCTATTTTCCCATTTTGAGAATGTTCGCTCTGCGCAACTTTGCCTGCCGGATTCTCAACGCCTTGCCACAAACCAGGCTTCTCAGCAGTGCTTCTGAGACCAGAACTGTACGATTTCTGAACGGCGACCGCAAATTCGATGCCAACGGGAAGATCGGGCAAACGCTGCTGGACGTTGTAGTTGAACACGACCTTGCCTTGGACGGCTTCGGCGCGTGCGAAGGAACTCTGGCCTGCTGTACTTGCCATGTCATCCTCGGGAAGGAACATTTCGAGCGGGAGGACAAGCTGAATCCGGCCGGCGAAGAGGAGCTGGACCTTCTCGACATGGCGCCTGAGCTCAACGACTATTCGAGGCTCGGATGTCAGATTAAGATCACGAAAAAGGATCCAGAAGTGGTCGAAGTCGTCGTTCCAACTATCAATCGTGATGCTCGGAATTCTTGATCTTTTTTATAGTTTTATCCATTAGAGTTGAATTTTTGAGCTTAGGAATATCCAATTTTTTGAAAATCTGCTTTTTTTTTCAATATTTCGGTCTTTATCCTTAGTTTTTGGTGGTATGAAAAAAACACCGGCGAAAAATTCAAACGGCGACTTTTTCCGATTTTTTTCATATCGCTAGGGAACTTTCCGACGGCCACCTTTCCGACGAAACTTTTTTTCCAACTTTTTTTCTCGATAAACTCTTCGTTTTACATCTTCCTATATAAAGTAGGTAGTTTTTTTCATAATTAAAAACACAAAGAAATAGGAAAAAAATGTTCATAGATGTTTTATAAACCGAAAAGCATAAGGGAAAAAAAGTCGGAAAAAAAGTTTCGTCGGAAAGGTGGCCGTCGGAAAGTTCCCTAGCGAAATGAAAAAATCGGAAAAGTCGCCGTTTGAATTTTCGCTGGTGTTTTTTTCATACCACCTTTTTTTTTCATTTTTACAGTAATTTTTTTGATAATCAAAAGCTTTATTATAAGTTACAACAAGTATTCTTGAATATAAAAACTGTTTTTAGTTCAATATCGAAGCATCTGAATATGTGAAACGGGAGAACTTTTAGTCATCAGAGATTTTATTTTAATTTTTTTCAGCTCATATCCTGTTTTTCTTCAACTGGTTTATTGAATTTCGTTCAATTTTTCTTTTTCTACATTCTTTGTTTCTTGTTAATTTTATCAATTCTAGTTCTATATTTTACTAGGTTTTTTTTTCAAGTTGATTTCTTTGTTTCAATGTTTTGGATCGAGAATAAATTTTGTTGGTCATTTTTCTTCTTTCTGAATTTTTTTGAGCGGTGAGATTTTTGCCGCATAATATTTTTTTCACTTTTTCTTAGTCGAAAAAAATTTCTAAAAGCGAGATTAATTAGATACTTGTATTATCTAGCCGTTAAATTTCAAAGTACCAATATTTTTCTGACTGTTTAAAACCAATTTTTGTTCTTTTGTAATATTTCAAGGTAATATGTTCTGCCGAGAAGCTAATTTATAAAAATATTTTCAATTGGAAACTTGAAGCGCTGTTTTTCTTTTAACTGTCCGTATTTTTAACATCGCATTTTTCAATCACCTTATGTCATTTTATACATCCATTTCAGTTGAATTGATATTTTTCTACGCGTTGGAACTCAAAAAAAAGTTATTCATTTTTTTGTTCGAAAACTGTTTTTTTCTTTAAAAAAAGGTCGCCGACGTCTCTGTCTGTTTTCTACACTTTCTTCTTTTTTTAAAAAAATCGTTTTTTTGTCATTTTCTACATCAATTTCCTTTCAATACCAATCTACTACTCGTTGAAATTCGAATGAATCGCTTCATTTTCATTTTTGAAACATTTTTCGTTCAGAAAATGATCACTGACGTTCAACTCGGCATCGCCGCCAACATTCTCGGCATCGGAATGCTACTCCTCGTCGTTTTCTTCCATTACCTGACCGCTAATCAGAAATCTAACTAACGAGGTTTATTTTATTTTCACCACAAAAAGTATATTTTCATTTCCAGAAATGTCTCCAACTTCAATGTGATATGCTGATTAACTGCGCTACGGATAATTGTTGACTTTTATATGGGAATAATAAATTATGTATTTATAAATGATTTCTTGTTATCCTTGTTGTTATTGATTAATAGGTCCCGATCCTATCGATTTTTTTCATGCTTCAAGAAATGTAATTTTTTTGAAAAAAATGATTCAGGTTGAGTAGAAAAAGCCACTTTTTGGCAAATGCAATCACAAGCCCGGGGCTCAGGTTTGTGGAGTTTTATTCATTTTAAATATAAAAGGAGTGACAATAAAGTAATATTTTGATGATTGTGAACGTTCAATGCCAAACTCATTATTCTCTTTTTATTTTTAATAAAAAGTCAGGTCGTAAAAAGCCGATTCACAAAGTTTTGCGAACGCTGTCAGGTTATCTTTAATAGATTTTTTATTGGGAATTTTTTTGGGAATCATCAGTTCTTTTTTGGATACCTTTTTGGGCTTTATTTCGAAAAAGTACAATTTTTCTTTTGCATGCACGGTTTTTTGTTATTTTGAAGTTGGAGTATATTATTATCTGTTAAATTTGAGTTAGTTTTTCCATTCTTTTTTTGGGACATTTTTTTCAATAAATAAAGATTTTTAAAGATTTTTCTACGAAAACCTTCTGGTTTCCCGTATATTCGAGCTTTTTTCCACCAAAAAATTTCCATCAGTATTTTGGGCTTATTCACCTTTCAGCACTGCTTTTTTTGATTTCAAAACTTCTGCATTTTGATAGAATTCAAACATGTTCAGCTAGCCAACCCGGAACGTCGTCTGGAGTGTCCTCACCAACTTACAATAATCAGTTTCGATACGAATCGGCCCGAAGTGGCTACGCTTCCCCGGGAGCTTATTCTACAACTTCCGTGTTGGTTTTTAATAAGTTATGAGCTTTGAAAAGGGTTTTGGAGTGTTCTCAACGAAGATACTTTCATATTACTCGGATAAAAAAATAAATTTTTTTCAAGGAAAATTGTGAAAAATTAAGAGATTGAATTAAAATTTAAGGTATTTTATCGAATTTTTTCATTGATTAGTTGAGAAATACACTGCCAAAGCTTTAACTTGTTTGTTGACAGAACTTTTTTCTCAAGACCTTTTTTTCTCTTCAAATTTTGAATTTGTATTTGATTGAAACCACAATATGTTTAGTAAGCTAAAAAACAAGAAATTTCACGGAGTATTAAATAATTTTTTTTCTGAGTTTACAGTTTCGCTTGAAAAAAATACAATCTAGCGAAAGATTTTTCAAAATTTCTATCTAGACTTTCTTTGAAACTTGACCATGTTCCTTTAAGCGCATTAAAAATTTATTTTTTTGAGAAAAAAATAAGTTCTTCAAAACGTGAAAAAAATTGTTTAAAAAAACGCTATTTCAAAGAAATTTCATTATATTGTTTAGTTCTGACCGAGTTGGTTGCCTGACGGCCGTCAGAATGTCGGCTTAGGGCAAAACTTTCCCGTTTCGCTCGTCGTCTTATTTATGTTCGACAGGTTTCTCTTCATTTTTTGAATTTTTCCAATAATTTATTTTTCGTTCAGATGGACTTTGAGTTCGCTCTATGGCAAATGCTCTATCTCCTGATTCAGCCGTCGAAAGTTTACCGCAATTTTATTTATAGGAAACGTAAGGGATAAGAAATGATTTTTTGGAATGATTTGATGTTTCAGGAACAAAAGATCAGTTTGCGAGGGATGATCCAGCCTTTCTTGTCCTCCTTGCGTTAGTTTGAAAATTATTTGGTCGCGTTTGGAATGGCTGAGCGCGTTGCGGTTTGAGTTGAAAATGGAGTGTTGAAGTTTCCGAAGTCTTCTCTCAAGCTCCGCCCCTTACGGCGCGATCAACCAATCAGAGGACGAGCCATCCACAGAGTTTTTGAATGACGTCACTTGGCATTAGAAATACGAACAGACTTTAGCTGATTCACGGCTGTCTTGGGTCGCAGAAAGGTATGGCCTGTCTGCGCTCTCCACTAACCAGGCACTATCTCTTCGTTTATAATGTCGGGACCCTTTTTTTCAAGCCAGCCGTGAACCAGCTATAGATGATTCACGGCTGGCTTGGGGCGCAAAAAGGCGTGGCCTGTCTGCACTCTCCACCAACTAGGGCACTGTCTCGTCTTTTTTCGTGGCAGGACCCTTTTCTCAATTAATCAAGCCCGCCGTGAAACAGTTATATATACGCTTCTCATTTTCAGCCCAATTCTGAATGCGACCAAAGAGTTGGAACAAACCTTTGATCAATTTTTGATTTTTCAGCTTATCCCTTGTTGTCACGTCAATTTTCTACGCAGTTATTCTCGGCCTCTCCACGTGGGGATTCATCAAATTCATCCTCTGGGTGATATTCATCGATTGTTTCGGAGTTGGGATCGTCATCGCGACGGCGCTTTGGTTTGGATTTGTTGCTTTTTTTGTGAGAAAGAAAATTTTAAAAATCAGAAATGAAATTAATATATATTTTTTGTAAAAAGGAACTTGAATCTTGCTGTTTTTTCAATCTATTTTTTTTTGTAGGAGTGGAAAAAATCGATATTTTTGAGATACGTTTGAAGTAGAACTTTTCTTCATGATGATAAAAGTTTACATAACTTTTTTCTTGAGGTGCTTTTGAGATGTTATCAGAAAAGTTATAGCCCATTCCGCGCCAGCTTATAAGGTTTTCATCCGAGCTACATAACCTTTCCATGCGCCTTTAAAATTGAAAATTTTAGGGTAAATTAAAGGCGCATGCATACAGGAAGCTCGCGCGCATCGCAGGGAATATTTCCGAAAACGCTCCGTAGCTCGGAGGAAGATAAAAACGTGACAAGCCTTCCGCGAAGCTTCCCTTCGATGCGCCTTTAATATATCGTGAATTTTTGGGTAAATTAAAGGCGCAGGCACAAAGGCAGCTCGCGCGCATCGAAGGGAAGCTTTCCGGAAAGGCTCTGTAACTCGGAGGAAGATAAAAAAAGTGACAAGCTTTCCGCGTAGCTCCCCTTCGAAGCGCGCAGCTGGCCAATGTGTATGCGCCTTTAATATATCGTAAATTTTAGAATAAGTTAAAGGCGCATGCATAGTGGAAGCTCGCGCGCATCGAAGCGAACGTTTCCGGATAGGCTCTGTAGCTCGGAGGAAGATGAAAACGTGACAAGAGGACGCGGAATGAGCTATTTTTTAACTATAAAGTTTTTCATATCGGTGTACTTCTGTTAGAAATGTAAGACGACGAAAAGGAATCTAATAAATGTTTTAGGTGGATCTCGAATAGATTTATGAGAAAGGTGAAGGATCAGGACGTCGAATGGGGATATTGTTTCGATGTTCATCTCAACGCCTTCTTCCCCATGCTCATTTTGCTCCACGTCCTTCTTCCCATCATCTTCCCAAGTAAATATCTCAATCAATTTCAAGTTTCGGGTGGCTTCTTCTAAAATTTTAATGCGTTTTTAGTGTTATTTTAACATTCAGCAACTTATTTTTGGTGTTATCATGTACGGGAAGTGTGAAAAAAAGTTTGAAAAAATTATAAGGAAGTCCTTTGAAACTGAAGATTCATTTTTGAGCATTTAAAATTTCTTTCCTGCTTCTTTCATTGGTTTCCCAGCTATCTAAAGTTTAACGATATTCAAAAGTTGACAATCAAAAAACTTCTGAACAAAAAATAGTTATAGTTATGGTCAACTTTGAACAGTTTTAACTTTCAGCTCTGATAAACCCTGGCAATTTCTTCTCCATACTTTTGGGGAATACGGTTTGGTTCGTCGCCGCTGCCTACTACGTTTATATCACCTTTTTGGGTTATACAGGTGGGATTATCAAGAAAAAAAGAGTAAAAAAAGTAAAACCAATATTTCCGCATTCGAAAATACTCTAAGTAAGGGTTTTGCAAAGGAAAAAAGGAAAAAATATTCCCAAGCCTGATATTTTCACTGAAGTTTCGAGAAGTTTTTAACCTAAAAAAACCAGAAAGAAGTCATTTATAAAATATAAAAAAATGTGTTATTTTTCATACAAAATTGTACTATTTTCGAAGAATTTTTTTACTTTTTGCAGCCCTGCCAATACTGCACAAGACGCAGTATTTCCTCTTCCCAATGTCATTTTTGTTCATCTTCTACGTGGCAACTTTGACGGCCGGCTGGAATATCTCTAAAACCGCCATGCGGTATTACAACGAAAGGGCCGAATCTCACCGTTTCCAACATAATGGATTGTAATTACTGACCTGTTTTTCATGTGTGCTTCAAATTGCGGTGTTCTCTCACAGAGTTTTTATTGTTTCCCCTTGAAAAACGCCGTCTTCTTGTACCTTTTTTCGCCAAATTTATCGACAATCTTCGTTTTCCCCCCTGCAGCGCCTCCCTCTCTTTGCCAAGAAGAGAAAAGATGGGTATTCGGTTATATTTGATGTCTTTTTTGCTGTGTAGAACTAATAAATATATACTTTTCTACTTCATCAGCAAACTGAAAAAACTTTTTTTGCGCTCGAAACTTTTTAGGCGCCGGATTAAATGCATTGTCCGCAGAGCGTCAAACACTTGCCTTATCTGTATTTTCACTGATAAATCGATAAATCCTTTGTCATGAGAAAGCTGACGTAAGAAAGAATCGATTGATGTAACAAGATAAGCTGTAGATGCTCTGAGAGCCGAGTATTAGGCCTCTGAAATTAGCCATTGAAATTTCAATTTGGCGTCAGATAAAGTGCATTTGGTGCGCTGCACCACTGTGTAATTTTCTCGCAAAATAGGAAAAGCTGAAATTTTTTTCGTTTTTTCAGCGTATTTTTTTACATCAATCGATAGAGCAGCCTCTAAATAGTACATTTATCATATCACTTTCAAGGGAAAAGTTTAAAAATATAGGTCAAAATTAGGTCCAAAAAGTCGTATTTTCCAGAGTTTGAAGCTTCATAACTTTGTTCATTGTGGAGTTTCAGAGAAACTGATTATGTCAATCGATTCGTCTCATCATAAGCTTTCTAAAGGTTTCAGTTTCTAAGAGTTTGAAGCTTTTTTGATGAAAATGGAAACTTTGAAAAAACATAACTTTTTTCTTAAAAGCTTTAGGAGTTTTCTACCTGCATTTCTGGGTGAAGGGCGTCATTATCTATCGATTGATGTAAAAATCTCGGAAACTTTGGTTTTCGGGAAAATCGAAAAAAGTGCAGTCTAACCCCTTGGCTTTTTTTTGAGCTTCTGAGGTCATGGAAGCCGATTCGGACGAAACCTATATCAATCGATAGATCACGAAGAGAAAATAACCTGAGACCAGGTTTGACCTCGGTAGGTCAACTAGGAACTGAGTTATGAGCGATTGAACTTCTGGCGAAAATTTTCAAAATTCGGTGAATTCGGTAACAATCGATAGGGGAGATCGAGGAGATCAGGGAAAACTAGGTCTCTAAGTTCTGAACTCCCTAGGAATGAAGTTATGAAATTTCTAAAATGTCGAAAAGCGTTTGGATGGAGCTCAATCAACTAATAAACTTTATCAATGGTAAGCTGACATCAAGAAAAATCGAATGATGTACTAAGTTTCTCTGTATCTTCAAAATGAACGGAGATATGAAACTTCAAAGTCTGAAAATTATGACTTTTTGGACCAAATTTTGACCTAAATTTTGAGTTCTTCACTTGAAAGTGGTTAGATATATGCAAAATATAGAAGCTGCTCTACCGATTGATGTAGAAAAAAACCCCGAAATTACAAAAAAAATTTTGAGCTTTCCTTTTTCGCAAAAAAAAACCCACCGTGGTGCAGTGCACCAAATGCATTATATCTGACGCCTATTTAAATTTTAATGGCAAACTTTGAGGGCTCGTATCTCGGTTTCTAGAGTAGCTACAGCTTTTTTGATGATATTATTCGATTTGTCTTGATGTCAGCTTTCCACTGATAGAGGTTTTATCGACGAAAATACAGATCAAGTCCAAAACTTTGCGGACAATACATTTAACCTGACGCCTTAAAAGTTGTGAGCCTCATCGGAATGAAACTTTCGACATAAACTTCATGCTTTCATTCTTTCAATTGCGACTGAAATATGCTAGAAATCTTTATTTTCCATCATAAAATGTCCCAGACACGATCGTGTAGGCTGGGATTCTCCATGTTCGGAGCGACCATCAGAAGGAAGGCCGTGCTGCTGACGGTGAGCATGAAGACGGTGGTGAAGAAGAAGCGATCGAAGATGTTGGCGAGTTGGGACCACCTCGCCACCATGTGCTCGAACTCCAGCTCGGCTTGGACGCGTTCGATCTGTGAATAAGCTGTGGTTGATCAGATCCAGACATACAAAAAATTTAAAACGTTTCAGAATCTCACCAGTCCCTTGCTGATCGTCTCCTCCCGTATCCCGTTGGCTTTCAGGACCTTAAATCTAGGACGTCATTAATCCCACTAATGACGTCATCAACCCGATTCGTGTCAATGATACACTTGGCTCTTTCATGCTTCCGTCGTTTCTCCTGTGTCGATCCGCCGAACAACGGCGCCAACAGGCGGAATCCCAAAAACTCCAGCCACCGAGGCATACTGTAGACTTATTTCGACTGTACATGGATCTTTATTTTTTACAAACTCTGTTTTATTCTCTGCACCGTGTCTTAGGGTCAAGACGAATACAGAGAACACTACGGATAACGCGGAAATTGCCATTATGGCCATCAGATAAATGGCTGAAAATGACGTCATCATGATGACAATTGGCTGCGCATCAACTCGCCGATCAAGGGGATGACTTCCGAAGTTTCTGGCATACTTTCGGCGATATTGAAGCTGAAGACGGAGTAGGCTAGCAGGACAGTCAGGCCGAGAGTTATCTGAAAATGATTTTAGTCAAATTTAGTCAATAAAATGTCAGAAGAAGACTTTTTCGCCGCTCTCGCAAGGCAGAGCGAACTGCATCATCGTCAAAATGGAGAGCATCACGCAGGGCATGATAATATTGTACATGAAATAGAGCATCCGCCGTCGCAGATGCATTTCGAACACCACTGTGCTGTATCTGAATGATCATATTTGAACAGAACAATATTTCCAACTTTGCACATCTTGAAAAAAAATTGATAAAGTAAGAAAGAAAAAAGTGCTCTGCAAAAATGAACGTCAAGGTCCGTGGATTTCAAATCACAGAAAAAAATCCGACTGCTTTTTAAAAGTCTACAGGGAAACCAGAGTGGTCCCTATAGGGGTTGTAGCCTATTCAAATTTTGAATGTCAAGTCGTCGCTCAAGCTCCGCCCCCTAATGGTGCGATAAACCAATCAGAGTGTTTTTGAATGACATCATTGCACTTGACATTCAAAATCTGAACAGACTATAGTGCGGAACAGAACCCCTATAGGGGTCGAAAAAGTGGTCCCTATAAGGGTATAATCAAAGTGATCCCTATAAGGGTTTAGTGCTGACCTCTCAGCCCTTGGAGGTCAAATGAACCCTATAGGGATCTTTCAATTTCCTTCAAAATGCTTACTTATTCGATTTTTCTCAGCGAAATGCTTCTTCGTTCAGAGTTCGTAACAATTATCGACTAGCATGTCCTCTATAGGTAGGGACCGCAAAGCCACGCCCCTTTTCGCGATAGAAAAAGTGGCTTTTTTTTGGTTTTCAACTTTCATTTTGTTGTAGTTGTAAAATATGTGGAACTGGCGAATAAAATTTGACACACATGTACAGAAAAGCTTCCTCTTTCGTTTAAAAAATATTTCACGCTTTTTTGATGCGTTCTCGCGGAATGTCGTACAAAAACGTGAATGGAACTAAAAAATTTTGTCATTTTTTTGCTTTTTTTCATGTGTTTTTCAGGTCGAACGCACTCTTTCTTTTTTTATATAATGATTTTGATTCAAGTAACGGTAATTTTTGAAACAATAAAATAAAAAAAATTCGTCTTTGCCAAAAAAATTTTTAGGGAGTGCCGAAAGTCATAATTCAAAAATATCGTTAATAAGCGAATATAATCGAGTTTTTTTGTTTTTTTCAAAAAGTTAGACCATAGGCTTACTTAAATTTTTTTCTCCACAGCATATGTGCTGGAAAAAAAGTTGTTTAATACGCAAAAAAATGCACTTGAAAATAGAGAATAAAATTAGCGGCGTTTATCACACAGAAAGCGGTCGAACGCAGGTTTTTTTCAAACGATTATATACATTTATTAGTAAAAAAATCTTTCAATTAAAAAGAATAAAATAAAAAAATTCGTCTTTGCCAAAAAAATTTACGGGGCCGTTTTAATGCAGTGATCGTTAAACGAGGCAAAAAAAGCACTGAAAAAAACTGTTTTTTTCGAAGTGAATTTCCACGGAAAAATTTGAGTAAAGATTTGCGAACATATTCTGATAAAAAAATAGCTGAATTACTTCAAATTTTTTTATTTTTTTGAAATAGGCAATCTGTGCTATTCAAACGGCTCAAGGCTATGGCGGATGGAAGTTCCCCTCGCCAGACCTAACAACTTGGCGCAGCGCGTGCGCTGCGATTTTTTTCATTTTGAGGTCGCGAGTTCGATACCCGCAAGCGTCAGGTTTTTTTGTTTTTCTGGAAAATACCGACTTTTTTTCGGCAAACTAGCTAATTTTTCATCATTTTAGAGCTCTATTATGATTTCTTACATCATAATAGACCAGTATCAAAACTTGTTCTAAAAGAAAAATCGAGAAAAATGTCTAAAATGGATAACACCAAAATTTCAGTACTAAAAAAATGGTGCGCGGCGCGCCACATTTTTCGTCATAACTTTTTTCATCCTCATTCTTTTCCGAAAAACTAAACGGTTCTGAGTTTCGAATCGAAACAGCTATCAAACCATGCAAAGCTCAATGCTGAAAAAAAATTTTCGAAAATTGGTCTGCGGTCCCTATCTATAGGGAGCACTTTTGCAAGCTTAAATGGCCACTATAGGGGTTGGTAAAGTGGTCTCTAGAGGGGACTCCCAAGTGGATCACTCTGTAGTTCCTAAGTAGTCTGTTCAGAATATCAATTACAATGACGTCATTCAAAAACGCTCTGTGGATGCCTCGCTCTCCGATTGGTTTAACGCGCCATTAGGGGCGGAGCTTGAACGGCAACTTGCAGTTTAAAAACTGAACAGACTTTCGCCTTTTGAAGTCATTAAATGAGTAAAAAAGTCTTCAAAAAGGCAACAAAATGACGAAAAAAATGACAAAAATTATTAGAAATATGTTTTTAACATTTTAAATACCCTTCTTGTTCAAAATTTTCCAAGCTTTATGAATTTTATGGAATTTAGTAAAAATGATGAAAATAAATTTGATGTTCTGAAATTTTCCAGGAAAGTCCCTTTTTTCAGCGTCGCCTTTTTTCTTTACTCGTCGCTCAAGCTCCGCCCCTAATGGCGCGATGAACCAATCAGAGAGCGAGCCATCCACAGAGTGTTTTTGAATGACGTCATTGCACTTGACATTGAAAATCTGAACAGACTATACTATTAGAGCTAATTCAGACTTTAGCCGTCGAAAAAATGGTCCTGACACGATTAGAAAAAAGAGAGTGCCTGTTTGGTGGAGAGCGCAGACATGCCACGCCTCTTTGCTTCCCAAGCTAGCCGTGAACCATTCAACTTAGGTCCTTTCCACAGGCCTTTGGAAAAATTCCTTATTTCTGTCTGAAACTCACTCGGTACTGCCGGAAGTGTGAATATATCTGAAAGTGCGGTTGTCGACGATCTCCCACTCGCCATTTTCCGTGAAACTGTCCTTGGTGAAAGGCGAATTCCCGTCGTATCTCTGGACAATACGGAGATCCAACTGTGGAAGGTCGTACATCCCTGGAAATATTTCAGGAACCTTCAGATACAATTTTATAATGCTACAAGATCTGAAAACGAGTGAACAGAACTGATGATCGAATGGGAAATTGGAGACGTCCATGTGGCAGCGGCTGTAGATTTTCTGCGGCGGCGCCCATTGGACTGGAATTTGAGAAACTGTCAAATGAGTAAAAAATAATAAGTAATTTTTTCTATAGTCTGTGTACCACGGCTTGGAATTTCACCAAACGACATTCCGCTGTGCCGCTGGCGCCTTTCCGAACCTTGGTCGCGCTTTTGATTTATTTTTTTCTTTCCTCAAGGTACTCTATTTTCATGTGCTCCCACAGCAATAACAATCAATTGAAAGCGTGACTTAGATTCGAAAGACGCTTCGCGAACGCACGCAGCGGAACAGCGGAATGTCGTTCAGTGAAATTCCAAGTCGTGGCACACAGACTATAATGAAAACAAATAAAATTGAATAAAAATCGAAGAAAATCGTTCTCAATAATTAAAAAACATAACCTGGATGGGAAAATTATATTTTTTTGAAAAATCATAACGAAATTTTTTTCGAAATATGCTAAAATATTTTTTTAAAGAAAGAGCAAAAATTTAAAAGAGTAATTCAAAAAGTAAAAAAATCGAAGATAAAACAGTGATTTCCATCACTTATCCCTTAATAGATCAAGTTTTTCGAAAACCCATCGATCGACTTTTTGAAAAAGATTCGTTTTTTTTTTTAAATAGGAGTTTCTGAAAAAAAATTCCGAATACTCACGGACGAAAAATGGTTCAAAACGACGACAAAACTTTTTCAATATGAATGTTAAAACTTCGTAAGCAAAGTCTAGAAGGAACTAGAAAGAACTTTTTGAAAAAAGGCCTCAAAAATTTCTCACAGGCATCTTTTTTAAAGGACCTTCAAAAAGTAAAATAAAAAAAGAAACGTAAATAAGGGAAAGAGAAGATTCCGAGAAACATTTCACACCTTTACAGAAACTCAAAATACGGCTCTAAACCATTTTTTTTGAGGTCAGTTGAGCTTTTTCCGTGTTGGAAACAATAGCAAGAAACATTTGAATTCTCCAATTTTTTATCGGCTGATAAAAATGCACCCAATCCATCGGAACTGACATGAAGATTGGTATCCACGAAGCCTCTCGAGAAATCGCGAGCACTAAATTATTCGTTTTGAAGATTTTCTTTTGAATATAAAAACTTATTATAAAGAACAATATCGGGGGTCCAGAGGTATCTCATGGCCATGGTAAGTTTCGAAATGTTGCCAAAATCGGCAGGTCGCCAGGTGATCCGTTCGTCGGTCCAGCTTTGCTCGACCCAGACGTTCAAGGCGAGGACCTGCGTCGCGGTCGCGTCGCGGTTTTAGTTGACTATTGATTACTTGATTCCTCTCGTCGATGTTGAAGATATGGGTGAGGGTTAGGCCAATGAACACTGTAACTTGGTGACTGGCATTGAAGACGGGCCGGACTGCACTCGAATAGCCTTTCAGCATGTGTCTGAAGTCAGTTTTTCAGAAAAATTTCGATATAGTCCATCCGCCGCGTCTCGACAGTTTTTGAGTGTCTGCGTCTCTCTGTTCCCTCACCGGCGAGGTCAGAGAAACATGAAAAAGCGCTTCAAAATGAGATGATCGCCGAGAAGTCCCGCCCTTTCAAGTCGCGAAAAACAGACTATATAGCTGATTCACGGCTGGCTTGAACCATCTTGAAAAGGGTCCTGCCACGAAAAGAGAAGAGACAGTGCCTGGTTGATGGAGATTGCGGACAGGCCTTTTTGCGTCCCAAGCTAGCTGTGAATCGTTTATAACAAGACTTCATTTCTCTTCTCTGTTCAGATTTTGAATGTCAAGAGATCTCTCAATCTCCGCCCCTTTCCTAGATCAAACCAATCAAAGATTCCTCTCCCTGCGCTCTTGGTGAGCGGTTGCCTTTCCACCGTTCTCCTCCCGCCCACTTTCTTTCTTTACCATTATGGGAAAGTCTAAGAATAAGAGCAAGGAGAATGTAGCTAATGAGCCTGATTCTAGTCTATCGTCTAATGCTATTCTATCTACCCCTTCTGGTCGTCCTCAACTTTCCATCGCTAACTTGAACGATGAAGTTGTCCTACTTAGGCAAATTGTTAGTGATCTACGGATTCAAGTTGAAGCTCTCCAAAAGCTTGCTTATCCAAAGAACTCTTGCAATTGCGCCGCCGTTTCTGAAGTCAATTATTCGGCTCATCAAAATTCTTCTACCGTCGCAGAACAGCCAGTTGATCAACTCCGGAATGCCGTTGCTCAAGCCTCGTTAAGCCGCTCGTTCATTGAGAAATCCGTCTTCGCCGTTCTCGAACGTTATCCTGATAATAAATCAGTAACTCAAGATAAATTGGACGCTGATCACGTCGCTGAGGTTTGCCGTAAACTCGATATTCCAATGCCTATTTCGACCCATCGCCACCCGTGTAAAGATCCTAAGTCTATTCGTCCTGTCAAAATCAAATTCGATTCAACTGATCACCGTAATGCGTTTTTATTTGGTTATCGTAAAACTGTCATCGAACTTAATCTCAACTCCAATATTGTTCCTTCTCCTCGTGTACGTCGTGATATGACTCTTCCAGAGCTTGAAATTCTTCGTCGTGTGCGTAAAGAAGCGTATGATAAGAATGTTCAAGCCAACAAATTTATTTACTATGTTCGCGATCTTACCATTGTTCAACGAAAAAATCCTTCCTCTTTTTTTGTTAATAACTTTGCACGCTCTTCTTCTGAAGGCATCATTGATTCTGATCATTTGATGTCTTCGCCTCCCGCTAATAATGTTTGATTGTACAGATAGCGTGCGCGTAGAGCAAATTTCCTCGTGTGAAATTCCTACTTATTTTCGAAAATTTTCGAAAACCTTGGAGCCATGCCAATCTCTCTGCGTCTCCTCGCCTCACGCGCGCTCTAGCTCGCACGCTACCTCTATTGCCCCTGCGTCCTTTCCCTCTTTCGAATCGTCGCTTGTCAAATTTTTCTATTGCAACATACGTTCTATTAGATCTTTGTCTAAAATAACGCTTCTTTTTGACTTTCTTGAAAATAATTCCGTTGATTTTTGTTTACTTGTAGAAACTTTTCTCGACAGCAGCTATCCTGATCATCTATTTAATAATCCTAATTACAATCTTTTACGGTTCGACAGAATTTCTAACAACATTTCTAATATAGGTGGTGGCACGTTAGTTCTCTACAAAAAACATTTTAATGTGTCCGAAGTGGATACCAACATTACGTCTTCCTATTCTTCTCATTTTTGTGATCTACTTGTCTTTGATTGTCTTTTACAAAGTAAAGTTAGGATTTTTCTAGTTTATAGGCCTCCTAACACCTCTAAAAATTTTTCTACTAATCTTTTTTCACATATAAGTTCATACCTTTCACCTAAAAATAACGTCATAATTGGCGATTTTAACTACAGTTCAATTGATTGGAATCACTTGCCTTCCTTTTTCTCATCACCTATTGTACAATTTGCTACGGTGAATAATTTGCTTCAATTTTGCCTTGATCCAACTAGAATCGCTGCTACTTCCTCCAATATTCTGGATCTATTGTTTGCATCTAATCCGTCCTCCATTCTCGATTTCAAAATCACCCTGCCTGTACTTGGTTCTGACCACCACTCCATAGTATTTTTCATTACCTAATTCAAATCGCTCAAAAATTCACTGCAAAAATTAAATTGAATTTTTAAACGTTGTGATTATGTTTCTCTCAATGCCGCTTTTGTCCTGTTACAACTGGCCTCTTCAACTTTCTTATTTTTCCACCCCTGAATCTAAATACTCTCACTTCTCTAGGGTTTTCAATGAACTGATTCAGCAATTTTGTCCTTGTTCTCAGGTAACTTCTTTCCGTTTTAAACCGCAAAGGAAACTTAAATCTCTACTACGTTATCGTTCTGATCTTATCCGTTCCGGCTCGTTTTTCATCACAGGAACGCATTGATTTTTCGTAATTGCTTTTAAAAAAACCCGCAAACGTGTCGCTAAATTCATAAGAAATAAGGAGAATTCCGTTGTTAATAACTTATACGGCTCTAATCTGTCCAAATACATTTCAAATCGACTTAGAACTAGAGTTGATATTCCTCCTATCATCTATAATGGCACTTCTTATAACGATGACACTGAAAAAGCTAACATTTTTGTTACTACGTTCAAATCTAATTTCTCTGATATTCCAGTCATTTCTCCTCTTATTCTTCCTTCACCTAGATCTTCCAACTGCTCTTTATTGTTTTCCCAAGAAATTGTCTTCGGTTATTTATCTAGACTCCCATCAAAAGTTGGTTTTTCTAATGATAACATCAATCAGCTGGTTCTCAAACGTTGTGCTCATTCGATATCACTACCACTCTCGATTATCTTTCAAGAATCTTATTATTCTGGAGTCGTCCCTTCTTCCTGGAAAACTTCGTATATTATTCCAGTTCATAAACGAAATAAATTGAGTGACCCTTCCAACTACCGTCCTATCACTTTGACACACTCGATTTCTCGACTCATGGAAAAAAAATTGTAGCTGAGTTTGTTCGCTCTAAATTTGGTCATAAGATATCTAACTTTCAATTTGGCTTCATGAATAAAAGATCTTGTAAACTATCTCTTATCGAATGCCTTTCTTCTTGGAAAGCCGATATTGCCCTTAAAAAATCCGTTGACGTCATCTACTTCGATTTTCAAAAAGCATTTGATCAAGTCTCTCACGACCTCCTTTTGCTTAAACTAAAAAATTTCGGGTTTGATCAAACGCTTTGCAACTGGTATAAATCTTTTATTACGGGTCGCGAATCATTTGTCAAAGTTAATGACTCATTGTCTACTTCTTCTTTTCCTATACCAAGTGGAGTCCTTCAAGGAACTGTTTCTGGCCCTCTCCTCTTCCTTATTTTTATAAACGATATTTTTCATCATTTGAATTCCAATGTTAAAGCTGTACTGTTCGCCGATGATATCAAAATTTTTGGTTGTTCTCCGTCCCATAATCAACAAGCTATTGACGAAATTATTGAATGGTCCTCTCTTTGGGGGCTTCCCATCGCTCCTGAAAAGTCATATGCTCTTTATCTTGGTCCTAGAAACCCCAAAAATGTCTACTTTTTCGGCTCTAACATCATTCCTGCGACTCAATCTACTAAGGATCTTGGTGTAATTATCGATGAAAAATTGTCTTTTTCTAATCATATTCATAAAGTCTCCGCTTTAGCCCTTCTGAGATCCAAACAACTGTTAAATTCTTTTCGTTTTCTCTCACCGTCCCTATATTTTAAACTTTATAATTGCTATGTTCGTCCAATTTTAGAATACTGTTCTGAGGTTTTCAACCCTCCTCTAAACTCTGATCTATCTTATAAACTAGAAAGTTCCTTACGTTTCTTCTCTCGAGAAGTTTTTATTAGATGCAATCTTAGCTTCACTTCATACCAAGACAGATTAACTCAAGTCAATGTTCTTCCGCTTTTTCAACGTCGTCTTCTTCTTGATATTTTCTCTCTCCATAAAATTGTTTTAAAAATTGATCATTTTCCATCAATTGACAACTTTATTTCCTTCTCTCGGCTAGGTAGACATCCACTTCGGTTACAAACTAGGGGTTCATTATCAGATAACTTCTTTTGGCGTCAAATACCGCTTTGGAACATATTAACAACCAAATTCAATTTTTCGTGCCACCCCAAAACTTTAAAAGATAAATTATCTAGGATAGCTGTTAGCGAACTTATTATCAACATCCCCAATCGTCTTTTATAGTTTATCATTTTTGTTCTTCTCTTTTGCGAACGGTCGCCATGCTGCTCGTTAGGGCACCATATGACCTTCTTAGCTTTGTTGTCTGTCCAATGTTATATTATTTCCTTTCTATCTGTATCTTAATTATTTGCGTTGTTCTGACAATAAAGAAAGAAATAAAGAGCGAGCTATCCACAGCGCGTTCTTGGGGGCGGGTTTCTGCTTGACATTCAAAGTATGAACAGAATATACGCAAAAAAACAAAAACAACAGGAGATTTTTTGATCAAGACTTGCAGGTCTTTAACTCACCCTAACTTCGTTTATGGTCGCAATTGGAATGGCTCAATTCTTCGCAACCGTTTTACAATCGCGACCAGAGTCGCATTTGGAATGGCTCGAACCAGGGTCGGCAATTGAAACGATCAAATTGGACATACTGTAGGTCCTGAATTCACAACTTGGACCGCAACGCGTTGAGTCATTCCAAATGCGACCTTTAGTCGAAAAAGTCTATTATTGATAGAAAAACTGGAATAGAGACTTCCGAGAAAGGGTGTAACGATTCATCAGTGAATTTTGGTCTTTTTTTCAGAAATTTTAAGCACTCTTTTTTCAAAACCGATTAATTACGACTGTCATAACTCCCCCCTCGAATCTAACGTTCAATTTTTTTGAAAAACCAAATTATTACTTAAAAAGCCTCTGCTCGTCATTTCCGTCGATTTTGGTGAAATCGACAGCGTCCTCATCGTTCATCGACTTCATCACCGGCTTTACTCCTGCAAAATTGACTTTTTTCCAAAATTATCCTCATGTGAATTTAAGATTTTAACCTTTTTTTGTGAGTCCAAATAAAAAAATAAAACATTCTTTTTCCCAAATAGATGGAAAGATTCACAAAAAAAGTCCATTTTTCCAAGGTTTCATGTAAATTTTTCGATTTTTTTATCAATGAACTTAGATTTTTTTATCAAATAAACTTATGTATGAAGACATTTTTTTCCTGTTTTTCTTCTATTTATTGGGAATTTTTAAGCTTGAAAACTGATTCCTACAGGTGTGTTTTTACATAAGTCAAAAATTTCATTTTTTTCATTACTAGAAGAATTTTACTATGAAAAATTGGTCTACGCGTGAATCAAAATGGAAAAATTTTTTTCATTTTTTTCAAATAAATACAGCTTTTTTTCAGTTCCTTACTGGGTTTTCGAACCTCAGAAACTTCAAAAAGTCCTATTTTTACTTTAAAAGAAAGAAAAAAACCCACTAGAGCCCGCTTGCTTTTGCCACCACAATAAATACATAGAATAGGATAAATATGAGAAGAACCAGGGAGGAAGCCATTTTTTTGGCAGAGTAAATTTGGGAAAAAAATTTGTCGATTTACGGCATTTATAGAAGGCGGCTTGGCAGCGAAAAAAAGGGACAACAAAAAAAGCCGAAAAAAATGGGCGGCGAATGGCGCTAATTGCCTGACCGGAAACAAAAAGGCCTTTTTTTGAACTTGGTGGCTTTTTACCGGAAAAAAATTGATCGCAAATCAAATTTGGAAATTAAAAAAAGAAAGATAAGACTGATTTCAACACAGAAAAAAATAACAAAAATCCAATAATTAATATGAAAAAAATAGGATTTTTTTGACTTTTTATTCCAAATCCTAATTTTTGTTCGCATTATTCTCTTATATTCAAATTAAAAAGCTCGAATCGACGCTTTTTCAAAGTCAAACGAATAAAATACTTTTTAAAATCTATTAAATAATTAATTTTTTTGTCTTTTTTTCAGAATAAAAAAATTAGAATTTTTCAAATATTTCAAGGAAAAAAATTCTCTCAAAAAAACACGGTTTTTATTGGTAAAATTCACAAAAGAATTAAAAAAATAACTTTTTATTTTTCCGAATAAATTAAAAAAATAAAAATATACCATTCAGCTAATCAATCCATTGTTGAAAAAAAATGTCGGATCATGAATTATTTCGTAGCCGAAGGTAGATAAATTCATATTTGCCGACAAAACTGAAAAGAAATGATAAAAAAATCTATTTTTTTAAATAGCTTGTAAAAATTTTTTTATAGAGGCATCACGGTGAAAAAAATATTTTCAATGTAACCATTTTTTTAGGAGTTCCAGAGTGGTCCCTATAGGGGTTAGGAGATACAGGGGCCGCAAAAGTGGTCCCTATAGGGGTTTAGGGTCTGACCTCTTAGCTCCTAAAGGTCAAGTGGGCCCTATAGGGGTCATTCAAATTCAAAAAACGCTTAATCATTCAGTTTTTTCAAGCTTTTTGTACATAACCTAGTATGCCCACTGTAGGGTCAACTAACCAAAACCCCTATAGAGACCACTTTTGGAAGCTTTAGTAGCCCCTAAAGGGGATCCTCTAAGAGCCCCTTTAGGGACCACTCTGGAGTTTCTGAGTAGGCTATTCGAAGCTTCCTTAGAAAGCTCCTCGAAAGCTTCCCAAAAAAAATCACTTCAAGACGGAAATTTCAAACTTTTCATGAGATTCCTTCGTCTCAAGAACATCTTGAAGCAATAATAGTGCCATTAGGAACTTGAAAAAAAGCCGCTGAACGGCTCTTTTTCATATTTATCGAGCTTTCCAGCTGTTCCCTCTCGGATAATTTTTGCAAAGCTAAGCAAATTTTTGATATCCTACTTTGACGCAAATGAAGCTGCCGCCGGAAATTCACCTTTTTTATTCCCCTCAAACCAACCAAAATAGCTTAATCGGATTAAAAATTCGATAATCCTCCCTCGACCATGTCATATTTGATATATTTATGCACAACAAATATTTTCGACTTTTCGTCAACAAATTTACATGTCAAAGACAGGAAATTGTTTGTCTACCTATTTTTTTTCGGGCCATAGTGCTTTTCGAACCTTTTGAGAGTTTCTCTTTCACGATTTTTTCACAGAAACCCTGTTTAAAATGAATTTTTTTTTGTAGCTCTGAATTTTTTTTTACGTTGAGTTTTCAGTAGGAAATCAAAGATTGTATTTTTTTTAACACGAAATTAAAATTTGAAACTTTTTTTTAGCCCCTTCAGGCTAAATTCGTCTGGATTTTCATGATGTGTCACATATAACTGGATTAGAAAATAGTTGCCTAATTCGATTTATTCCGTTCGAAAGTTCCTCCTTCCCCGTTCCTTTGAAAAAGGTCTCTTTCCACTATCTGCATATAGCTTTTCGCTACAGGATTCTTCCCTTCGATGCGCGCGACCCATCTCTATCCATGGGCCTTTAATATAACGGGAGTTATAGGCTAAACAAAAGGCGCATGCACAGAGGCATCGGAAAAAAGGGTTCTGTAACTCTTAAAAATACAAATACAGTAAAAAATCATTTTTTTTTTGTTGATAAACCCGATAAATTTTTTACAAAAGCCGTCGCTGGAGTGTTCAAAGAAGCAGAAACGAAGTCAATGATTTTTTTTTGAGCCGAAAAGCCTTTTTCAGTGCTACTTCCATCATGCAAAGTTTCCACGCCTTTCCAGAAAGCTTGATATATACACGCAGAACTTTTATTTTTCGCCAAACTTCAAGAACCATACAAATATCAAAAAAAAAAATCATTGTGAAATAATGCTTCACAGCAGTTCACGTATAGAAAACTGGCTAATTAAAAATTCAATCGGAATAAGACGACCCAATTCGAACTAAAACCTTTTTCTATTTACAAAAATTAACTTTGACAAAAATTTATAGTTCATTCACACCACTTGCTGAAAAAAAAACGTTAAAAAATTTTCTTTAAAATCATTAAAATTTTGCAGTTTCGAAAATTTCCAAGTGCCACCTCCATGCAAATCATACTACCGCATCAGAAAAAACTCCAAAAAGCTTTTTTAAACGAACTATATAATAAAAACAACGAAAAACAAAACAAAACAACATTTTCGAAAAAAATCAAAAAAAAAAATCACCAATTTTGCGCCCCAGTGCACCCAATTTGCGCCAGTGATCAGTTCATGACGCTAATTGGGATATCTATCTTTTCTCCCTTCAAACCACACGATGTTCGACCTTCAACGATTGAAGAGGGATAAATAAGCGAGAGGAAGAGTTGGTCCAGCTCTCACGCTTGTGTGTGTTGCTCACAGAGATAAAGATAACGAGATAACAGCTGTTGTTGTCTTCGTTTTTCCTTGTCTGTTTTTCCAGCTTTGCCCCAACTTTAACATCATTTTATTTTTTTTCTTCTTCTGTTGGTTGTTAGAGAAGTATCTTGCTTCGAAGTGTTGCAATTTTTGTAGATGTAAAATTCACTAGGAGGTAGTAAACATTTAAAATTCATAAAAAAATACTATATATATATATATATATTATATAGACTCGTTTTCAGGCCGGACTTCTAAAAAACCGGTACGTCTTTGTGTAGTTTTTCAATCTGATTCCGAAAATCGGTGAAGAGATTATAGAAAAAGGAAATAACCTCTCGAAGTTCTGTAAATTTAGGTGTTTACTAAGATCGCAAAATGAATCTTAAGCTTAATTTCTCCTTAAAACTGGAGAAGGGTCTTGTAAAATCGATAATAGTTCTTGCTCGTTACAGGACCTTTCAAAAACCGGACCAGATCCAAAAATTGGAAAAGCCCCAAGAAAAATGAAATTATTGCATCCCAAAAATTCCAATTCGAAGAAACCTCACATAGCCGAAGACCCACATGAAGTTCTGAGCCTTTCCTTTCATTCAATATCATTTTTATCTCTATTTTGCACCTTTTCCATCATTCTTCTTCCTTCCAATGAATCAAATCCCATACAAAAAGTGCCTCAAGACTCGAAAATCAGGTGCAAAACGACACATGACGCGAGCATTTTGTTGGGTCCGTCTAGAGACCTTTTATTATTATATTTTGATCTTCTCCCTTTTATTCGCCTAATTTAAAGACTTTGAGGTTAATTTTAGCAGATTTAATTAAAGAAGTAATTTTTGATTGAACCTTCCAATCAATAATTCATCAGTGGGGCGAATTTTTCCCCTTAAAAAAAGCCTACAAACTATTTATTGTTATATTGTACTTTATAAATTTCCTGAATAGCAGAAAAAAAGGGAGGCGTGAACAATTTCCTGTGAGGTAAGCTCTGGAGAAAGAGGCAAGATTACTGTAGTTTCCTACGTTTTTTTGATGAAAAAAAGGGATTTTATACTTCCGAAAAAAATGTAATTTTTTTGGTTTGATAAACTTATTTTTATACCCTTTTTTTCCAATAAATCTAAAAAAAATAGTCTCCAAAAAAATGCTTTGAAAATCGGGGATCCCTTTCAAAATTTATTGAATTTAATTAAATGAAAACATATTTTTTTCAAATTTCTGCTTGTTAATTTCATTGCAATCTATCCTTCGTTTCTTTTATTTTTAGATTGTGAGAATTTTCAAAATTATTTAGAGCCATTTTCAAAAATTTTAACCTTCTCATCTACAAATTCTAATGGTAGCTTTACTTTGAAACTGTGTTTTTTTCCGGTTTCAAAGTTTTTTCGAAGTTTTTATTTCAAACTCACTTCAATGTTTCTCCCAACCTACAAAAGATTGATTATGTCCGAAGAATCTCATTGGGGTGATCCATGTGTCTGCTTCTTACTTTTTTTATGGCCAACCAGGGCTCCATTAATTATCTTTTTCAAGGCTTTAAAATTAATTTCAAAGCTTTTCCTGAATCCGAAGCTTCTACCAGCTTCTGACCATCTACAGATTGTCCAGAAATTCTGAAAAATCTATCTAAAATCGAATAAAATCAAATCCAAAGCTT